ACCAAGCAACACATACCTCTTCGATACGGAGCGGCTGGGGATCTTGGTCAAAGAAATCCAGTAAAACCTAAGAGAGCAAAACAGAAGTGGGATATAGTGGTTAAAGGTGCCTGTGCTTTTAACAAACTGTAAGCCGTTCTATCATTATCCATTCCGTATGTACAAAAAACATACGCAGCACATCCGTGACCAGCAGGTTGGATTCAATTATCCAGGATATGCTAAGTGTGTGTGTGTGTGTGTGCATGTGCATGGGTGCATATGTGCATGCGTGTGCATGTGTGTGCATTTGCAGATTTGCGTGCTTCTCTTGCGACGGGCGTATACATGGTACCAAGAACACATAACCCCCCAGAGTGTGCAACTCCCACACACCCTGCTGTCCCAACAGAATTTCAAGTTGACGTCATTATTTATGATGCAATGCTCCTTGCACCAGTGATTTACAACATGTGTACAGGTGTCAACGCATCACACGTTTTTCGTTGCAATAATTTGTACAGGATCAGATAGGCTTTGGTCCACCACAGGTTCCGGATTCGATCTGATAATCCGTGTACAGTGCGCATTGCATCATCAAAATGACGTCAACTTGAAATTCTGTCGGGACAGCACCCATAGTCGAGTTGCACACTCTTGGGGGTTATGTACTCTTGATGGTAAAATGGTGTGTGTGCATGTGCGTGTGTGCATGTGCGTGTGTGCATGTGCGTGTGTGTATGTATGTGTGTGTATGTGCATGTGTGTGTGTGTGTCTTACTGTGTGTGTGTGTGTGTGTGTGTGTGTGTGTGTGTGCATGAGTGTGTATGTGTGTGTGTACAGTCAACTTTGCGTATAACGACACGAGGCGGGGCATGAGAAAAGTGTCCTTATTCACGAAGTGTCCTTATACCCGAAGTCTCATTATGTATTACAGTTAGATGGGACTTTGCCCTGGACATGGAAATTCTGTCGTCATTTGCGAATTGTCGTTAAATCCGAAGTCGTTATAAGCGAAGTTGACTGTATGTGTGGGTGTGTGCATGTGTGTGTGCGTGTGGGTGTCTGTGAGTGTGTGTATGTGTGTGTGTGTGTGTGTGCGTGTCTGTGTGTATGTGCGTGTCTGTGTGTATGTGTGTGTATGTATGTATATATGTGTGTGTGTGTGTGTGTGTGTGTGTGTGTGTGTGTGTGTGTGTGTGTGTGTGTGTGTGTGTGTGTGTGTGTGTGTGTGTGTGTGTGTGTGTGTGTGTGTGTGTGTGTGCGTGTGCATGCGTGTGTATGCGTGTGTGTATGTGTGTGTGTATGTGTGTGTGTGTGTGTGTGTGTGTCAGCACAAGTTGCTATGTCTAACATACAATGTGACTTGTTCGTTATCATCGCTTCAGCGATGGGCAGGAGTATGAGTATGAGTGTGTGTACGTATGTGCGTGTGTGTGTGTGTGTTGTGTGTGCGTGTGCGTGTGCACAGATTCTAAGAATTTACTAACTTCAGGCACCGGGTCAACACTTTACGTCTTGTATACTAGTCATGTCCTCTCACCTTGTCAGCATTCATAGCAACTCTGACGGCCTCAGAAGAGATAACAGCTGCCTGCCGTGAATTGCGCACATAGTTTCCAGCAAGCTGCACACACCAAAATAACAGCACAAGAAGGTTGACAGACCCAAAAGGGTGCACAGAGACAGCGAGAGAGAAGACAGAGAGAGAGGGAGAGAGAGGGGGGAGAGAGAGAGAGAGAGAGAGAGAGAGAGAGAGAGAGAGAGAGAGAGAGAGAGAGAGAGAGAGAGAGAGAGAGAGGAGAGAGAGAGAGAGAGAGAGGCGAGAGCGAGAGAGCGAGCGAGAGCGAGAGAGAGAGAGAGAGAGAGAGAGAGAGAGAGAGAGAGAGAGAGAGAGAGAGAGAGAGAGAGAGAGAGAGAGAGAGAGAGAGAGAGAGAGTGAGAGAGAGAGAGGCACACACACACACGCATGCTTGCACTCGCAGGTATTGAGCGCTCCAAGGAAATCCAGAGTAGGAGCGGAAATATGCATTACACAGAAGAACTCTGCCAACACAAGATATTACTGGGACCATATACATTCAAGCCATATGCTGTTGGATCGTACGCACTGCTTGTCTGAAGAATGGATAGGACAAAGGTTCATAAATATTATCTCACATCCATTGCCGAGGATGTACCCCCCCCCCCCCCCCCACACCACACACACACCATGCACACACACACACCATTCACACACACACACACACACACACACGCGCGCGCGCGCGCACACACTCTCGCTCGCACCTCATACAAATACCACCACCCTCAGTCAGAATCTGAGCGTCTCGTAACGCCTGTTGCAACTACACACTCACCGGACTGCAACAGCAACAGTCAGGTCAGTGTGTAGACATACAGGAAGTAGGATGTGTCACTTACCACGACACATCTACACTGTATGTACAAACACATTGACCTTGCAATGCATAACACGCTGCATACACTGCATACAACATACCACAATGCGGCGAACGCTTCCACGAGCATGATCAATTGACTATCAGCCATCCGAAATCAAGAAAGCAGCAAACAACTACGCGATTACCATCTAAGCTCCACCGAACGTACAAAACTACTCAAAAACTTGCCTTCAAAATATCAGCTCCCATGTACTCCACGATACCAAGCATGTAGCAGGTAACTGTTGGCTCCATAGTGCGATATCCCAGGACATCCTTCAGCCACATACAATGAATACAGGATACTGCATGTTAGCAAACACGCACGTTTGTGATGCCAACTCAAATCATCCACAAGTGTGACATTACCCTGCATAGCGGTGGATGTACACGATCCACGGGCATATTCAGAGGCTTGGAGTGTCCATGAGAACCTCTGCCACGCTGCTTGGAGGCCACGTAGCTATCCATTCCCTCCCTGGCCTCCTTGTTGGCCCATCTTCCAACTTGAGGATCAAAAGTTCTTGTGACGTAATCTTCCACATCTTGAACTGTTCGAGGCTTCATTGCACAAAGTATGGCCAGAATTTTGTAGAGGAGTTCCTCCACAAATCGAACAGCATCCTGGTCGACCAGCAGCGAGGGCTGAACTTCCCGTGCCACCTAGCGACGTGAGGTGTAAATACGTTGACAAGGTTGAGAATCTAAATCTGGCTCTCAACAAGAAAAAACATCAATTCTTACCCTGTGTATGGCATCTGTGAACATGCCACGCCATTTCGGAGCATTCTCGTCACTCAGGAACTGATGATAGGTCCCACTAGCTCCAGTCGTGGTCATTGTGCACACAAGCTCACACTAAACATCACTCCTCTTTGGTCGTCGACGACACACCCATCAGTCAATCTTCAGTCCTTCACCACTACCGACAATCATTCCTGATCTTGTTGGTTTCGCCAGTTTGGCTTTATCGATAGATCTACGACTTTACGGTTTACCTCCACTTTCCCTGGCCTACGGCCATATCCCGACTGACCACTGTACGACTGGTCTACTGGCAGCAGTCTGTAGCTACGCTATGTACTACAATGTACAACCTGAACCAGTCAACACTCAACAGACTGTGTGAGTGGCAGGATGTGCATGCATGATGCCATCATCGATGCGATGCCTATCGTATTTTTTTTTTCTCTGCTCTGCGCCATGTTTCGACGTATTTTTTACAACCCCGGCAATGACGTAAGGCGCATCATAGCCTTGCAAGCTTGACGTACAGTGCTGGCAACTGAAATCCGACCTCCTGGGCGGCGCAGCGCGGGGGTCGGATTTCAGTTGCCAGCACTGCACGAACGTATGTACTGTATATCACCTTATTTTCGGTGTTGTAAAATTTCGGTAAAAGCCAGCCCCTGACCTTTCGGTATAAGGATAAATTCGGTATGCATGGCACCAAAAAAAAAAAAAAAAAAAAAAAAAAAAAAAAAAAAAAACGCTCTTGCACTACCGGTAATATCTCCGGCTAGGCTCCACATATCATTTTGTTACAGTATGTAGTATACCGGTACATGTACTATACCAGTATACAAGTAATAGTTGATTTTTTTAAATTTTATTAGTGCAATTAGGAGTATAATCGATGCAGACATGGCCAAACAACAACGAGTTCATGGAATTTTTAAGGATTTTTATGTTATTCAAAATCGATTTTCGTGTTCCGCTCATCAGTGAATAGTATCGGAACTGAGGGTACTGTGTACAAAAATAGAACATTTTTTTCCGCCCCCCTCCCTCCATATTGGCCTATATTCTCTGGCCACGGGAAGGTGAAATAAATAAATAAATAAAATAAATAAATAACAGCATAATTAATTAAAAGTGTGAACAACAAAGGAAGTGCTACAGCATTACATAATAGGTGTCAAACATAGTGCTAACGTATATAACTGAGTGCAGCCACAAAGCAAGAGGTGATACAGTGCAACATGACACAACATTTACATCTGATAACCAGCTACGAGAACAACTTTAGCGCGACTACATGCTTCTTTTGTTTACAAAGAACAGGATTATGCACACGAATACATACAGCTTCCAGAACCTTCAACTGCTTAACATAACTTGCACGGCACAAAACAGAAAAGTGAGAATCATCGTACACACTACGACAATCTGGACGTGATAACAAGTGACAAAATACAGCTGACTTTTTGCTCACGTCGCTCTCTTCCGTCTTATCCCGTTCCTTTCCTTCGATCTCCTCCGCCTTATCCTCGTCCTCCGTCTCATCTTCATCATCATCGTCCTCATCACCACCATCATCATCATCAGTCACTTCCTCATCATCCGTTTGATGCTCAGTCTCACTGCACTCCTTATCAGCCTCCAACATGGCTCCATCATCTCCACCAGCATCACAAGTCGTTTGACCGCTGCTCCGCGTCACTGTTGCTGGGTTCTCTGCTACTGCACACCCATTTCCACTGTCCATTTTGCGTGGGCCAAGTCCATTCCGTGCATAAATTTCAAGTGAATAGTTTGCTGTGCTTCTTCTGGGTCTATGGGTGAGGATATTCGTCCGTCCACGACTTTATGGCTTGCCAAAAATACATAAAACCAATTGTCCTTTGCGACCGATACTATCAATGGTTTCATCTCCACAGTACAGCATTTCTAAGTGGCTCTGTGTTATTCTCGGGGTCGTACAAAGTTATTACTGTACGCGCACAGTGAAAGACAGTTTCCAGTTTGTAGATATCTTGCGCTCTCATCAGGTTCCCGCTAGTGCTCATATGTGTTCATTTGACGTAGTATCATTGTTCACGAACGTACCATTGGATGAGACAATCGATATTTGTGCTGATGTACTGTATCGAAATGATTCGGTAGATACTCCTTGGTTGTCGGAGACAGCCTTCCGTAAGTTAATGTCCTTGGTCACTACTGGCGTAGAGTTCTCGTTCAACGACATAATGTATCGGCAGGTGGACGGTGTGGCCATGGGGTCCCCCCTTGGACCCGTTTTGGCAAATATATTCGTTGGATACTGTGAATCCTTGATCAATGAGTCGATGTGGCCTAAGGTATACGTTCGTTTCGTCGATGATTCTTTTACATATTTTGATTCCGTTGAGCAATGTGACACATTCTTTCATCATCTAAACAACCTACACCCAGCGCTTAGATACACATGTGAGCATGAGCATGACAACAAACTCGCCTTTCTGGATGTGCAGGTAGAAAAATCTAATAACAGTGTCGTAACATCAGTCTACCGAAAGCCCACTTTCACTGGGCAGTACATCGTCTATGATTCATATTGCTCACATCAATACAAGGTGAACCTGGTGCGTAACCTGGTGGGGAGAGCAAAGCGGCTCTGCTCTGAAACGAAGCTCAACGACGAGCTGGAATTTCTCAGATCAATATTCCTTAAGAATGGATACCCACATGACTTATTGAACAAAATACTGAAGCAAGAATCTAATAACAAAGATACATTCACAGGTCCTCGAAAGTGTCCTATCTACTTATGCCTGCCTTGGAAAGGCAACGCGTCTGTCAGCATGTCCAGAGCTATCAAGACCCTAGTCAATAAAACATACTTTGCTGCCCACTTCATCCCCGTGTTCACCACGGTACGTGCGTTCATGGTGAGGAAGGATGTCCTACCTCCCCAGCTTTCAAGCCATTTGGTTTATCTCTTTGAGTGCCGGAATTGTGCTGCCCGGTACGTTGGTAGGACTCTTCAACACCTGAACGCACGTATCAGACAACATGTGCCGTTGCACTTATTACCACCAGCAGCCAGAGCAAAGCGGCCAAAGCGTGGTAGGCCGTGTAAGAACCCAGTTAGCTTAGTAGACAAACACGCTGTGCCGACAGCGCCGGCTGTTCCCGTGCCACCACCGGCCCCACCACCTGGGGTGCCGTGGGTGGCTGGGGCTGGGGTGGGTTTGCCATCATTGACCTGGCCACCACTTCTCGACCCACTGCAAACGGCAGCGGAGCCTACTCTAGCACAACATCATCGTCCTGGAATGGAGGAGGGGCCACCGAGAGACACTGAACCTTCAAATCGGCAGTTGCCCTTGCCTCCGCCTGAGCCACCCCCTTTACCTTTGGTGACTACCGAGACGGTGGTCCCCCCGGTGCTGGGATCCACGGTGCCGACTGTGTCTGGACAGAGGGGGAGATCATCGACAAACCAAAATGAAACCAATATCCTCACCCATAGACCCAGAAGAAGCACAGCAAACTATTCACTTGAAATTTATGAACGGAATGGACTTGGCCCACGCAAAATGGACAGTGGAAATGGGTGTGCAGTAGCAGAGAACCCAGCAACGGTGACGCGGAGCAGCGGTCAAACGACTTGTGATGCTGGTGGAGATGATGGAGCCATGTTGGAGGCTGATAAGGAGTGCAGTGAGACTGAGCATCAAACGGATGATGAGGAAGTGACTGATGATGATGATGGTGGTGATGAGGACGATGATGATGAAGATGAGACGGAGGACGAGGATAAGGCGGAGGAGATCGAAGGAAAGGAACGGGATAAGACGGAAGAGAGCGACGTGAGCAAAAAGTCAGCTGTATTTTGTCACTTGTTATCACGTCCAGATTGTCGTAGTGTGTACGATGATTCTCACTTTTCTGTTTTGTGCCGTGCAAGTTATGTTAAGCAGTTGAAGGTTCTGGAAGCTGTATGTATTCGTGTGCATAATCCTGTTCTTTGTAAACAAAAGAAGCATGTAGTCGCGCTAAAGTTGTTCTCGTAGCTGGTTATCAGATGTAAATGTTGTGTCATGTTGCACTGTATCACCTCTTGCTTTGTGGCTGCACTCAGTTATATACGTTAGCACTATGTTTGACACCTATTATGTAATGCTGTAGCACTTCCTTTGTTGTTCACACTTTTAATTAATTATGCTGTTATAAAATGTTCTATTTTTGTACACAGTACCCTCAGTTCCGATACTATTCACTGATGAGCGGAACACGAAAATCGATTTTGAATAACATAAAAATCCTTAAAAATTCCATGAACTCGTTGTTGTTTGGCCATGTCTGCATCGATTATACTCCTAATTGCACTAATAAAATTGCTTTCTCCACGCCGACTCTTTTTTAAATTTGACAATGATTTTCATGATTTTTACATATTTTTGGTATTTCGGAAAATTTAGGTGTAATGTTAAATTAGGTGATCTAGGACCAGTACCGAAGTTACCGAAATTTAAATTACACCGAAATAAAGGTGTTATACAGTACTTACCTGTTACCATCAGGGAGTATTGTACTACTCCCTGCTTACCATCGTAGTTTGGTTATGTACGCAATGGCGATGATGCTTCTGCTTTTGTGGAATTATTTCTTGGAGTTTTCCACTGTATTCTATACTCAGGGAGTCGTCAAATACCGATATTTGACGGCTCCCTGATTCTACTCAAGTACTATTTTTTTTCTTTTCATGTTACAGTGGAGATTGGATATAGCGACACTCTTCAAGTTCGGGAGAAAACAAAATGTCGCTATATTCGATCTGCCACTAAACCCGATCTTCACTGGCATTAAAATGATTAAAATTATAATGTTCTGTCCCCGGGGAAAATTGCGGAAAAAAATCGCAAAAAACGCGGGGAAAAACGCGGCATAATATGGCATAATTTGCGGTGAATTTGTGGTAAATATGCGGTGAATAATATTGATGTGCGGCAATTTTCAGTGAGTATGTAGTGAAATCAATCAGTTACAAGTCGCTGGTGTAAGCACTCGTCATATTTGAGTAAAAAGCCGCCACGATGAGACGTTGCTGACCGAACAGTGCACTGTGTGTACGTGAAGTGCAACAAAAAAGTTCAAAAAACGCGGCCGCGGAATTGCAATTTTCCCCGGGGACAGAATGTTAGTATGCAATATGTACTTGTATATCAAAATGACAGAAATGTATTGCAGATATGCATGTGCATAATAATGATGCATGTGGATTTCAGATGTGTATGTACATGACGTACATGTACGTCATGGGTCTTGCACGCATATAGGTACAGTGCATTTCAAAACTATAGACGTGTAGGGTTTTTGAAGTATTTCAATTTTGGCTGGAACTTTTTGAGAATAGTTTTCGGAATATTGCTCAGGATCGCTCCACAATTACTCTCATATAGTTTCTAAAGGATTGGATAACCGACGCCCAATTTGGAAAAATTTATGCACAAAGTGATCACAGATTTTATGTGGTATAGATGCTGGCATAACGGTTTTTGCCTAGGTACGCGTCTATAGTTTTGAAATGGACTATAGCCTACGGTTCAAGCCAAAAATCGTGCATAGCAACTTGAACTACACCGCCGCACTGCGGCTACAATGTGCAATGACCAGCAAGCGTGGAGTGGCCCAGAGGTCCGGGCATGTGACACAGACATGTCGCATGTATGCCACTCCGCCTGATACAAGAGGAAAGTCCGACGGTTATATTCGATGCATTATCAGGTCACCAAAAGAGTGTCTGTATGGTAAATTTGATCTGTCGTTATTTTCGACTCTTGAAGTCGTTATACCCGATCTCTAATTATAATGCAGACTGCAGCTGAATGGTGTAATGATTGAAGGCAGCACACTACGTACCGCGCATCTGGCCCATAGAAAAGAGATCACAGCTGTACACTCTTTCTTGACACCACCGTATGTATTTGTCTCATGACGTTCACTTTCTCTGCATAACAGAGAAGTTAAGATGCACGTTATCAAGAGTATGCAACTCTGGTTATGGGTCAGTGTGCGGAGCGCTGCCTTTATTACGTACAGTAGAGTCGCGCGCCCAAGAACGTAGCCTCGGACGTGCTTATTTTTCAGCAATCTGGCTGCGTTCTTACAGCACGTTCTCAGAAACAATCCGTACTGGATCATAATCCCACAAGCTGCCAGAAAACCAACACCGCTGTTCTTAGCTTTAGGCTGTGGCGTTCTTAGAATTTCAGGCTGGACGTTCTTGGGCTCCATATTCTTCAGCGCGCGACTCTACTGTAACTTGCCTTCATCACGCGCTGAAAGCATGCATTCAAACTCACAATTTCTCGTACGAGCCCATCCGTTTTTGCTCGATTCGTTCCAGTACCTACGCGATCTCTAAATTCTGGTGCGTGAACTCCAGTTCCGTACGAAAGTTAATTTCAAACCAGAGGGAAAGTGCGGTGTTTGATTTTCCGCAGTGCGCGGACTGCAGCTGAATGATGTAATGAAGCCAGTGCGCCACGCATCTGGCCCATAGAAAAGAGATCACAGTTGCATACAGTCGTTCCTCTCTAATCCGGCACCTTTTGCAACGGCATTTTCTGCTGGATAAACAAGGGTGCTGGATTATCAAACCCTGCCCTCCAACCCGGCCCACCTGTTAACGTACATGTTTGTGTCGTACGCCAAAACGTAGGGATTTTCTGTGTCAATCCAAGTACATGTACTTTGTGGAATGCATGTCTTCAACATACACTTGGGAATATCCTATGCACTGGCATAGGATATTCCCAAGTGTATGTTACATGTGTTGGGTATGTTACAATGCTCCCTGGCCGTATGCGATGTACAACTGCTGGATTAGAAAATCGAATTATGTACAGTTTGAGTGATTTGTTGCAGAAGATCGCTGCTGGAGGCGGAACTCAAGTGCTGGATTAAAGCGTAGAAAATGAACTGAAAAAATCGGTTTTGCCAGAAAGTGTGCTGGTTTGCAAGGGTGCTGGATAAACAAGTGCCGGATTAGAGACGGACGACTGTACTCTTGTGTATGGGGTAGTCACACGACAGGCACTTGCACGTTTTACAGGGAGTGACATACGAGAAAAGTGACTGTGTGGATTCACACAGCTGCACTCGACGACAGGCACGTTTGCATTTTTGAATGCTTCACCGACCAGTAGCAATGGGTATTTCAAAACACGCATACTCTAAAGAGCCGCGTAAAAAATCAGGTCCTGTTTCGCGCTTTTTGGTGTAAATGTACTCGTGCACGCCACGTGATTTTCTTTGCTTTCTTCTCTCTCTTTGTTTACCACGGCGACCCCGTGTGCTGTACTACTTTTTATTTTTTCTCTTTTACGTTTACTTTATACCAGGGAGTCGTAAAATAAAGGTATTTACGACTCCCTGCTTTATACCAGGCGTGTACATACAATGTAGGTGCCACCATTTTTCTTTGTTTCAATAAAATCCACGTATTAAATTTAGAAAAAAATTACCGGTGTCTTTACGCTGAAAAAAAAAATTATCATGAAAGTGGGCCTCCAGCTCGCTTGCACTTTTCACGTTCACAGGTAAAATGCCATAGCAACTTTCCGGTGCAAGTGGATTTGCCTGTCGTGTGAATAGTATACCCCATTTATGGATTCTTGATGTTATTGCCGACGTGACATCATATTTGGCGTAAAACTCAAATTTTGAAGCGAGAGCTGAACTTTCACATCACGTCCGAAATAACAGTTTTTCTTCCCTGCTTGCATCACATGGTCATGGTGTTATCGAAACGCTTCACGTAACCACAGCCTCAATCCGCATTTCAATGAAAAAATTAATAGGTACAATCAAGAGTACATAACCCCCCAGAGTGTGTAACGCCTGATCCAGCTCTGCATAGGCTGTCCCCTTGGAAAAACGCGATTCCGCGGCCGCGGCAAAATTCGCAGAAGTTGCCATCATCCGCGGAAATCACGGAATCCACACTTTTGCCCGCGGAATCTGAATTTTTTAGGGTAAATTACTAAAATTACTACTCAGAAAGCAGCAAAAAACTACTTTGCGATCTGTTTGAGCACGTTTCTCTTGCCAGTGCAGGTCTTTCCAAGATTCTTCACACTTATTCAGTTTGTGACTGCAAAGGAGAGTATGAAAAGTGCTCCTTCATGCGACTAGTTGTCATATCCTCTAAGAGGAGGGTGAAAAACATGCAGAAAGTGCCGCAGATTTTTTACTTTACCGCAGAAAATGCCGCAGAAAACCCCCCTTTTCCCCGCGGAATTTGCCGCGGAATTTTAAATTCTTCGGTGCGCTTTTCCAAAGGGACAGCATAGGGTCTTGGGTCGAGCGGAATCGGATCTTTGCGTCATAATACCGTACACATCTGAGGGGAACCCGGGTACTCTCGGATCAAAAACAATGGTGCCCTGCCTCGAGACCGGCCTTGCGCTGGAGTGGAGTGTACGCATGACATCAGAAGATCCGATTCCGCTCGACCAAGACCCTATGCAGAGCTGGACCGGCGTTGCACACTCTGGGGGGTTATGTACTCTTGGTACAATCAAGAGTACATAACCCCAAGAGTGTGCAACTCCAGCTATGGGGTCTGCGACGGCAGAACTTCACATCACGTGATGAACCCGTACATATTATTTGCACTCTGTGCATGATAGATACAGGGTTGTACGCAACACAGCTTTGGGTACAAGTCTCTTGTGGGCACTTTGCACCGTTTGCCAGCATAACCTTTTGAACCACGTCACGTGATGTGAAGTTCTGCCGTCGCAGCACAGCATAGAGGTTGTGCAGGCAGTTGCACTCTTGGGGGTTATGTACTCTTGGTACAATAGAATCACGCCCGAAGCCTTGTCATTCCTAGTCTGTACAGTGAGTAGTGGGCACATTACATGCACTTCATGATGTAAATTTCCTTTTTCAGTTTCACCCTGTCGAGCGCTGAAGGAGAACGTTCAGCCTCAAATGCAAGAACGCCTGTATTGGTTCTCTGGCAACTTGTGGGATACAGTAGAACGCCGATTATTCTAACGCCAACTAGTCACCACATTATCTTCAACTCTTCAAACCATGCGCTCAGTCAGGATCATGCACTATTGCTTGCAATCACACACACTCGCAGAGCATTGGTCAGTGATTTGGCCTACATGTTCATGATTTTATTTGTCTGCTCAGTTCTTCTTGTGATGACGGCGCTTGGGTGCCTTGGTAGGCTTGTTCTTTGAAGCACGGATAAGTGCGCAAGCACGGCGAACTGCAATCTGTAAGAGAACATACAAAACAACCAAAACTATGTTACCTCAAAAGCTACCAAGCTCTGAAGGAACCACACTATAAACATGCAGAACCCAGAAGAGGTGCCAGGCGACGAAAGTTAACCAAGCATACATCTCTGTATTCGGCAAAATGCACCTCTTATGGGTTCAAAATATAAAAACCACTCAAGACATATTGTTCAGGAAAAATGCTGGGAAATCACTGACTGCAATAAAATTTAACGTATCAGGCAACATAATTGGAACCAAGGAAAACGTATTCCTCAAGTGCGTGCAAATCTACAAAAATTCCTTCCACACCTCATTTTTCAGTAGCAATCACTTTGGTGGTGTAATTCACTTATTGGATCACAAAATGCTTTGTGCACAGTTAACCTCATCAGGCCTGGAAACACTGCCTTGGTTGAATCATGAAAAAATGACTATGATTCTAAGGAGTCATGACAGCAACCAACCAGGAGTTGCGCATTCTAGAGAACGATGGGCTTTTGGCAGAACTACACCCCCCCCCTTTATCCGCTAGACTTGCTATATACAGACAGAACAGGCTGCATAAGAAAGGAAGTTCAAGTGAGTTCTGCAAATCGGTGTCAGCACAGACTATACAAGCCACATCATGGATTAGCCGGAAAATGCAGAGAAAAGCCATGCTTTACAACAAGAGTTGGGACACTAAGAAGTCCACCAAACTCACACCGATACTGCATAAGGAAAGGTTCAACTTCACAGCAATATCGATCATACAATGCCAAACAGTTCAACAAGGAGAAAGCAAACAGATGATTATGGAGAAACTTACATCGGCCTGGTCGGGACGGTATTGGGTGTTGACCAAGTTCTTACGCAGACCCTTGACAACACGACGGCTGCCCTTGCTGAGGCGGGTCATTGCAAAGCGCTTGGCAGGCCTGTTCACGGCTATAAACACAAGTACACAAAGAAGGAATTGCAGCTGAATACTAAACTACTGCAAAATCAAGTATAAAGAAAGAGTGATCGAGGTTAGACATGTGAAATTATGTGGTGTTGGGAAGCAGCCAACACCAAACAACGATAAGAATCAGCTGGCTAGAATTGTAAGGTTGTGCACCTAATCAAGAATATGTTAACACTACATCCTACGTCGAAGTACATGATTACAACTAGGCCAACACTGGTCACAAAACTGATATTGGGGCTTCAGGAGAAGCACGGCTTTGAATATTGACATGTTCGAAGTGTCACCTAGTCTAGGCATCGCACGTACGCAAATGTATGGTTAAAATAAATCACGCGTACTCAGAGGAATACATCATGTATACAAGTACACTGCCACGGGCAGCCATTATCAACTGTCACCCAATAGACATACCGCTACACAAAGAAGCATGCTGCGCACCAGGAGCATTAGCCTACAGCAACTATTTCAATTATGACATTCCATTTAAATGATGGATATCACAACGCATGATAAATACTTGGGGGCCATTACGAGTAAGCTTGTGTCTTCGGGACTGGTTACACAAGAAGAAAATCATTTTTGGTATAACATCTTTGAATGCTTTCGCTTGTGCGCAAGAAACATTGCTCGTAACAATTTCGTATAAATAGATGAGTGGAACAATAAAACAGGTCTGAACAAGTCCTCTCTTTCCTTTTCGCTGCATGCGTTGTGATTTCACATTTCACTGATACATGTCGACATTTGGGAAATGCTTACAATACACTTAGTCGTTCTCGTTGATATTAAAACTGCTGTCTTCGCAAAGCTTATTTATATAAATAAACCTAATTTTGTCCATTTAAACTGTGTACAAGTACAGTTGGTCCGCCCCCTCCCAATTGCCGCCCCTGTCGATTTTCTGCATGTGAAGCAACTTCTGCGTATACAAAAAAATAAGATGCTGAACCGACGCATGCACTGCTTCACACAATACGTGTCAGTGCAGGATAAAAAGGTGCACAATCCAGCAAATCGAGTTTGATCTTCCAACATTGTTGTACAGCGTACAGCCTTGATCTAATTCCCGCCCTCTGTTGAAAACCCAGCTGGAAAGCGACATGGAGTGGGAGATCAACGGTGCTTTACGGCACGTGCACCCTGGTATCACAGGTATGGTGGTGGCCTGGCACAAGCAAAACCTTACTTTACATGTACATGCACATGATCTAGTCCAGGTTTCGAAAAATAAATATTGATACTCGGATGTTGAGCCAATAATAAATTTAGAAAGGAAAGGGACACATGGACACAGAACTCTGTCAGTTTTGTGCCTAGTCGTTGCACTATATGACTGTATAATTATAGTATCTAGTTACAGTGGTAAACAGCATCCATGTGTCCTTTTCCTTTCTATACAAATTTATTTCAATTTGAAAAACAATAATTCCAGTCAGCAGCTATCACAGAGTCGAACGCATTCGGACACCAAAACGTAGCAAACTGAAACAGTACTGATGTAAATTAAAATACTAAAGATTCATTTATCAGGTAGAGGGAAAAATTTAACTTTTATAATTACCTATTATAGTGTATGACAACGGCTAGAATATAGAATTCAATTTGAATTTCAGGACTGACAAGTTATGAAATACTTCAGGGGCACTGCCGAAAATTCACAAATGCACGTATGGATGATGACCCGGTAACCGTTACAACACATGTGCTATTATTCGTTGCCCTGTGGCAGACAACGGTATGCTCGTTGGAGAAAAATTACCTGAACGGCGAGAAATACCCACAAGAATTCCCTTCTTCTTGGGGTTGTTCTCGACAGTTACGGTGCGTCCATTGATCATACCACAATCACGGAACACAGCACGGCCAGACAGATTGTATGGCTCCTGCAGTAAGAACACGCGTACGTACATCCACAACAGCAAAAAGTCACTTCTATACTGTCGCTGCTATTCACTCATCTGCCATCAGCTAACATACAGTGGTGAAGTTGCGTCCATCGCGCCTCATCTGGAAGCAGTTCGTCTTCCGAACGATGAGCCATTGCAGATCCGCCGACATGTTTAGGCCTGATCCAAGAAGAAAAAATGGCTGTATGAGCTCGACTGAAAAATATACTATGAAGAGACACGGGTTGGTGCCTACCTTGCAACAGACAAGAAGGAGAGAAAGAACGAAGAGAACCATGCGAAATTGTAGTGCGCATGCGCAACAGTGTCATTGGTCTCCATAGTGAAGGGGAAACCCCATTTTACAGCTTGTTTTGAAACAATCTGACATCATGGCCACATGTCAAGATTTCTTTAATTTCATTTTTCAAAATTTCATACCAATATTTTTCATTTTGAAACTGCATGCTGTTGTTTTCTGTTCTGGATTAGCTTCGCATGGCCGAGGCAGAGTGGTTGAATTTGAAAGGCGAGAGATCAGTTTCGACTGGGAAAGAGCAATGTAGATTTTGAATCCTCCCTACTTCCTTCTGTACTGTTAGTCATGTCGCGTCTAAGCGCCAGTAGCAGTGACAGCAGCAGCTGTGATGAGGCTGATGCTTACTTTACCCCAGTGAGTAGTACTACTCTTACCCCCGCTCCCGGCCCCTCCTCGTTAAAACGACAGCATGATGAAACGGGGACTGAAACGGACGAAAGCCATGAGTCACCTGTAAAGAAGCCCAAGGTCCATATTTGTATTCTTCCCTGAGCGAAAACAGATACAATATACCATCATGCCTCATCTCATCTCTCAACTTTCTATTTTATTAAGGTTGTACCTAGTGGATACAGCAGTGCGGCTCAGCGTATGATGGTAAGATCAAGTTTCCTAGGGATGCATGGCAGCACAACATGGCAGCACAACATGAACGCACACACCCACGCACACTCGCACACGTTTAGTGGCACATCACAAACAAGTCCTGCTACAATTGCAACAAGTGAAATCCGAGGGCCGTAAATATAAACTAAGTGTTTCGTCACAGGCAGCCCGGAGTCATGACAACGCTGCCTCTTGGACCCACTTGGATCCAGTTTCTGTATGGATCCATGCACGTTTGGGTGGTGTTCTTTCATAGCAGGGTGACGTATCCGCCGACAGTTACTTGACTGGGCCTCCCGGTCGGAGACCCGATCCTGGTGCAGAAAAATCCACACCTGTGTGCAACACGAGGGGCCTATCCACCACACTTCACTCTGGGCAAAGTGGATCCAATTTGACCCTGGGCTGTGGACCGTCGCCCCTGGCTACCCCAGATGCCACTACGTAGCGTTATGCATAGCTTAGGGAATAACATCAGGCTGGAGCCTGTTGGAGCACTGTTTTATATCTCAACCTTTGCATGCAGAGATCTGTGTCTATGGTGCGTAGCACAATTCTACGTACTGTATGTCAGCGCCTTTAAAGCCATGACCTTATATTCGAAACACCACTGCTTTCCTAGCTATTTTAGATGCAAAATGACTTACTCACAATGCCATGCTGCAAAAGTCAAAGTACACACTGAAATTTCAATCTTCATCCACTTGGTAACCCTTTCTGCTGGGCTGGAAGTTTGAAGCCATGGCTTTATAACTGAGACTGGCTTTATAATCGAATATACGGTCATGGCTTTAAAGGTGCGGACATACGGTATATATCTGTCCCTGCGGGAATTTGCGGAAAAAACTCTCGAAAACTTGCGCAAGAAATTGCGGCAGAAAACAACAAAAAATGCGACGAAAAGTGCAGAATGATGCAGAACTTGCCAGGAATTCGCGGATTTATTTACAGAAAATTGCGGATTTGGGCCAAATCACGAAATTTGTTGCATCGCATATCTACTCGGGAGTAGTCCGAGTCGTACTATGCAAATAACCTACAGGATCATGGAAAGCACTGCGTGAAAAGTGCATAAAAAAGTGAGATATAGTGCAGAAAACAAAAAATGCGGGAAATTCGCGGGTTTGGGCGAAAATCGCGAAATTTGTTGCATCCGTGGAATCGCGATTTCCTGGAGGGACAGATATATGCATGCGATTTGACATGCGTACTGTGATGTGGGTACATGTTTGGATTATTAATCAACCTGTTTGAATACTGTAATTTCAGAAATTTTCGGTGTACTTTTATTTTCGGTACTTTCGGTGCGTCTGTTTCATACCTAAAATTTCAATACACCGAACAAACACTAACACACATAAACCAATAGGGAACTGCTTCTCTGTACCGAAAATTTCTGTTCACCTAACCTAGCCTGTTGCCCTCATACCGAAAATATTGAGCACCGAAAAATTCTGAAATTAGAGTAATTAGAATGTCCGGATAATTAGGAGTGTTTTCCTCAGCATGCTTGAATTATCAGTATTCTACCTGTTTACCCGGACAGCAATCGTTAACGGAATTTCTTCTCCACAGCCAAATGATCTGCTCCTAGCGTGATCTGGGCTACGGAAGAACGCCTTCGCTAACGTCAGTGTCCGGTGTATGTGTATGTGAAGCGCCGGTAAGTACATCTACCAGTGCATGCCTGGGTACTCTGCATTCTGGGTGTTTGAGATCACTGACTGACATTCTGTTCTTTGTTTCTATCTATATGTACCTTGTTTCTATCTCTACGCGCTATCACCGTTTTAGGCACGGATGGGTCACCAAGACGGCGAAGGCTTAGGATCGACCATAAAAGGCATCGTCGAGCCCATTCTGCCGGAGATGCGAATGGGAAAGCGTGGTCTTGGCTTCACTCTTCCAGGATTCGAGCACACCGATGAAGACTTTCAAGAAGAAGATGCGGGAAAGGTGAGCGATCTTCTCATGCATGATGCACCTGACATTGTACAAGTACTAAGCATTGTGTGTAACTCTTTCCATGCATGCATCCACGGGGCAGTGTCTCATCGATGCTACATGTACTCACAGTCCGAGAGTCAAAAGAAGCGTATTATGAGCTGCTTCCTTGCTGTCACTGATATATCTACCATTTGGCTAGAGAATTGGCATGCGTACAGGGTTCCTAAATTTCCGAATCTTATATACCGTGTACATATGGAGTGCTGTCAGGAGACGAAAGACGGTGCTCCGAAGAACGAGCAGGATAGGATTTCAGCAAGCGCAGCATACCGATAATTACATTGTATATGACTTGCCCACACATAGACTGCTGTACAAACGGGATTGAGTACAGCCTGAGCTATGGCTCTGATCCTCCATTCTTCGGCGCTCAACGGTGCTGTAGTTGCAGAATGACCCAGGGTGTGTGTGTGTGTGTGTGTGTGTGTGTGTGTGTGTGTGTGTGTGTGTGTGTGTGTGTGTGTGTGTGTGTGTAAAATGGAAAAATGAAAAATAGGGATTCACTGGCCAGAAAAAGTCACTTCAAACAGCTGTGTGGTGGATACCAGGCTAAAAATAGTGGCGGTCAATTCATCAGCCTTGCAAGCTGTTGAATGGTGTAATCCCAGCACAAGTTGCTGTGTCTAACATAGCTGTTCGCTCTCATCGCTACCGCGATGGGCATGTCTGAGGTCTGAGGTGTGTGTGTGTGTGTGTGTGTGTGTGTGTGTGTGTGTGTGCGTGTGTGTGCGTGTGTGTGTGTGTGTGTGTGTGTGTGTGTGTGTGCGCGTGTGTGTGGTGTGTGTGCACGCACGCTTGTAACAGAAGTTGAGCAATGTTTCTATCTGGTGATCCTCCTTGCTTGTCTTTTCTGTTTGCCTCAATGTGTTTGCCACCAGGACGTTCCAGCGACTATAAAGGAGAAGCCTGAATGGGTGGAATCATGTACAGTGCCCATTCCTGACCCAGAAGAGCTGATGTCGTGGCTGCTAACTGGACCGGTATACCTACTAAGCCGTTAGGGCAGAGTCCTTAATCCTTATCAATATATGCATGTTCTTCTCCTCATGCTCTTGCTCCTACTCCTGGTCTTGCCACACATTGTCCATGCTAGTATGGTGGCGATGTATTTTAATATTCGTTCTTGTCCTGCATTGTGATGGAATCCTGGTCTACCTTCAGCTTTATCTTCCGCTCATAGTTGAGTGTCTTGATCTTTTGTTGGCTTTCTGTCTGTAGCTCAAGCTGGAAATCGAGGATGAGACACACTTCTGTCCAGAAGCTCCACTCCGGAGTATGCTAGCATCAAAGGTGAGCCATGACCGATGTATTAGGAATGTTTGGTCCTAAAACACAGCTTGTTCAATTCTTCAAAACTTATTTCTTCTCCCATGTATTTGCTACAACCTGAACGCTAGTACTGAAATATTAGTATAGAGGGGCGCGCGCATACTCCAAGACCAAAAGGTGCTACCTCTACAGAACCGAGTACTGTAGCTGACCATCCTCGACAATGTGAAGAATTTTAAGAGCCTCAGCAAGAGGACCGAGCTGGTGTGGAAATAATAATAATAAAATTCGCTGGATCCGCGTTAGCATCACTTGAATGTTCAGAAACACACAAGCTATAGCCTTCGCTTCCGCAGGCCACCACTATGCCTTTTCACCTTAGTGGCGAATGCAGACCTCACAAGTGAGTCAGGTGAGAGGAGGTGAGTCTCTCAACCAATCGGGCGTGTAACGACCCATAACCCTGTAAACTGCATCCTTGTCATCCTCACTCCGAGCTGTGAGTACCCAGTTGACCGTGGGTGTCGGCGCAGTTCAACACGCGTAAAAAATCTTTTTACACGCTCCCTGCTGCCAGCACGGGTCTCGAACTCGGGACCTCATGATTCGCAGGCAGGCCTGCAAACCAATCGGCCATATGCGTTGGTCACTATATCGGCATGAAATCGGTTTTGAAGCTTCAAACTGGGTGTGACCTGAAAGACGAGTCAATCGCCAGCCGTGGCAGCACAACCTTCCGTGCATAGTATGGACTGGCATTACAGGTGTCATGGTAACTACAATACACATGGATGTGCGTTCCCTTGCACCCGGGCATTCAGGCTGCTGCAGAGGCCATTAACACCTAACATTGCTGTGGGTACTGCACTCTTGATGCCACCTGTCAACAATAACTGACAGTAAGGCGATGCTCCAAAACAGGCACGGGTCTTGAACTAATGTTCTTTGCTATGACTGTTTATGCCATGGTCCTTCCCTGCTCCTGTGCTGCAGTCAGCGTTTGATCGTCTGGAGTCCAATGAGTTTCTGAAAGCCAGAACCCGCTCCAATCCGTACGAGCTGATTAAGAACGGTATTTTCCAGAATCGGTAAGGGGAAATAAGCTAATTTTGCTAGGCGTTAGTGCTATGTTGACTTTGTGATCATTCTAGTTCCTGTTGGCTTCAACCTGGGAAACGACAAGACGGTGGGCGTCACACCCATACATGCACTGCTGACTACAACACATGCCAGTGAAGGTATTCAAATTCGAATGGATGAAAGTTTCCACAATCCAGTGTGGCGAGTCTGACCTTTCCGATTCGTACTTGGTTGCACTGTTGTGCATGTACGTGTACATCTTACAGTACTTCACAGCCGTGATTGTCTACCCCTGCTGTAAAACCAGCTGGTAAGCGAACAAAGTAGTGGCGGATCAAAGTTCCTATATGGCAAATACAGGTGGAATCCTGATATTTCGAATATGGCTTAATTCGAACGTACCGCAAAAAATGTGTAGCATTCCTGCGAATAATTCGAAGTTCACTGTGTCTGTGGTAGCCAGTTCAGTGTGCTTGAGCAGGCTCTACTGGCCAGCTCCATATCCGCGGAATCTGCGTGCTTTGGTACAAAGCACAACTCTGTGTGACACTGCGAGAATCGTAACATACCTAATTCATAATGTGTTGTGGCATTGTGGGTACATGTCTATGTTTGGATCCTTAGAATGTCTGGATATTAGAAGTTTCTCCCTGTTATTTTTGGGGTTCAAATTTTCAGGATTCCTTCTCTTCTAAAAACTTTGGGGATAAGGTGAAACCAAAATAAAATCGAGATTCCCGGGCCCGGGCAGGACCCATGTGAAATTGGTGCGGGTGGGCGAATTTTTTAATTTTTAATTTATTTTTCCTTTGTATGCATGCCATGCATGCATGAACTGTTAAAAAATGGCTTTGGCTCGATTTTGGTGCGGGAGGGCCCAGGAATCTCTAATTTTTTTGGTCTCGCCTATTTAAGCTATAAATCTTTTTTTTTTAAATCTTGTTTGGGTGTTCTTGTGCATATGCTCAGTGCCGCTATGAAAATGGCGAATATGGAGAAGATCTTCGACTATATGTTCACATACCCCAAGAAACCCGATGGAGTGAGTTAGGCTATTTGGATATCATTATTAATATTTTATTATTACACGCATTCTCGCTTGGAAGTGTAGCAGCAGTATGCTGCGTCCACAGCTTCACTTATGCAGAATGACTATTTGGATAGCTAGTTCTAATCACTATCAACTACGGCTTGCCTTCTACCTATCCATAACTAAGAGTCTGCAACCGTGATCCCCCCCCCCCCCCTTTTCTATGGACCAGATGCTTGTGCTTGCTTGCTGCCTTCAACCCATCATGCAGCTACATCCCCACAATGCAGAATTAGACACCGCACTTTCCCTGTGATATGAAACCGAATGTTATTTGGAACTGAAGTTCATGCAGCCAAATTTTAGAAATCGCGTCGGTACTTCAACGAATCAAGGGAAAAAAGGACGTGCTTGTATGAGAGAGTGTGGGTTTTAGCGCGTGAGTTCAGCGTTTGATGCAGGCAAGTTACATAGTGAAGTTAGTGCATCATGCTTTGGTCCGTACATGTAGATAGTCCAAGTTGTTCCAGGTTGAGACACATGGCCTGTAGTCTGGCAACAGTTGCTTTTGATCCTTTGCTTTAGGCTTGCTCCTGTCAATCATTACACTTTCCTGCCAGCTTCACCTCGTGCATGGGATTCGGTACCTGTAGTAGCCACGCACATGTGTGTGTGTGTGGGTGCCTGGGTGGGTGCCTGGGTGGGTGCCTGGGTGGGTGGGTGAGTGTTCATGTTACTGCATATAGTATGTATGTGCTCTTGTGTGTACCTGAACTGCTATTCATGTATTCTCTTATGTTTGTTGAATGCCGGCGCAGTCAGAGCTAGTGGGAAAGATGGACCTGCTGTACTTTGCTGACATCTGTTCAGCTCCTGGTGGATTTTCGGAGTATGTGCTTTGGCGGCGGCGGCAGGACATGGCCAAGGGTTTTGGCTTCACATTGAAAAGTGGTATGATTCTACTGTTGTGGATATGGTGAAATGACCGGGCCACCGGCACCCTTACTTGCTTAGCGCATACTACATGCACGGTAACACTGTAAAAATGGACCGGCGTGCATGCAGTAGTGCTCACAGCTGCAAGGCCAGCGCCGCATGGCCGCTTGACTTCTCAACGGATTTCAATGTCCGCCGCAGTACTTTATCTTAGCTGTGGACAGCATAAGTTAATGATGTATGAAGACTCCAATGCAACATGATGTAAAGCAGTGATGTTAAGCCTCAGTCACACTATGTCAGAAATGCAGAGTCGGCGGCAACCTATCCAATTTGCCATCATGTGCTGCATCCATAATTATGACTGTGTCATTGTGCGAGGGGAGATACGCCTGCCTATTCATGGCTGTCGCCACAGACATGGTATGGGCTGATTTTTTTATTACGCTTTTTGCTCTGTCCTGTGGTGGATTTCTTTGCAGGCCCCGGCGTAAATGACTTCAAGCTTGATGACTTTTTTTCGGCGCCTGTGGAGTTCTTTGAGCCACACTATGGTATGTAGCAGTAGTGTGCCGTATGCAGTGAAACATCAGTATACCGTACCCCCCCCCCCCCCCCCCCCCCCCCCCCCGGCTGAAAAAGTCACGGTTCGCTTGAGACTCGGTTAGACTGAGTCTTCAGCATCCGTAGGAACGCCACCACCCTGCAAAGATCTAAAGCACAGATCCAGTTCCTAAAGCGGTGGGAGAGAGCTCAAAATCTGTACTACATTATTTCTTTATAGCTTAGACATTCTATATCAGGCGCGTGCTCGGCGATGGGCACGGGGGGCACGTGCACCCTCAAAAAATTTCAATCTGGGTAATTGCGATTGTAATGTATGCAAATATGCTCTAAAATTCAAGAAAGGTTGCAAATAAATTGCAGAAAATTGCCGGGGGGGGGCTCCCCTCGGCTCCCGTGCACCCCCCTAGTTGGGGGGCAGAGCACGCCCCTGTATATCCAAGGTCAATTGGCTGGCACAGCATACTGCTCAACATACATGTAGTACTTTATAGCCGATAGTATGTAATATCCAGGGTTCTTTATACTGAAGTTTCACTGTAGGCCATAGGCATAGGATTCAAGTTCTACTTTTAGGAGCATGTACGATCATAGTCATGTGACTTCGGCTATTGTCCTAAGGAATCAATCCCACTGATTCCTTCCTCTGACTGCAGGCGTAGACGGAGTGAATGGAGACGGTAATATCATGGACTCCGAGAACATCAATGCATTCCGAAGCTTTGTCCTCGACTCTACCGGTGGCCACGGCGTTCATTTCGTCATGGGCGACGGAGTAAGTACTAGTAATGTTACTTCAACTGCTGTGAAGTGCACTGACATGTTTTAAAAATGCACACTGTGTCGGCAAAAAGGCAGTTTTCATGTCAAAGGTGTGCATTGCTGCTTCGAAGTATTTCCAATAGGTAATTTGAACTAATTTCCAAGCACCTAGGAGTTTGGTCTGTATTGTGCTTCCTCCAAGTACATGTAGTACAGTACACAGCTGTTTTGTGTTGGCCTGTACTTCATGAGTGTGCAAAGCAATGCAGCTGATCCTTCTACATGTGATACAATCATGTGGGTTAGCCAGGAGAGTTTGATGGAAAATGCACCTTGCCCATAACCAAGCTGCAGTCCATGCTCCGCCATAAGGAATCAGTCCTTCTTTCGGGTTATTTCCTATCACTAGTAGCCATTCGTATTTGACGAAGTTGGTAACATCTGTATTTGCTCCATGGCAGGGATTTTCAGTAGCTGGCCAGGAAAACATCCAGGAGCTGCTCAGCAAACAGCTGGTGCTTTGTCAATTCTGCATGGCTATGTCGATCCTTCGACCAGGTGAGTGGGTACTGAAGCAGCACTGGATGCTGTTGGTTGTATCGAGAGAACATGAAAACCAGAGTATGCAGCTGGGATGGGTTGCTGTCACGGCTGAATTCCGTGATTACATCAATTTAGTGATGTAGTGCGTGCAAGCAGGATTCAAGCAGGTCTCTTTCTGCGCAACTGCAGCTCAGTTGTACGCACTACGCCATTTTCCGCCTCAGATCTGCGCCAAATATGATGTAATCACGGAATTCCGCCGTGACACACACACATTCTAGAAAAAGCCCCAAGCTGCACACTCTGTTTTTCATGTACTCTTGGTAGTATGTATGGGGGTTGTACGCCGTTACTTGTACTGGTCATGGACTGAAGTGCTTGTTGGGGAGCTATGCTACCTGTGTCTGGTATGCACAACAGGATTATGCAATGCTGCACTAGTGACGGATTTTGGACACTAGTAGTACCTTTGGTGCAACCATGGATATTGCGTAGTGGATGAGCCTATGCTGTTAGGGCGCAACCAACACATTTGAAATCGAGTTGATTGCCCTTTGCACTCTTTGGCAAGAGCCCCGTTGCCCCCGTCTCTCCTAAGCAAACAAAACCAAGTCCTTCTGTACTGTGTGTCCTGCAGGAGGCAGTTTTGTCTGCAAGATCTTTGACGTCTTCACGCCTTTCACTGTCGGGTTATTCTACCTGATGTGGCTCTGCTTTGACAAAGTAGCTCTGTGCAAACCGCTCACAAGTCGGCCTGCCAATTCAGAAAGGTGGGCTTCCTCTGCTAGTATGTTGCGAGTACTAGTACTGTAGCTGCTGTACTACACCACGTGGGGAGGCGCTGGCGGGTCTGTTTATGCTTGTTATCTGAATCATGCCTTGGCGATGCTGCCTATGCTGCTGTCTTGTACTGCAGTATAGACTGGGCTGTGTCTACTGGAGTAGCAGCAATGTTGCCAGTCTGTTTCTTGCACATCAGAAGCTACAAGCAGCTGCACTTCGCAGTGGCTTAGTCACAGCAACCACTTGGCTGATATCAACGAGCTCATCCAGCTGACAACAGCGTGCACATTAGGTCTTCATTCTGTGGTCTTCTCGTGAATGTCCTCTGACAGGTATGTGGTGTGTAAAGGCCTGCGCGAAGGTACTGAAGTGATTTATGACTACCTGTTCATCCTCAACGTCCGCCTAAACGAGATGAAGGCTGGTGGCCAGCAGACCGAGGACATTCACGAGGTATGTGGATCTATGTTGCTTAGTACATGTAGTTCAAAGTATGCATGGCCATCCGGATGGTATCTGCAACAACTGCATTGGCTTATTGGCTTATTTTGTTTTGTTTTTAATCCGTTAAGCCTGTGTTAAACCGCCTGCTGTTACACTCATCACCTTCCAGCTTTCAAGATATTGGTGAGACCTGGTCAAGAGACCACCTGGTCTCAGCCACTACTAGTACAATGTACTAGTACCTACTTTGTAAGACCAATGTTCTCTGGAACTGAATGTGCTGAATGTGCAAGAATCAACCTTGCTTGAAAGGCCATGATCGGTTGTTCCCATGGGTACTAGCAGTCGGTTGCTGAAGCCAGGTCTCGCCTGTGTACTTGAACCTGTGCAGAGAGACCATGTGGCTTGGTCGCTAAGAACATGCACTGCGAAGGTGTACATGTACTGGCAAGCATAGAACAATCATGTTGTTGGAACTTGCCCTGCACAACTGCAATCATGTTCTGCAAGCCAATGCAATGTGTTGTCATTTTTTTTAAATATTACATGTTTCCGTAATTACTGACTAGACTCTCAAGCCTTTGATTCGACCATGGTGTCTTTCGACTTCTGCCCACTTGTAGGTTGTTCCACTCGACATGATAAAGGCAGCAACGGGATTCGCGTCGTATGTGACTTCGTTCAATGAGACGTATGTACACGAACAAGTTGATGAGCTCTCTGCAACTGTATTGTTTAAAGGAGACCGTTCGGGATTACCTATTGTTTGTTTTTCAAAAGATTTTTGTCTTTTCCAGCTGAACCTGCCCACACTTTCTGCAGCTAAATCGCAATCCAACAAACTAGTGCCGGACCTGCCGGTATATGTGGTTTAGGATATCATTTCGCTTTGAAGAGAAAACAAATTGGTAGCTTTCGACTGCCCCCCCCCCCCCCACCCAGAGGGAAAAAAGTGGTGTATCAGCTGGCAGCCACTGTATCCAGAAGCTATTCACACATTATTATGTAGAATTACTGTTATTAATGTGTTGATAATGTATGCAGTAGTTGGTTGACACATGGGTATGTTGTTGCTCTAAACTGGGTCTGAGTTAATAAAAAAGTAATTTAAAAACCTGAACCAATCGTTTGATGCCCAAAGCCTTGCAGGTAACAGCAGGTCGGTCCTTTCTTGTCATTGCCCTGAGCAAGTGACGTTTGCCTGTCCTTGACTCTTGCTGTGTCGCAGATTTTCCAAAGCTCAAATCAATGCTCTGAGACGCCTTGCTGCTTATGTCCGCAACCCGTAAGTTCCAGTGAGCTGGTTTCGTGATAATCTTTAGTGGCATCTTCCTCAAGCAAAAACTTTCTGGTGTGTGTGTGTGTATGTGTGTGTGTGTGTGTGTGTGTGTGTGTGTGTGTGTGTGTGTCATTGTGTGATAATTGGCGTGGCATATCACTCCTGGATGTTGTTGGGAAAGTTGCTGCTCGAGTACTTCAGTCCAGATTACAGATTATTGCGGAGAATATTCTACCCGACTCCCAGTGCGGCTTTCGTAAGGGTCGATCTTGCACAGACATGGTGTTTGCAGTTCGCCAAGTCCTGGAGAAGTTGTACGAACATCGCTGCCCGGGATACGTTGTCTTTGTTGATTTACGTAAGGCGTACGACTCAGTAAACCGTGAATGCATGTGGCTGGTTCTCGCGAAGGCAGGGGTCCCTAGTAACATCGTAAACATCATCAAGTCGTTTCACACCTCCATGTCGGCTACTCTCTCCATCGGGTCAACACCCATCCAACCCATTGCAGTGAAGAGTGGTTTGCGGCAGGGCTGTTGTATGGCACCAGTCTTATTCAACATATTCATGTGGGCTGTTTTCCAGAGATGGTCCAGAGTGGTCGAGCATGTGCCTGGTATCGGCGTCCCGTTGGCATTCAATCCTGGGGGCTCGCTTTATTTCAAGAGAAAGCGTACTGACGATCAGACTACCATCAACGACTGCCAGTTCGCTGACGACTCTGCGCTGTTTGCCACTACCCGTACTGCTGCTGCTCTTGCTCTGGATATGTTCATCGATGTCTCGTCTGCATTTGGTCTGACCGTCAATCTGGACAAGACCAAATTTATGGCGGTTGGCTATGGTATCACGGATGATGACCGACTTCCTCTTCCTGTGAAGAATGGCACATTGGAATGTGTGCGTGAGTTCCGACACCTGGGTGCTGTTATCCATGATTCTGGCCGATCTCACAAAGATGTATCGACCCGTGTTTCATCTGCCTCCCGTGCTTTTGGAGCGCTCCGTCATGCTGTCTTCAATGACCACAATCTCTCTCTGCGCACCAAGCGTCTGGTTTTCGAGGCCTGTGTTCTGTCCTTACTGCTCTATTGTGCGGAGACGTGGGTACCGCTGCAAAGTGATGTGCAACGGATCACGACCTTCTACTACCGGTCGCTTCTTTCCATCATGAGTGTTGCACAGCGGGATGTGTGGGACTTGAAGATAGCCAAGGACACCATTCTGAAAACATGGAATGCAGCAAACCCACTGGATATCCCCGACCGCCTCATGCAGAGAAGACTGGAATGGCTTGGGCACGTGGTACGCATGCCTGAGGAGCGGATGCCGCGGATGTTGTTGTTTGGCACATTGCTGCCACCACGCCCAGCGTGTGGCCCGCGGAAACGATGGCGAGACGCAATTAGGGTCGACCTGCGACGAATAAACATCGCCGACGAGTCATGGTTTGACACAGCGCAGGAACGATCTGAGTGGCGACAAGCTTATCGAGCAATACAACCAGCTCAGAGGCCGGTTCGGGAGATAGTCTGCGAGGTGTGCCGGCGTGTATTTGCTCGGCAGCAAGATATCGCCCGCCACAAGTGCATCATGGAACGGCGTAAACCAGTCCAGCAGCAAGCCAACAGCCGCCAGTGCTCCCAGTGTCACCGATGGTTTCGGAGTGCGGGTGGCATTGCAGTCCATCGCTGTGTCCAGTCTAATTCTGCCCCGAATGTTGCCAATGCCACAAGCTCTTCACCTGTACGCTTATGTATTCGGAAACCGTGCTGTACCGCTCACTGTCCCATTTGTGAACGCTGCTGTAAGTCGATCCGGGGCTTTGCTATCCACAACTGCAACCGATCCACCAGGCGCCCAACTGCTGATGAAAGGGACAAGTTCCAATTGCAATGTCAGAATTGCCAGAGGCGTTTCAAAAGGCGAAACGACTTATCCCGTCACCAACGCTCATGTCTCCTCTCGTCTCCGTCTCGCTCAACGAGAAACACGTGACCTACATGGCAGTGTATACCAGGACCAGGTGTGTGTGTGTGTGTGTGTGTGTGTGTGTGTGTGTGTGTGTGTGTGTGTGTGTGTGTGTGTGTGTGTGTGTGTGTGTGTGTGTGTGTGTGTGTGTGTGTGTGTTCTTCCAGTGGAGTCTAGGTGGGACTTCGGGTGCCCACACTCCATCACCTGGTTGATTGTTTCGGAACTACAATAATACAGGTTCAAATAATTATTGTTTGAACTTTCCTTTTTGTGCGTATCTCTTGTCATCTCTCTTTTCTATACGTCGCACACCAGATGTACTACTATCGCTGTCTTTCTCCTGCTATCTCTCTCTGCTTGCTGTTTTTGTTTTTGTTGCCACTGCCCCTCATCATACCCATGCTTGGGTGGAGGGCGGCGTGACCCGTTAGGGTAGCTGTCAATACAGTACAGTACAGTGTGTGTGTGTGTGTGTGTGTGTGTGTGTGTGTGTGTGTGCGTGCGTTTGGTCACTGTAACCAACATGGCATGCACAGTCCAGCAGCCATGCACTGGGACTGCAGTACCCTACTATCTAGCCTCACTCCTTTTCTTGTGTTGATTACAGTGATCTCATCGTGCCTGACCAAGCTAAGATTAAGCATGATTGCTTATTGGAATGGAAGGTAGGGCCGCGAGTGTGTACCTAGTTGACGTGACCTTTCAGGGTTGTCATGACTCTCCATCGATAGAGGGTGCTTCAACGTTTTTATCTGCATCACTTGAATGGTATCTTCGCCTAGAGTTGCACTTGTGGTGCCCCGTTTGCTTTGGTACTTGAAGTGCTTTGCATTACGGTTAGCATCCGGACAATCCTGTGCAGCTGCTGGTATAGCATAGCTCTACCTCTTTTTGTTGTGCTGTTGCAGGTGCCAGACAAGGTGCGGGCTGCTCCACAAAGAAAACCAGCTAGCGACAAGATAGCCGAACTGGATGCGGAAAGGGTAAGTAACTCTGAGTGCTGCTTAGGCAATAGTAAAGGCTTTCTCAAGCAAAAACTTTCTGGTGTGTGTGTGTATGTGTGTGTGTGTGTGTGTGTGTGTGTGTGTGTGTGTGTATGCTTTTTTGGCTTTCTCTTGTGCTGTTCGTATTCAAGTACCTAGTATTCTCTCTCTCCTCTCTCTATCTCTATCTCGCTCTCTCTCGCTCTCGCTCTCTCTCGCTCTCGCTCTCTCTCGCTCTCGCTCTCTCTCTCTCTCTCTCTCCCCCCCCCCCCCTCTCTCTCTCCCCCCCCCCCTCTCTCTCTCTCTCTCTCTCTCTCTCTCTCCCTCTCTCTTTCTCTCTCTCTCTCTCTCTCTCTCTCTCTCTCTCTCTCTCTCTCTCTCTCTCTCTCTCTCTCTCTCTCTCTCTCTCTCTCTCTCTCTTGTATGTGTGTGTGTGTGTTTCCATTATTTTCTCTTGTCCATTGTATGCTATCATGTTGTTTTGGCCAGGAGGTGCACAGCTTCCACGGCAGTGTGTACAATCCATCAGATTTGACGAGTATCGAGACACTCAAGCGCAGTGTGACCAGCCTGGACGATTGGCACTGTTCAGTCTGCTGTGGACAACGGGTGCTTCTACTCGGAATGGGGGTAGGTGTGTGTGTGTGTGTGTGTGTGTGTGTGTGTGTGTGTGTGTGTGTGTGTGTGTGTGTGTGTGTGTGTGTGTGTGTGTGTGTGTGTGTGTGTGTGTGTGTAGCAATGATAGTGCAAGCAGCAATGCGCTATCATTGCCACGAAATGGTCAAGCTGCTTGTGTGCTTGTGGGAGTGTGTAGGTGTGGGTGGGTCGGGGTCCGTCTGGTGTGGAATGCGTCACATGTAACCATGATTTTGCCGGGGAAGTGGATGCTTCTTGGCGAGAGAAAGGCAGAGCATGCCATGTACAGCCTGTGTGGTAGCATCGTGGTGCGGGACCTGCATGCACTGGCTGTGGAACTGTGGTGAACTTCCTCGGCGTATGTATGCCCTACCAGACTCTGGCAATTGCTGTGACACTGTGTGGCGGTCACAGCGGTGACGATGGCAACTTTGACTGAGAGTGTAGTACTGCACACTGGTCTGATTTTGTCCGCTGTTTCCAAAGCCCAGCTGGCAGGGGCGGAACTATCGTTGTCGTCTCAGTATGAAAATCAGCTCAAACCAGACTGCAATTTTTACATGAATGTGTCGAAAGTCACTCCGGGCTGACTAGTCCGGGGATGGATATCTCCTTGCTAGCACTTCCTTAGAAAGATTTGCTCAGGATCGTTGTTGCTGTGTGTGCATGTGTATGTGTGTGTGTGTTTCCAGCGCTCAAATGTTTTTGCCTTTCACAAAGATAGCCGTAACTTGTGGATCAAGGACTCCCGGACTGCCAAGCTTGTTCTTCCAGCGAACACGCTCATTGAGGCAGAAATTGTTGAGGAACTCAAAGGCGAAGTAAGAATCTATCTCCGTTTGTTCCTTTATTTTCCTTGTGTGCATGCCAATGGTAGTGCGGTGGTGGGTGCATGCACGTCTAGAAATATTTTGTTTCTGCAGTGGGCAGTTTTGTTTAGATAGCCAGTGCATGCCTTGGATTGACCCACCCTGTGTCTGTGTTCATGTGCATCACTTGTGATTAGGGAAAGGGCCAACGTCGATGTCCTACCGTGTACATCACAGATGCACTGTTTATTTATGGCAAAGATGTCCGCCAGCGGCATCATGACGATCGGTAAGTTGCGTATGTTGGAGTGCTTTGCTTTTTTCCCGATTGCCATTAGAAAATAAGAAGTTGTGTTGCTCTTGTTGTGCGACTGCGATGGTTCTCACTGTTGTATTAGTTGGTGCGAAATCGGTGGCAACTACGGAGATTGCACAGCTCACACAACACAAGACCTACATCAGAATATCTCGTTCTGCACTGAGAGAAGCAATGGTGTGCAACTGTCCCATCACTTCTGATGTTTATTGTGAATGTATTCTTTTTCTGTTGAAGTGTGTATTGGTGATCTGCTGTTCTTGTAGGCTGCGGCATGCTGACAAAATGGTCCGCGCTCTGCGCTGCCTGTCACGTTCAGACCTGATGGTGATCCGGTGAGGGGGCATTCTGTGTACCGTTGTGTGTGTAAGTGTGTGTGTAAGTGTGTGTGTAAGTGTGTGTGTGTGTGTGTGTGTGTGTGTGTGTGTGTGTGTGTGTGTGTGTGTGTGTGTGTGTGTGTGTGTGTGTGTGGTGTGTGTGGTGTGTGTGTGTGTGTGGTGTGTGTGGTGTGTGTGGTGTGTGTGGTGTGTGTGGTGTGTGTGTCTGCCTATCTGTCTGTCTGCATGCAGACTTTGTACATGTACATTCCGAACTGACTGTTTGTTCTGATTAGAGCGCGTTGAGACTACCGTGAATCCCGTCAAACCGTAAAAGGCAATAAACCATGAAGGACATTCACACTACCGATAAACTAACGTTACCGGTACTTAAGTTTTGCAGCTCTCACCGCGGCACTGAGAAGGGATTTTCCCTTTTTCCCAGCCTGAGCGCTCTTTTTACTGCCGGAAAAGTGTTACTGCCGCAGCAGCCGCGGCAGTAAAACTTTTCCGCCGGTAGTGTGCCAATAATGTCACGTGATCAAATCACCTTGGAAACTTTCCCATTCCGTCACTTTATATCGGTAGTCTGAACGCGCCCTAACATCAAAGATCCCAGACAGGTAAACTGGCCTTAGGGCCTAAGGCCAGTTTACCTGTCTGGGATCTTTGATGGGCTCTACTGGGAGCTCAGCCAGATGTGCTGAAATTGCCTGAAAATAGTGTGGGAAATGCCATACATGCGCTCCAGCCCGGCCAAGTGGGCTAGCTTTGGCATGTGACTTTGGGCTATGTGTGATCAGACGTGTGAGTTACTACTTGAAGAATTTAAAGCTGAAATTGAACTGCCAAAAATGGCTAGCTTTCAGTCAAGTTAGTTAGCCACAGCGCTTCTTTTCCCTATTCATGGCCATAAACCTCGTGTACACATGTAGTGGGCTGACTCCCAAGACTGTAGCCAATGTTGGTGTTATCAGTACTCGTGAAGCAAGGCCCTGGGAGAGCTCCCTGTTCTTGGCATGTCAAGAAAGCTGACTTTGCTAAAGTAATGATTATTCGGGTGTACATGTATCTCGATGTAACTGTTGCGTCTTCCTCTCATTCAGTGTGAACCATCCCGTCAAGATAAGCCGAGTTCACGAACTATTTGACAGGTAAGAGGACGTGGGCCAGTAATCACAGTTTTCTTGATGGTGTAGTTTGGCGAAAGCAACATGACTGCTTTGGAAGACAAACCAGATAGAGTGCTCAGCCAAGACGAGGAGAGGGAGCGTACTGCACTCGATAACTTCTGATTCTGTTCTTGTTCTCTGTGATGTTGCAGACTGTCGATGAGAAAAGTAAAGGGCCGGGCGCAAGAGCGCCTGACCTATCAACTTGCTGGCGGCAACGGGGAGCCATTTGTGTGTCCTGAGGGAATGTCGTTCAGCCGTCACATTGCACGTGAGTCGGTATTTGACTAGTGTGTGACAGTGCAGCGGCGTTCAGCATACTGTGCTGATGACGAATGTTGTGTGAAGACTGTCAGAGAATGGCACTCGTGTTGACCTGAGTCCACAGTGTGTGTCTACACGGTCACAGCCCTATTTGATTATTATAATGCCAGGGAGCATTGGATTATGCATGCCTGGAACAGGGACACTTGGAACACAACACAACTGTTGATTGTACTGTTGCGTACCGGTGTACTCAGAAGTACTCAGAACATGTTCTACCTTCTCTGGCCTTGAACCTGGAGCAGCCAAAGCAGTTTGAACTTTCGGGTTGATCTGCCTTTGTTATTTTTCCCATACGGATCGTTTTATGCGTGATTGAGTGCATGACACGCTCAAGTTTCCCGCCACTTGAATATGTAACGCAGGGCTATATACGATGATGCAGTAATCTGCAATCGATTTAAAAGTCACCTGGGTAATTAGTGTAGTTCTATTTGCCCAAGGCTGTTCCAGTTATTCCGGTTGTTCACTCTTGTTCTGGAACAGCTTTAAGCGAAAGCACCCTAGGTTAATGGCACTGTTTCACTGCCTTTTGTCTGGCTTTTTTCAGCACCTTGGACGCGTTTGTTCAGCAAATCCCAACAACGACCATACTTCTGCAATCCCAATTTGAAGAAATCAGTATTCGAATGCCCTACGGACGCACATGCTGCCTACTCGTGAGTATTCCGGTTTATACACGGCCGTTGGGTCATCTACAGTTGCGCTCACCGAAATCCGACCCAAAAGTGCACAACTGACGCCCTGGACCAGTTTTGATTACATCTATGTGCTTGTACATGTGTACGTCCAGCCCCGTTCGTACCACTTCCAGGACGTCAAGGGCCGTGCAAGTTGAGGGCGCTAAATTTACACTTCGGGTCGGATTTCACCGAGCACAACTGTAGGACCACAAGCCCTGTACTTTGCTCCTTCTAATAAGATTTTCCATCAACTGTTCAGAACTAGCGTCAGTTATTCCAGCATACTTCAGTACATTCAGTGGTGCGGCATGTCACTTTTTTTTGCAGCACAACGTCAAAATTGTGTCACGGTTAGGCCTACGTAGTGTTAGTATGTGTACGGCTTGTGTGGCCTTTAAACATGCAATGTGATATTGGACGATCATGCTCTACAGTGCGTTTCAAAAATATAGACGCGTGAGTTCAAAAAACCGTTAGGCCAGCATCTATACCACATAAAGTCTGTGATCGCTTTGTGCATAAAAATTTGGAAATTGGGTGTTTGCTATCCAATCGCTTAAAAATCGATATGAGATTAATTGCAGGAAGGACCTGAAAACTATTCCGAAAAAAAGTTCTCGAAAAGCTCCAGCCAAATTTGAAATATTTCAAAAATGCCATGCGTCTATATTTTGAAATGGACTGTACATTTATAACGCGAACCTGAGGTTATTTCTGTGCTGGTGTTGACTCTGCAGTCGCTATCTGGACTCCAGGTGTAGCTGGCCATGGGGTCGTGATGACACACGAATGCACTATGAGCTGACCAAGCCGCCTTCATCCGCTGCTGGCTCCTCCATGAAAGCTTCTCTGCTCGAATTCGTTGCTGCAGCGCGATCTCACTGACCACCGTCATGTAATTTCGTCCGTGCCATGTGCAGGGTTTTGTAAAATACTAGGTGTCAAGTTTTGTGCCCCCCCCCCCCCCCCCCCCCAGAAGTGTTTCTCATGCTTGTACATAGCCAGCTCCAGTCAACACTATTTGTTGCTAATCCTTCGCTACAGAAACGCTTTTAATCTCCTCCTAACGATATCGGTGCGTGTTAGTTTGCTGTTGCCATCATGGTTCTACCGCCATGCACTGTTCAAGTACATAATAATCATCATGAAACTACAAGTATATAATCCTTTCATATTGATCATACTTTGCCTTTAAAATTACTTTTGATCCTTTAAAAAAAATTCCACCATTGTTATCTTTTATCCACCATTAGTTTGGCTTGTACATCTGTTGTTGACCAGGGACATGTCCTTATTCAAGTTTAGTATCCGTCTACTATCCAATATTTTTCGATACCCTTTAGTGTGCTCTGTTACGTGATGCCCGCGTGTTGTATTCAGCGGCTTGGACCGCCGTGAATGCCAGGACACTCTGCTGGTAATGTGTTGGCAGACAAGAGTTCCAAAGCATTCAAATGTGAAACTTTACCGGCCGTCATTCATCATGGTCATACCATCATAACAGACACTCGTCGGCACACTTGCAAGGAAGGCTGCAGACTACAATCATGATGATTCCTATCCAGAGCAGAGAGTCGTCTTATCTGACAACTCCCAAGACGGCCCCTGGGGGTTTGGGACTCTTGGTGGTATGGAGGACCCGCTATTGTATGAAGTAACATTAGTTACTTGTAAGTTAGTTGTAGTGACTTGCAGCATGGTCATGGGGTTATCGTGGTTATTGCCCAAGTAAGGCAACAAGGAAGGGGATAATCCCCCTCATGCTCAGCTCAGATCATGCATGCATGCAGCGCTGCCGCATCGATCTCATGCATGCGAAGGTGTGCACGTGTGGCGAGCGTGGTCAAAATCATCAGCTGACATGACATGATATAATGATCTTCAGCTTCGGAACTTCGTGAACGTGGTTCAAGTCTTCAAGATTTTTTTGACTTCAACTTTCAAGCAGCTCTACGGTACACACTCACTGAACCGACGCGATAGAGCAGCGAAGTGATGATGTTCCAGAACTGTCTCAGGTTCTCTTGCCTGGGGTCTCGAGCCCATCTGCCTCCTCATACTCTTCGCCCTGTGAGGACGAATACGAACATGTCCAGTACGAGTGGAGAAATTATTTAGAAGGACTTCTTCTCCATGGCACAGAAGTTTAGTTTGCACACGATTCAAGGACACTGTGACAGCGTTACCGTATAATGTTTGTTTGCTCAGAGACTTACAGAGAATGTCGCCGATGGAAATGTTGAAAGTAGTTCACAATGCAGTCGAAGTCAGATCAGGTTTTCAGTTCAGAATCGCCTTTGAGTTTGAATGATTCGCACGAGTACCGGTATTTATGATCATAGTCTAGTGGACTGCAGACAAATTTAGGATTTCCGTACACCATGTCCGAAAAGCTCCGAGAAAATCGAGACTATGGCGAAAGAAATGTTCGAACGCCTGTCGGTGGATGCCGGTAGCCTTGAATCATTGGGTTTATATCGACTTGTTGATGTTAGGAATAGCTCTGTATTCCATGGATGGTCGAAGGACACATGTAGTGACTGTGTGCTGGACAACGACACCGGTCATCTGCCTGGGTGCATGCTGTTCAGCCACTCCTGGATATGCTCGACAAGCGCTAGCGATCAGCAACACAGAGCCAGACAGCGTGCAGAACTAGCCGGCCTGGATTCGAGCGAGCAACCCATCGCCCTGATCGGACATGGCTTAGACTGTGACAGGTGCCATACGGATATAGCGTGCAGCACTGGCAAGTGGCTGGTGGATACTTTCCTGTTGCCAATATCTGATATATTTATAGCAGTATGTCCAACATTAGCTACTGATTGTAGAAGTAATCATGGCAATGAATGTGGAAGAGAAGAATCGACGGTCCGGAATAGCCGTTATTTGCCGGCGCTGCACCGACTACCTGAGTCAGATATTTTCATAACGCCGGAATACCTTGCAACTAGAATAGGCCATGACGGCCAACCTGTGCATGTTGTCCATGTTGGCTGGGAGGATGATGGAGTTTTCCTTGCCAAGCATATACCCACTGCTCATTATGTAGACCTCGGCACATGGGAAGACGTAGTGACAATGAACTTCCTCTCACCAGATTGTTTTGCCGTTCGCACTAATCCAGCAGTTGATGCGTCCCGTGAGTGTTCTGGCTCAGCATTTGCCAGACTTCTGAAGTGTCCGCGCCCCAAGATAGTGCTCTATGATGACGGTGTGGGCATCGCTGCGTCAAGACTGGGCGCGATGCTGTGGTCGCTGGGCTTCACCAACCTCTCTATTCTCTCTGGCGGCCTACGAGGTTGGTGTCGAGCCGGATTCGGAACGGACCAGTTGCCGAAAGGCTCCCTAGTATCCGTACCTCTCTTGGAGCATGGCACTGATGTGGATGCGCAGTTATCGGAGCACCGGGACAATGGCGATGTGTTTGTTGATATGGAGTTTGTACAGCAAGTGACACTCGGTCAGCACGAGAATGCAGTGCTGGTCAGCTGCTGCTCGTGGAGAGAATATATTGGCTGCGTGAGCGGCTACAAGTACATATCGCGCAAGGGACGCATCCCCACGGCACGCTGGGCACTGTCTGGAGCAGGCAAGGATGACCTGTGGCACTGGCATGATGAGCTGGGTGTTGCCACTGACTGGAAGCACTTGGCACGGCTATGGGCCGTCGCCGGCATCACGCACTCAAAGCACGTCATACTGTACTGCGGCACAGGCTGGCGCTGTTCCGCCGCCTGGTTTTATCTGCGTGCCCTTGGCTACCAACACGTCAGTATCTATGATGGAGGCTGGCTGGAGTGGAGCTCGACGCCTTCCAACAAGGTAGCACAGGACGTTCCCGTGTCCGAATGGTTCACCGCACTGCAAAATGTCCTACCATCCAGTTTGTTTGACCTTGAGTGTGGTTGATGTGAATGATGGCTTCTTCAACTCAGTCCACCATTCCTGTAATACTTTATAATTATTATTTTTACAGATGAACTTTCTTGCTGGATTTTTCCTTGTTCTGATTTGCAAGGCTTTTTACTAGTTTTTGGTAAGTTTTTACACATCATACTTCAAAGTATTAGCTTATATAATTTTATTAGGTACAATCTCAATGGAAAGTAACCAAAAATATACAAGTAGTTGGTGTGGTGATCCTGACGCATGGCAAAGTTGAACCCACTTTAGCTTTCAGATCAGTCAGCTTTGTGCTAGGATCCCCTCCCCAGCCCTGCACTACATTATTATTTTCAAAACCTGCGGCCATATTATTTATTTCGCCAGTGCTGCTCCATACTTGCCACAGCCATCATACTAAGTAGTAATTATACATCCTGAATGAGTATCAAATATTTACTGAATGAGTATCCTAATTTATTTCACATTCCAACATGGTTCTTATATATCTGCTGCTGTGTGTCCATGAGTAGTTAGTAGCTGCGCCTTCCCGTCGATGAGAACCGGCGACATCGTGCGGAAGGCAAGGCTGCACCTACGGTCCATTCGCCAACTCGGGGCCCCTGACTCTAGTACTTCAGAAGTATACTAAAATATGTGTCTGAACAAATACTTTTTGCACATAATTATAACAGCATTCCATGGAGATTGCAAAAAAAACAGCGGAAAAAATCAAAATTTGACCAGAAGCTGGGTTATCATTTTTTTTCACTGTTTTGTAGTTGCACAGTCGTAGAAACGATTATTGTGTGACACAAACAGTCGATGGCCGAGGGTCGGTTGTAATCGTTTCCTGCGGCGTGCCGCAGTTTGACATTATTACGTTGCGTCGCTTCTCTTTTTTTTGAGTGTGTTTCCTTTCTGTGAGAGTGTATGGCATTCTTATTCTATGTCAGTGCTCACTTCATTGAATTTCGCTGGATTTGAGTAGGGTTCCAATTTCCTTATCACCTTCTTCCTTTCATGCAATTTTTTCAGTACGTGTACATGTACTTGAATTGTGTTCTACGCCTCCATAATCACAAGCAACTCACTTACTTCACCATCACAATTCACAACCGCCCCCAAAGTAACACTAGTTGGTTCAAACTATGGAGGGACTGAGATAAAATACTGGGGTTGAAACGAATGCGCCATGGAGTGTGCAACTCTCCATCTATGCTGCATAAAATCAAGAGCAAAATACGGGTTATGAACGAATGACTTTTCTTTCAGTAATACGGTAGTTATAATAAGCTGTCCCCGGGGAAAATTCCTCATATCAACTGCAAACTTGCCGCCGCGAGATATCAATAAATATTATTCACCGCATATTTACTGCATATTAACCGCAAATTATGCCATATTATGCCGCGTTTTTTGCCGCGTTTTTTTTGCGATTTTTTCCGCAATTTTCCCCGGGGACAGAATAAGTTCTGTTCAGGCTGTAGTACAGTTGTAGCCTGCACGCACGGTGACCAGGTGACTGGTGTACGCATGAGCAAGTGGCCGCTTACCCACCTGGGTTCGATTAGGAATAAGGGCTGAACGCTGCATCGCAGCCATTTCGGGCCAGTGCTCTTCTGGGACAGGTGGTCGCATTGACAGGTTCTCCAAGAATAAAATTTAAAATAACCCTCCCGAGTGTGCAACGCCTGATCCAGCTTTGCATAGGGTCTTGGTCGAGCGTAATCGGATCGCTGCGTCATAATACCGTACACATCCGAGAGGAACCCGGGTACTCCTGGATCAAAAACAACGGTGCCCTGCCTCGCGCTGGTGTGGAGTGTACGCATGACATGAGAAGATCCGATTACGCTCGACCAAGACCCTATGCAGAGCTGGATCAGGCGTTGCACACTCTTGGTTTTACCAAGAGTACATAACCCCCAACTTCCCCCCGGCCCCCAAGAGTGTGCAACTCGACTATGGGTGCTGTCCCGGCAGAATTTCAAGTTGACGTCATTTTGATGATGCAATGCTCACTGTACATGTACACAGATTATCAGACGAATCCGGAATCTGTGGTGGACCAAAGCCTATCCTGATCCAGACCAGTACAAATTATTGCAAAGAAAAACGTGCGATGCGTTGACACCCGTACACATGTTGTAAATCACTGGTGCAAGGAGCATTGCATCATAAAAATAATGACGTCAACTTGAAATTCTGTCGGGACAGCAGGGTATGTGGGAGTTGCACACTCTGGGGGGTTATGTACTCTTAAGCGGGATTCACAGAAGCTTTTTTGTGATGCGACACGCGATGCGACAGGCGCGAAACCGGGAAAACCCCAAATCGCAGCCATGTCGCGGCCCACGCAACTGCCGCAACTGGGCCATCGCAGAAGTTGAGCTTGGCTCAACTTTTGCGATGCGATGCGACAAGCGATTTGGTGTACGATTTTGACCTTTTCTACAGCAAAGTTGTACAAAGGTGCAAGAGTTGCCTATAAATTTTTACAAGTTGTGTCAAACCGCGCGAATATCATGGTGACGTACCCAAATCAGCAAAACTTTGTCGCATCGCTGACTTCTTCTGTGAATGGTATTTCGCGAGTTCGCATCGCACGCATCCATCGCAGATCGCGTCGCATCGCAGAAAAGCTTCTGTGAATCCCGCTTTAGTCTTGGTAAAACCAAGAGTACATAACCCCCCAGAGTGTGCAACTCCCACATACCCGGCAGGCCTGCTGTCCCAACGCATCACACGTTTTTCTTCGCAATAATTTGAAAAGGACCAGATCGGCTTCGGTCAATCACAGGTTCCGGATGATCCGTGTACAGTGTGCATTGCATCATCAAAATGACGTCAGCTTGAAATTCTGTCGGGACAGCACCCATACAGTAGAGTCGCACGCTGAAGAACGTCCAGCCTGAAATTCTAATGCCACACCGATTCATACTTCATCTCGCGCGATGGGTTTCCCGCACGCGAAATAGGTGAGCTCAGATCAACTTTTTCGCGACACGGCGCGTTTCCCGCACGCGGCATGAAGTATGAATCTGGCTTAAACTTTTTTAAAGTTAAAGCTAAGAACTGCGGTGTTGGTTTTCTGGCAGCTTGTGGAATACATGGGACCCAGTACGGATTGTTTCTAATAACGTGCTATAAGAACGAAGCCAGATTGCTGACAAAATAAGAACGTCCCAGGCTAACCCCTTGGAAACAACGTTCTTGGGCGCGCGACTCTACTGTAGTCGAGTTGCACACTCTGGGGGGTTATGTACTCTTTGGTTTTACTGTAGTTGTATAACGTCATTAGACACCCTTAGCAAACAACGGTAACGCTATTTTTTACGGTACTCGTACCTTGATCACCCAAATAGCGTTGAAGCTGCAGCGTATAAACGTTATGGGGGCTGATTTATCGTTGTGACCAACGGTACGTGTTTTGGCCAAATATTGCATAGTCCGTACGCATTTCACCTTGTATCGCGTATATGGTGACAAAAATGGTTGTACCGCGCGAAATCAAAGCTACTCTCGTGGCAACAGCGTACTAAAAATAGCGTGCATCTTGCTAAAGGTCGAACCCAAATCACGGTATTTTCCCCCTTACGATAATACCGTTACAACATAACGTTTTTTGCTAAGGGTGTCTATTACCGTAACGGTCCGTTGGTCAATTTCATGCAATGTAGCTGATACATGTAATTGGTGTTAGTGGACATTATAGCGCAACATGTAGTGCATCTGTCCTTTCTCTTATAAGGCCAAGTAAAAAAATTGATTGTTTATCGTCCGCGCCCGTCCCAAATTTTATTTTTTAGTACTGGTAAATGCACTGTATGTACTGCGGTCTACAGCCTCTAATAAGTAGGGCTGAAACGATTATACCGAATGATCGAGTACTCGTTTGATAACTCTAACGATCGAGCAATCGTTTAGATTACCGATTACGATTATTTTGCGTTTTTTAAATTTGTGTCCAGAAAGTACGGTAAACCCTCGTTTTGTGAAGTTTGAATCAGTTTCCGCTGGGAGTATGCAGTTGCTAGGGGTATGGTTTATATTCTGAGGTTAAATTGACTTCAAAACTGCCATGCTTCGGAGCTACCCTTTCACTAATGCAGATTTGTTGGTATTATGAAGGCATAGTTTGTGGAAACAGAGTAATGTTTGCACAGAATTATGACTCTATTTGCTAACGATTATAATCGATTACTCGATCGTTAAGCTAAAGAGTAATCGATACGTGAAAATCCATGATCGTTTCAGCCCTACTAGTAATAAGCATGGCCGTAGATTTTCGAAGGTCAAGTCCACAGACTGAACCATAACTTAGTTGCTATGGGCTTGAAAAGTGAAACTGATCATCAGCTGCCTGATTTTCTTCGTTTTTCTACGTAACGTTGGTTGTTCCACTTTCCATTATCCTCTGGGGTTGCGAACACCTGCCCTACAGCCATAAATGCATAATAAAAACTAAAATTAAAAACCTCCCGTCCGCCCCGATTTCTCGGGAAAATCTGACGATAAACAATCAATAATTATATTTTACATGGCCTAAAAATAATTTTGTTGAATGCAGGGCTGTAATTAGCGTGAATAGGGAGGAAGATTGTGATTCATTGCTTTCAGGAGGAACAGCACACTGCACAAGTATCCCCATATGCATGCAAGACAAAGAACTTAGAAAACCGCACTTCTATAAAAGTTACTTCTCGTGGTCGAGCTATCCCAAGCACATGACAAACAATACACACCTGGCCATACCGACGCCAGGATGCAACACGATAGCCAATCTGAGCACAAGAGAAATCGCTTCTGGTCTTTTATTGATTGAAATACATGTTAGTGGGCAGCTTGAGCCTTTCGCATGGCCTGGAGGTGAGCAGAGAGCTCGTCACGCTTTCTCTTTCCACGGATGTGGGCACCAAGCTGCATACACAATAAAACATAAAAGAAAATACTAATCGATGCATGCCCTGATGAGACGACGGATCTCAATTTCACAGTGTTGATAAATGAAATTCTGGTAGCTGGCGCCCAACACTATGCTGCAAGTCCACTGGGCTGATGCCAACGGTTGATATACATGTATTTGATGAGCAGGGGTCGTATTCAGCACAATTGTACAAACTACGAAAACTATAGAACATGTGCACAACATCACAGTGATACACATTTTCGGGACGAAACGCATGCTTTCAAAAATCACATGCCGTAGTTTTGGTGCTTTGCAGGTCACAAGAAGGTGCAATTACCATTTCATCCTGTATGTTTGTGTGGATAGTGTACCCATTTCGTCATTGCGCCATCGACCTAAGCGACCTGCAGCATGTAAATGCTCCAGGCAATATGTGTTCATGGCTGGTTAAAACTCGACACGGGTTAACATAGCATAAGGGACGATCCAAAGTTACCGATCGTTTTTCAAAACGGAAAGTTTTCGTTTGGGGGTGGGTGGGTTTATGTGCTTCATTTTGCTCGCGGATAGTGCCCAGTTACTTCCTTGGGGGTGCCGAGGATTGAAATCAATACGTTGGTGGAATTCGTTTTACCTTCAGAAAGGGTGGCACCTAAGGCCTTCTGCAGACTACGTACATATAACATCCAGTACAAAATCACATAAAACCTAAAAGGCAACATTTTCCACGCCTGCATTCAGACTACACATTTTACATGCAACATACAGGCAGCATTTGACCCTACACAATTGCACAATAGGCCTGGGATGTGTGAATGCAGCAGAAAATCGTACAAAGTTTGTACATTTGTACGACTGCCTGGTGAAAGTACGATAAATGCAGGAAAGTTGCCTTGCACAAGGGTTCGCACCCTGCCTGAAAGGATCTGGCGGCTTTCTAGGTTTCCCGCCAGATTCTTGTAGTTGTCTTGGAAACTTCCATGTAAATGTGACTTACAGGCTGTTTCGTACCTAGTCTGAAGAGGGCCTAAGGCCCTCTTCAGACTAGGTACAATAATCTGGCAGGAAGCCTAAAAAGCTGCCCAACCCTTGTACAAGGCAACTTCTCTGCTTTTACTTTCACCAAGCGTACAAACTTTGTACAACACTCTGGCTTCACACAATTGCGCAGGGTCAAAGGTTATCAGTATATTGCATGTAAAATGTAGTCTGAATGTAGGCTCGGAAGAATGTTGCTTTTTAGGTTTTATGTGATTGTGTACTGGATTTTCTATGTACGTAGTCTGTAGAGGGCCTAAAGGAACTACAGGGCGGATATGGATGCAAAGACAACGCATTAGGGATGGTCAGCTTTACAACTGACAAACACACCAGTGGAAGGCACGTATCCAAATCATTATCGTAATATTTGGGGCTGACGGCGGTTACTGGTTATTTTCCAAAACACCAAGCTTTCCTTTTCCTCTTACCAACCGCCTACCCACCCTTTCTATACGTAAACAAATGTCAACAAAACATTGATTTCAATTTTCGCACCAAGTAGAAACTGGGTATTCTCCAATTGCAATAAATTATTCATAAATCCTAAAACCCACCCACCTCGAACAAAAACTCTTCATTTGAAAACAAAGTAGTCTATCCCCACAGAATAACGCAGACAAAATCCTAAAATTATGGTTGGTTGTTTTCTGCCAGGAGTGCTATTGTTTCAACTCCATTGGTCGCTGAAACGGGCTGGGAACGTACAATGAGAGTTTTTGCAGTCGACAGACCCCATAAAAAGGGTATCCGGAGCATATGTACTCTTGTGTTAATGTACGTATACAGCCCTGATCATTGCTCAGAGTGGCCATGGAATTATGCGGTGTTATGTCTGAGCAACCGTGTCCGAGAAATTTGTGGCGTGTTGTAGTAATGCACGGGATTACGGTACTGAATCTACCATGCTAAGTACAGATTTGTATGATACTTGGGGAATATAAGACAGTACTGAAGTAGTTACACTGTAGGTATGTCGCTCAAATAATTATGGTGTACTGTAATATTTGTATGCTCCGCTGAGAATTTTCATGAATTTAAATTTGATTGTAATTTGACTTTTACAAAAAAAATCAAAGCATTACTCAATTTCAATACGAATACAAACTGGAACTTACGCGCTTCTTGACAAACTTAAGGGCACGCTTGTCCTTGCCAACCTTGAGCAATTCCATGGCTCTCTTCTCATAGGGAGCGAAGCCGACAACCTCCCTGACGATGTCACGGACGAATTTGACGCGCTTGTTCAGCGTCTACAAAAACAGAACACCAACGATGGTGACTCCGGGAACACTAACATACGATCCAAATCTACAGTGACAACTTACTCCCTTTCTGCGGACTGGGCGCGACTTGGCAGCGTTCTTTGTGACCTTGTGGCCCTTGTTGAGGCCAACGGCCATCTCCATAGCGCGAGCCATTATGATAGTCTACATCCAGAAATCGACACAAGACACGTACTGGGTGAAAGCCTGAATGGATGCCTTAATTTTCTATTGCAAAACTAGTGCCAAATCTAAAACATCCCTATGAAAAGCACAAAAACAACGATCCGACATTGCTCACCTCAAGCCGTTCGACGGCAGAAGCAAGAGAAAGAACTTCTTCTTTCACTGCTCCCCTTAGCAACGCGCGTGCTTGGAATGGGGCAAAATGGCGTACCGAAATTCGCGAAAAATATTCGATGAACACCGGAGATGACGTATGCATGGCGTCAGGGCCCGGCGCACCGGCGGGCGGCGGCAGTGCGGAACACACTGGTAGGTACACTTACCGTAGTGACCGTACATGTAGGTGACGCTGCATGCTGACGCCTGAGCATGAGACCCCGGCCAAGTGTCTTGATTTCTATGTCAGTATGTGACTGTCGGGCCACTGTCTGTAGACTCTAGTCTCTACCAGTACCAGGTCTACAAAGTCATGTAGATCTACATGAGTCATGACCAGGGAGTCCCTGGTCATGACTGACATATCGGACTACACAATCAATACAGACTACGACACAAGGCATTTGTACGCTCGTACACCGCGCAGGTATTATCATGCTGATCTCACTCCGCCTCTTCAAGATCCGTGTCGCCCCTTACACATTTTTAAGACTGATGCACCGCAAAGGGTTTTAATACAACAACAGCTCATTATCCACAGTCATGTCTTTTGCGCCTCTGTTGCTCTTGACTGGCTATGCGGCCTCTTCCTTCACGGAGCTGCTGCGGCTTTTGCTACTCTTTCGTGTTCACTCCTATAGACCCTACTTATCTCATGATCCCCGTGGTTGACTGTCACCCACTCTCTTCATATTGGCCGGTGTTCCCACTGCCGGAGTCTTGAGATGTTGTAATACTATGAAATAATTATAATACTTCCATCATTCATCGATATACTAGAGGACATAAAATTGTACATGATTAAATCATGAATAACTATTATTTTTGTCTTCAGTGTTCACAGTTCAGCTTCATCTCAGCTTGTCTTGCTATCAATAATCTTGGGATGCAACGGGTGGTAAAGGTGCGTCACCAACTGGCTGCCGTAGGTCATACTAAGTCTCGGTAACGTCGCGGCTAACAAGCAAGGTATGCAGCACTATACAATCATAAAATAAATAATTACAACTATGAGCCACACTCCCAGCTGACCCAAGCACAACAACATGTTATATTCTGTGTAATTTTTGGATGTTTTACGTACCGATATCGGCTACTGTGCCGCAGAAGCATGTACTCTTCCGCAACCAAATTCTGGCTGCACATCCCCGGCATATGTGGATAGCGACTGGCTAGCGCTCAGCATTTCATAACACTTTCTGGCTGAGTATACTCGTCCTTGACTCGTTTCTGGCAGGAGTTTATGCTAGTGCAGTACTATTGACTATGGCAGAGCAGTAACAAGCCACTCGGAAGTCCTACACCGCCTCGATCTCAGCTAGAGGCAAAAGGCAAACAATGCAGACAGCCAAGCCCCCCCCCCCCCCACTTCAGCTCATTTCTACATGTAGATGTCAAGCTATATGACTTTTACTTCAAGGTTTTCAATGTTGATTAATACTAGTAGAGGCAGGCTAGGATTCAAAACAACACTGGTCATACCAATAGTACGTGAATCGTTTTTATTTCAATCCAAATCCAAATGAGCAACAGAAACCATCAAAAAGAAGGTATAAAGCAACAGCAAATGAAGGTATGCGAGAAAAACCCAATTTTCTAAAAAAGAAGAAGAAAAGAAAGAGAAAAATAGTGAACAAAATCTCACACATTGAAAAGCATGAGGTAGAAACCACTAAAGAGCCGCAATCAAATAGACCCCACCCTAACATGGATAAAACACAGTCAGCAAGTTTCCACAGTAAATCAAAGCAAAACATTCAACAAACAACAAAACAAAAATAACAAAAGAGTACTCTTGGTCATACTACCAGTAGTATCAAGAGTACATAAACCGGTTTATGTACTCTTGATACTACTGAAGTAGTAAGGATGGAACAACAATGTCAGCATGAATGGATAATGTGTCTACTTTGAAGTCCTTCGCTCGATAAGCTTTGTACTCATTCTTGGGGAAACACTTTGCTAGGCGTATCGTTAGTACCGTATTCTCCGAAGTAGAAGCCACACGTTAAAAAACACCAACAATTCAACCAAGAGTAGATGTCTCAGTTTTAAAATAAGTGTTTTTCGTGACAAAATTCTGCGTGCGTTTTACACTCCGGAAAATATGGTACACAAGCACATACTTGTCTAAGGGTGCGTTCTTAAATCCTCTCGGAAAAGTTGGAGACTCTCGGAAAGGTTCGAGAGCTGTTCTTACATGTATATCCTCTCCTCTGCATACGCACAGTGCGTACTACATTTGTGGCACTCAATAGCACGGCCCCTTTGGCGCTTCATATTGCTTCACATGTGCAAAATATCTCCAAATTCATGGAGACCCGTTCTTGCATTATACCACTTTCTTCGACTTCTCTTTTCTTCTTCTCCGAGAAGCTAGAGAATATAAGAACGCACCCTAACTGTGTGACCTAAGGGGCCATTATCGATAGTTTCGACGGAACAAAAAACTTTAGTTATGACCCTCACCCACCCACCCATCCACCCGGTTGAACGAATAGCGTATTGACTTGACATCTAGGATGGGTTGATACCCTTCAGTTATCAATATTATTTTTCAACATGAAACTCTCCTCAACCAACCCACCCGTGAACAAACGTTTTTACCTTCGTTTAAAAGATCGATAATTATGGACAGCCCCTAAGGCACAAAACTGACAAGGATATTGAGACATTCGACGACCTGACCCCTAGTTCCAACACATCTACGAAGCGCAAACCAACAACCTTCCAAATTGGAAGGCTCAGGTGCGGAACGTTCCAATGAGGATATTGACTTTCGGTTTGTGACAGCCTGGTTCGTCTTCGCTTGCCTTCCCCTCTTCATGTATTTTTAGTAATTTTTTTACATACCTTTGAGCCTCCCCAGTTGGGTGGTCTGTTGCCTTGCGTTTTCGAGTTGTAGTTAGACCGGTTTGTCCAATGGTCTTAATAGTCTCGTCATCATCAACCCTTAACGTTCGACATTCTTTGTTGCCGAGGGACATAGCTCGTGCACATCTTCGCGGTGCATCCCTTCCCCTCGTTGGAACTGTCCGCACCTGAGCCTTCCTAGTTGGAAGGTTGTTGGTTTACGCTTCGTATATGTGTTGGAACTAGGTGTCAGGTCGTCGAATGTCTCAATATCCTTGTCAGTTTTGTGCCTTGTTGTCGCACTTATAGGTCCTTTTCTCTTTATATATTACTTTTGGCTCAACATCCGAGTTCCTAAAAGTAAGCATTTGATGTATCACAAATGCATTACTGTATCTACAGTACCAAGTGGCTGTTTAAAGTAAGCCCCTAAATACCGATATTTCTTTCAACAACAAACAGAGCTTTAAAGCTTCTCTCCAGCCCCATCTCCCATTATACAGAAGACATGCTATTCCTCAAAATACCAGTCAACGATTTCAATGTGCTAACCCCCCCCCCCCCTCCCAAAAAACAAGGTGACTGTACCTCAGTTACTCAAAAAGCAGATTGAAGTCGTTCCATTTTGAACAGCACACTTTACACTCTATGGCGACGTAAGACTGGAGTAAAATAAGCTCCTAAAAATCTCGGACGGCAAAAACACATATCGCGTGGTATGTTCCAAGCAGGGAGTCGTAAAATAATTGTTTTGTTCCAATAGAGTTCAATGATTTCAATGTCTTGATTCACGCTCAACAAAATGTGAGTACGGGAAGTACAGTACTACTCCCGCCATGGCTAGAACTGCTGGGAGTGTACTGCAACACACAATAGGAAGGGTATCCAGAGTTGCACACTCTTGGAAGCTTTTTTACTCTCGTTAACACCAATACACACTGAAGTAAGAGAAAATGCTTTGCATTACCATGTGGATGTAAAGATGAATTGGAGCATCAGAATGATATTATGATAAAAAATACGCCTTCAAGACAGTATGCCCAATGGTGTTGGCATAACTTGGGTTGGACTGCATTTACAGACTGTCCCTACAAAGGGCATCTTCACCTGCCTACTAAAGAGTCAGTGCATCCTACCTTTATTGTACCACATGCCTGTATGTAATAAATGTGCATGCAGAGCTATGCTTGGCCAATCCAGCACAAACGGAAAGTTCATACCAATTTCTCCGAAACTGATCGCCACAGCCACCATCACTTCCCCTACCGCCCCTCTCAAGGACAACACAAACCATGGGTTGGATACTGTACGTGAACTTCACAATTCACATGCCAACACTGCAGAAATTCAATCCCATAATCCTCTTACAGCTTATCCAGTGGTCCCTCTATCATCCGGCACTATTTGTGCTACGGAAGTTCTGCTGGATTAGGGAGGGTGCTGGATTAGAACATCTTCTGATTTACTGCTGCAATATGCACGAAAAGGACATTTTGGTAAATTACGCTGGTTTATCGAGGGTGCTGGTTTATAAAGTGCTGGATTAAAGAGGGACGGCTGCATAATTTTACCAAGAGTATATAACCCCCCAAAAGTGTGCAACTCATGATACCCTATGGGGTTCGCCGATGGCGAAAACTCACATCATGTGGTGTAGTGTCGCAGTTGTACACTTCCAGCCCGTTTTTAGCGAGCAGCGGAGTAATAAAAAAGCACTCTCTGACAGAAACTCACTGCGCGTATGCAAATCCCCAGCATGATCATGGCAGATATTCGGATTGCGGCATGCTATCCTTCGTTTGTATGTAGTACGAAACGTACCTGAGACACGTGATGTGAGTTTTCGGCGTCGGGGACCCAGAGCTGCACACTCTTGGGGTGGGGGTTATATACTCTGGATTATACTGGTAACTAGATATCCAAGTATAGCCACAGCCAGGAAACACATCACTGATTGATCACTCTCACAAATCAGTATTTATACACTTTTATTCACATCTCAGTCAATATTTGAGACACTGTTGAAGATAACTTTACCCTGTTCACTCATCCCTTGATGGCTTGTCTTGAAATTCACGAAGAGCCTCCTCGAGAACAGCCGTCTTGGTGTTCTTTGGCAAAGACCGATGGTCGATCTCCATCGGCTTGCCTTCATGTTGGAGAATGCCGTCAGCAGCAAGAGCAGCTGCTTCCTCAATGAACCTTTTTCTTCGCTCGGCCGAAATCTTCTCTTGTTTAGCCTCTTCTGCTGCTTCTAGCTTCCTAATAGCACGGAGCCTGTGCTTGCGGATGAATCTCAAGGTTCTCTCAGGGTCTCTTGGCTTGTCAAGAGAATGATGGGGACCACGTCGCCAGATATCAAGGGGCGGGTCCATCCGTAACTCATTCATAAGGTAGTCGTACCGGGCAAAGTTCACCTTCATCAGGACTTTCTGAGCGGCCAGCAAGGAGCCTGCGTTTTTCGGCATCATTCTGGTCTTTGTCTTTCGATCCTGAGCACAGAAAACCAGAGTTAGGAGAATACTAGAACTATGAAGGAGTTTTTCTTTTCTTAAAAAAATTGTTTATAGTTTAAAAAAACTTAAAATAGAAGAAATCACATGGAAACGAGTTATGAAATACACAATCATACACAGTTGCGAGGGCAAGACGCTCTGATCTTGACCGAGGTCTGTGAGTGATCTTGCCCGAGGTCGAGACGCCCGAGGGGCGCAGCCCCGAGGGCGTCTCGACCGAGGGCAAGAACACTCACATGACCGAGGGCCAGATCAGAGCGGCTTGCCCGACGCAACTGTGTATGATCGTGGTTCATACATGGCCCACCTCCCGAACAACGACGTTACGTAAACAATCATAGAGTTCTGGCAGTACAGGAGCTCAAGAACAAGTAGGTTGGTCGGGGACGTGGTGTCTACACTATCACTCCTTTGCTGACACGCGATGATCTTATCAATTTTCGCTTACATCAGTACATGAAGGCCTCGTGCGTAGATCTACTGTGCTACGCGCCTTGGCCAGCGCCCGGGCCTTGGGCCTGCCTGGCCGTACGCTGATCGGAGTCATGACTCATGGTCATGTTTTCACTGGCATTCTTTGAAACTGTATATAAGTGCGATACCACCTAGGGGTGGAGGTCGGGGACGTGGTGGACGGATCTCTTGCCATTTTTTCCAATTATTTACTCCTCAGGTTAAGTCGTCCTTTCGTACTCGTAGACTGTATATAAGCGCGATACCACCTAGGGGTGGAGGTCGGGGACGCGGCGGACGGATCTCTTGCCATTTTTTCCAATTATTTACTCCTCGGGTTAATTCGTCCTTTCGTACTCGTAGACTGTATATAAGCTCTATACCACCTAGGGGTGGAGGTCGGGGATGTGGTGGCCAGAACTCTTGCCATTTTTCCCTTCGCCTTGAAGAAGAAGAAGAATGTTTTGAATTGTTTTCAGGTTGTAGCAGTTTAGTTTTGTCACTCCTTTACTGACACGCGTACAAACCTGTTGTCAACATCGCCATTAGCTTGTAGAATACTGCATTGTATACTGGATTGTAGAATACTACATGTAGCCACCTTTGCTACCTTACATAATAGTACTTGTATGTTTATTACATCAATGAACAGAACTGAGCATGAGGTCATGTCTACAGGCATGCCCAATCTACACCTGCAAGGTCGACTGCCATTGTGCGCCACCCGCAAGGATAGGTGGTCTTCTCGTTGAACATTGTGACTTCAAAAGCAGTACTGGCCAACTCTTTCGTTTGGCGGACGACAAATGTTCAATGTTGACCGTGTCGAGCACTTTAGGAAATGGTACATGCGCATGCGCGCAGCAATGCTATTTTACTCCAGATCTTGACCGGCTGACTGAAGTTCTTGACCGGCTGACTGAAGTTCTTGACCGGCTAAGCGGTCAGGATCGCCTGATCTTGACTGCTTATTCTGGTCGCCCATTGGCCGTCACCTGGCAACAAGCACGTGCCATGTATGAAGCAACTATCCACGACTGTAACCAGATCATAACCAAGTCAGAAAGAATAAGTGCAATAACAGGGCACACAACTGACAGGCCACTGAGACATTCAGCGACCGGAGACCTAGCTCTAGCACATCTCCAGCGCGCAAACCAACAGCCTTCCAGCTTGGAAGGTTCAAGGTTATAGAGGGACCAATGAGGGGCAGGTGAGCGCAGCGAAAATGTGCACAAGCTAAGTCCCACGGCAACAAAGAATGCCGACCGTTACAGGACGATGACGAGACCAGTTAATATGCGGTCTAGCTACAATTCAAAGCACCAAAGCAACACACCACCCAACTTGGGTGGGTCAGCAATATCAGAGATAAAGAGGTATTTACTGGAGATATTTACTGGCTCAGTATCCGGGTTAAATTTGCACACCTGATGAGCCGTCATGAACAATACGGCGAAATGTACGTCGTGTGAAACTACTTGTTATGGTGGTCAACTCGTTCACAATAGTGTCATGCATGAGGAGTACCGTTAGATATTGGCGTCCGGCTTTGTACAATTCGTTTCGCAAAGCTGCCCCTTTCTTCATCAACACCAACCCACTGTTCTTGTGTGGAGCTCATTGCCGCTCGAAGGGGAAATCATTACAGATTGACTGGACGGTGTGCAATGTGCGTGCAATGTCAACAACACCAGGGTCTGCTCTAGGATGTCAAACCAACCGGGTACACGTGCACCTGGCACAACTCTTGCAACCGGATGAGAGCCAGGTACGCTCAAATGCGGCTACTGCATATACATATCCATGTACATGTACATGGACATCAGGCCAGGGAGTCTTGACATTGTTAGGACTACGTGATGTACTTGAACATGTATGTATTCCCAACCGGGTCACAAGTGACCCAGTGTTCTTTTTCCAAACGGGTCCAAGTACACCCAAACCGGGTCGCTGTCCCGGCTGAGCCGGCTCTGGAGCAGACACTGCAACACATGACCGAGAGTCAGGACTCACACATCTGTCCCATTGCAAAATACAACCACATAGCGGTCAAGGGGGGGGGGGGGGGTGGTAGGGCACTCTTGCAATGCTTTACGGTAATTAGATCGGAGCAGCAGGGAAAGCATTGGAGAAGTAATCATACAACACACACACACACACACACACACACACACACACACACACACACACACACACACACACACACACACACACACACACACACACACACACACACACACATACACACACACACACACACACACACACACTTGTCCTCACTGCCAAAACTGGTCACGTGGGTCTCCCCAGGAGAGGGGAGAGAGACTCAAAAGGAATCTTGGAAAGAGGACTCAATTGGCCATTGAACCACCCAGCGGCCGACACCCCCTGAAACCCCCAAACTAGGGTGGACTTGAAATGATCCCACTTATGGGCTCACCACACCTCAGTAAATGGGTGAGGACAAGGTGCAGAAAAAGGATTGACGGCATCAGGGTATCCGTCCCGGGATCCAACTGCAGTTACCCCTGCTTAAGGTAATACTTGCTACTAGTGTGGGTGGTTAAATCAGAGTGGATCTGATATAAGCTTCACTAGCACCATTGATTACACAAGAGTTAATCTAGCCAGAAGCAGTCCATGGTTAACAGGTATGTATACTTCAAATAGAAAGTATATGAACCCTGAAACCAACAAAGGTGGTAGGTACAACAATACACCTTCAAGCAGCCGAGCCCGTTGGCAACAGGCCCTACACTATCTGGCATAAGTGTACCCACCAACCGAACTAGCTAGCGAGCTAGCTGGCACACACACACACACACACACACACACACACACACACACACACACACACACACACACACACACACACACACACACACACACACACACACACACACACACACACACACACACACACACACACACATGTGTGTGTAATAGCAGGAAAATAAACGATCACTTACCCGGGGGAAGCGAGCCATATGAACCTGAAGATTCTTGTGGTGAAGAGCATATTTTGCAACTGTTTTCCGAATATATATAAAAGCACACACAGACACACCGCAAAGATCCGCAAAATACAAGGGACTTCAAAAAACAGAATATGGTACGGTTGCAAACCTCCGACACAAGCGTACTATCCCCCCCCCCCCCCCCCCTCTGCAGTCAGAACTTCACATCACCTGCCCAACTGCCGTTAAACTGCAACACATGAAATCGGCAGTGTGCTTCACTTCATGATGTTTTCCATCTGCATCATTGTGAATGCCAGTCAGCATGCCCAAATGGTTGATGAGTGATCCCTGTACCCTCTCGGCTACCCCATTGTGAGAGAAGCCCCTTGAAAGGGAAAACGAATAAACAAGGTTCAGGTTGCACGCATGGGCCCAGCTACCATACAACAATAATCAGGTATCGTCTTGGGCTGTATCGTGTAGCGTTTTAGTCAGGTGTTGGGTTCAGGTGTTTGTCTAGGGGAAACATGGGTACCCTATTAGGTAGTGTTACTATGGAAACACCATAATATTATTTCACCGTACCATTATAAATGACTACATCATTTTATGGTACATGTACCAGATGTACCATCTCTATGAGTTGTCAATCACTGAGTTTGGTTTCATCGTAATTTTCTCTCCAAGAACTTCCCAATCAACAAGAGATCGTCAAAATTGGTCAGAGAAAGCCAAAGTTGCAGCTGACACTCAAACGCAACACAACACTCAATCAGGGGTTTCGGCAAATTTTCAGACCGGAGAAGCCCGCGAGGTCCACGGGTAGCACAGGTACCTGTGCGCAGTCCTGTAGTATCCCCTGAAGCACATACAATGTAAAGAACTAAACACATATAGATCAGGCTGTCCAGCCGTCCTGCTTTGGACCAAAACATTTATACATTTACATGGGAGACAATTGCCTTTGCAGACATGTTGTGTCCTGCTTTGGAACGTGGCAAGGTTGGACAGACTGTATAGATCAACCCGTTGCGGGAGGTACTCACTCTTGAACTCCATTTCATTGGCGACTAAGTCGAGTGGGTTCTGCGTCTTTCTGAGCGCATCCTGAAGATACTTTGTCAGGAAGAAGGTTTGCCGATCCTGGGTAAGAACAGAATGTGTGGTACACACTAAGTGTTGTAGCCATGCAACACTACGACATACAGTTACTATAGGTAAAATAAGACAGGATGCAAGCACATATCACACACTGAGCAATACTACTGCAGTATAAATATGAAATACCACATGAACGAGGCAGTAAAGGGGGAAGAGGTTAAACCTTATTCTTTCAATTTTTTCCGCCATAATCGCTGGGCAGGTATCGTAAAGCACCACAAGAGCGCCCCACCACCACGTCCCTCGGTGGTCGCGTTGTGGAGGTGGTGCCCTGTCTGTAGGTCATATGACACATACTTTGCACACACATTGCACGTTGTGCAGCCAATCCATACTCAGTTAACTTCGAGCGGATGTGAGCTCCACACAAGACCATAATTAAGTGTGACCGGAGTACACTAAGGTTCTCACACAAACGTGGCTGCACTTTGCCGCATGATTTCCCTTTACCTGGCTGCAAAATGAAGGTGGGGCGATCTCGCGTATATTTGATTTTCAATTATTTCAGTCGACTCCTCGCAATCTTAGCCTTCCCGGAAAGCTCTTGATGGAGCACACCAGTACTGAACTCGCCACAACTTGGTCCACGGCGAATATGCATCAATATAGAGAAGTACTAGAAAAGTGGACAATTGCATCGAAGCACTGGTATTTTCATCCCAGAAAGATCCCATTTTCTGACACTGGTAGACCATTCGATCGCTCAATTTGGCTCAGGGATGGCCGAGTGTTCCCAATTCAATTCAGTGAGCATACACTGTACAAAGGTGTCCACATCAGGTGGCAAAATAAGGGTTAGTAACATGCAATCGATACAGGTTGTGAATAAAGTTATTATTACTAAGGACGTTAAGCAATGCGAAAATTCGAACTTTTGGTGGTGGTGATATTTCGCGAAAATCTATTTCGAAAAAGAAATCTTGTGAGGCTTAGCAATGCGAAATGACTTTTCTCGAAGTTATTTGAATCTCTTAGTACCGTACCGTGTATGGAGCTTAGTCTCAAGCAGGAGGCTGTAAAATTACTACTCTCTGTGGTCAAATGCGTACCGAGAAAAGAGAAAGTTACTTTCGCAAATCACTGCAACTTCGCGTCCAAGTTTTCGAAGTTTCGAGCTTTGTTTCTGTACTCATTCCCAGACTCGAATTTCTTTTCGAACTTTCGCGTTGCTAAACGTCCTTATTTTTAAAAAAAGAGAGAAAAAAGTGAGATCTACAGTGTAGGATCACAGAGTGATATTCCTTGCGAGAATACGAACAGAACAACGGCTGCAGCACACCTTTGCAAGATACTTCATCTGGAAGCACATCCGTGTACCCTCATCCATCTGGTCACTGCACAAAGGACGACAAACAAGCTTTTAAAATTGTCACACTCACACCGTCACTATTTACATAGCTCAACACAGAGTCAACAGTCAGAAGTACTGGAAAAATAATAAGGACTATTTTTCCATCACCTACTTCCAGATCCTATTCCAATTTACATCGGAGTACACACATCAATGGGACACCCGGTACTTGTGCCAGCGATTTGCCCCCTCATCCTCACCATTAGGCGATGTACCTGCAATGGGTTATTTCGGGTGGCAGTGGCCATAGTAAGTTCGGGGTTATTCACAAATATCGATCTTCTCACGACACAAGCTAATTTCCGAGGTATTCAACAGGATACAAAAGCACTGTTTTCCATTTTCCAAGTACATGTAGAGGTGCTTGCATAAAGTGCTTTCATGACGGGGGGGGGGGGGGGGGGGGGGGGGGAGAGCTAGCTGACGTCTTTTCGTTCCGTGAAAAGTTTGATGCCTATCGATAGCCCTTGGAGGCAGCATGTGTACAATGCCATCCAAGCAAACCAAACAAAAGAACAGCAAAGACATACATATAGTTGGTGCTTACATTCAACCAAAGACACCACAAGCAAATGCACAGGACATGTAGGCAGACAAAAAGGCACGTACAGTTCATCCTTCAAGTGCTGGTAGTCGAAAACATACGCGCCCGCCGCTGGCAGTGCACGAACTGCAGGTATGCATGAAATAGAAACGTTCACAGAACACTGCATGTAGCACAGCCATCACACTAGTACACAGGACAGCATGCTTAGCATAGGTACCGCATTTTACGGAGTACGAGCCGCACCAAAAAAAGTCGGTGCGGCTTTGACTGCGATGATCAAATTAACGGTGATACCGTATATTCTCTATTTAACACTTTGGAGCCCCTAAAGTCAAAAATCGATGGTATACCATCGATGGACTAAAACGTTCGTAACTCACTCGAAACTTGACGGATTTCCACGATCGAAATATCTAGGATGAAGCCGAAGGGCTCAGCTGTCTAATGCAACAATCGCCGAAGAGCTACGATGTCTCGTTGCAGAGATATCGTGCTCAACATTTCAGTCATGGCAAAAGTCGAACTTTTTTCTCAATGACTGGCCTTGAGTGAGGGATTTCCCCTTGGATGACGTGCTGATTCATCCAGGTACGCTTCCTGCACGTGGCCAGTATAAAACTATACTCATCGCAAAAAATTGAGCATTCCACGATGAATGAGAGTGAAATGGCTGGCGTTGAGGACATTTGCTCGTATATCCAGCTCTGTGGACTGTTCGAGGCGCCGTGGCGTTGGATATGTGACTGCTGTGGCGTTGAATATGAGCTCTAGTTACTCTGCTCGCGGAGAGCTTTCCAGGAAGCACAAGATTATGGAAATCAAATAACAAGCACCAAAGGTATGACCGAAATAAGGTAAAGAATATATCGTAATTGCAGGCGCATACCATTATCAGGATTTTTGGGGCTCCAAAGGGTGAAGCGCCGTGCTTATAATTTTTCAACAAATTTTTTCAACACCCCTCTACCCCGTGCGTATATTGGAGACCGCGCTCATATTGGAGATCGTGCTTATATTTTTTCAACCAACACATCCCTACAGAGCAAGAAGAAATACATGCTGGATATCATGCATGTAGCATTGATTTCCACCAAGACCGTGCTAATAATAGAGACTGTGCTAATAAATGTTTCGAAAGGTGCTCACAGTGTGCTATTAAGGAGGTTCCGGAGTACGATTTTTCGTGCCAAAATCCATAGAGGCTCTACGGATTTTTTATACGTCGTTTTCGAGCAGTGAAATGTTCCGGAGTACGGAACTTATGTGTTTGCCGTCATTGCCCAGGTTACGATCGCAAACACGTCACATTCCCGCGCTATGCCTTTATACTGTGAAAATTTGTACCGAAATCAAAACTTCCCGCGAAAAATCGATGTTTCTCGTACCAAATTTGTACGCGAAAAATCTTTCTGCACCCGATGACGCAAAATCTCCATACGAAACATGGTTCATATGAAAGCCAGTCCACACGGATTCTCCGTGCCGAAAAATCGAATGGAGCACCCCTGGAAAAAATCCGTAGCGCCCATACGGATTTTGGCACGGAAAATCGTACCCCGGAACCTCTCTAGTATTAGAGACTGCGCTAGTAACGGAGCTACCGGAGACCTGTGCTTATAATAGAGAATATACGGTAACTAGGGTAGATGTAAAGTTTGTGACAAAAAATCTGGGTGTGGCGTATACTCCAGAATACTCCAGAAAACACCGTAGGCATGCCAATATCATTCCACCGTTGACTTGCATCGGCACAGAGGCCTTCTGAGGAGGAAAAGATGCCAGTGCAAGTTCAGCATCGTCACTACATGCACATGGCCCAAAACGTTCGCATACTGCGCCTACTGGGGCCATTTCCAGCCAGTCTCCTGGCAGGTCTACACCACCACTGCTACACTCATCACCTAATTTGGTTAATGCACAAGAATGATGATGATGATGATGATTATGACGATGTACATGTACTTGTAACATACGTTGATAAACATTTGCACTGCTTAGCTTGCAATCCGTTTGTGAGGGCAGTTCAGCACCAGTGAAGATGCGAAACCAGTGGACAAAAGGCCCTATTCTAGTAGGAGGGAATGGCCCTGGAGCATTGTTGCAGCAGAATATATATAGCCCTGGTGCAGCAGCAGCACAAAAAGAGATTACCAAACCTGTAGCATTCAAATGTAAATAAGAGAATGCCCATGGGTGGAGGACACACTGTGGAGGATAGCACTGTCCCTGGCAAAATGTACATACAGTGGAGATCGGATTGGGATTGCCCTATCAAAATATGAATAAATAATAATAATAATAATATTAACTGGTTTGAGGGAAAGAGACAAACGGGAAAAGTCTGAAGAAAAAATTGACTGTCACCACCAGGACTCGAACCAGGGACCCTCGCTTGTAGCCAGCGATGCTCTAACCACTGAGCTATGGTGTAGTCGTCATCCCAGCAGAGGCCGTTCAACATTTTCTTCAGACTTCGTAACTCACACTTCCTGTGAATCCACACAGGCGGGTGGGACGCAGCCCTCACTGTAACCCACACACTTCACGTACAAACTAGCACGCGGGGAGCCCCAAGTCATAAAATATTGACTGGTTCGAGGGAAAGAGACAAACGGGAAAAGTCTGAAGAAAAAATTGACTGTCACCACCAGGACTCGAACCAGGGACCCTCGCTTGTAGCCAGCGATGCGATGCTAATAATAATAATAATAATAATAATAATATAACGACCTTGCATATAACGAGAAGATTAATAATAATAATAATAATAATAATAATAATATGTAAATAGGCGTCGAGGCGACAATAGTTTTAGAATTGCGATCAACAGAACGAGCTGAACCGACATTTTCACAAAGGCTTTTATTGTATTCAAAAAACGAGTGTATACGAAGGCAGTGAAGAACATGGAAGAAAGAAAAAATGTGATGTGGAAGAAATGATGAACAAAAATTGTACTTCGAACTAGTTTTCGCACAACACTCCTCAGGAAGCTACGTTGTACTAATGAAAAACAATCCAGAAAGATACTAATAAAGAGAAATGGAGTGAGAAGAAACAACACCTATGAAAATGATAATCCTAGCACTAAGGTAATAACAGGAAAAACTGCGAAAGCACTTAACGAACTTGTAAGGACTACTAGTATACTGTGACACAAGATATGACACCATGGCCAACCAGAGCCAAACCGACAGAACAAGTTGCTACTAAAACAATTTCAAACGAATAATGCCGTCCTTCTGGACACACAGATTAGGCTTATGAATACGTTGACAAACGGCTTCTAACACACTCAACTGCAACTTATAACCATGACGAGCACGGCACAAAACAGAAAAAGAAGAATCAGAATAAACCTTACAACAATCAGGACGAGATGCAAGATGCTTATACACTGATGACTTCCTACTAGAAAACACACGCTCGCACCCACTCTTACTCACACAATCATTCTCGCTCTCACACTCACCGGAATCACTGGACTCACTGGCCGAATCCTCCTCAACGACTTCCTGCCTCGGAGCAATCAGGTCCCGTCTCCTCCCATCAGTCGTCTCACGTTCCTGTTGTGTATTGCGTTGGTTCGGTACTTCCGTACTGAAATAGGTCATGGTGTAATTAGCAGTTGTTCTTCTGGGTCTCGTTGATATTGAGGTAGGTATTGTTGTCGTCTCTGCCGGTGATGCAGCAAGCAATGCTGATGCAAACGTGTCTGCATGCAACACACGTGGCGTCGCCAAAGCCACATCCACCTCCGCTGGTGGAGGGAGTGACTTGGTCATGGCCACGGGAGCCAATGGTGGACTTGTCGAGTGAGACGCTAGGTCCTGTGTTGGCGGAGGTAGTGGTTGTTTACGGGGTCTTCCCCGCGTGGGACGCTCCAGTTGTGCGCTACGTGGGATAATGTGTAAAGGAGTGTGTTGCTTGATGCGTTCACTCAGGTGCTGAACAGTCCTACCAACATACCGTACTTGTTGAGAAAACCGAATTTGGTAGCGTAACATCGGTGTATCGTAAACCGACATTCACCGGACAATACATTTCCTATGACTCGTACTGTTCATCTAATTATAAAATCAACTTAGTAAAGAATCTCGTGGATCGCGCCAAACGGATCTGTTCACCTTGTAAACTCAGTGGTGAGCTCGAATTTCTCCGTTCAGTTTTCACCAAAAACGGATACCCAGGCGACATGTTGGCAAAACTATTGTCTACAGCCCCCACGCCGAAACATGAATTGATAGGGCCTGCTCGTTGTCCTGTCTTTTTGTGCTTACCATGGAAGGGCAAGAAGTCTGACAATGTGAGTCGTGAAGTTCGTGCGATCATTAAACAAACCTACTATGCGGTACACTTCATACCCGTCTACACAACGATGCGTTCGTTCACGGTGTTGAAGGACGTCCTACCAACCCATCATTTAAGTCATGTAATCTACAACTTTGAATGCCGGAATTGTGCTAGCCGGTATGTTGGTAGGACTGTTCAGCACCTGAGCGAACGCATCAAGCAACACACTCCTTTACACATTATCCCACGTAGCGCACAACTGGAGCGTCCCACGCGGGGAAGACCCCGTAAACAACCACTACCTCCGCCAACACAGGACCTAGCGTCTCACTCGACAAGTCCACCATTGGCTCCCGTGGCCATGACCAAGTCACTCCCTCCACCAGCGGAGGTGGATGTGGCTTTGGCGACGCCACGTGTGTTGCATGCAGACACGTTTGCATCAGCATCGCTTGCTGCATCACCGGCAGAGACGACAACAATACCTACCTCAATATCAACGAGACCCAGAAGAACAACTGCTAATTACACCATGACCTATTTCAGTACGGAAGTACCGAACCAACGCAATACACAACAGGAACGTGAGACGACTGATGGGAGGAGACGGGACCTGATTGCTCCGAGGCAGGAAGTCGTTGAGGAGGATTCGGCCAGTGAGTCCAGTGATTCCGGTGAGTGTGAGAGCGAGAATGATTGTGTGAGTAAGAGTGGGTGCGAGCGTGTGTTTTCTAGTAGGAAGTCATCAGTGTATAAGCATCTTGCATCTCGTCCTGATTGTTGTAAGGTTTATTCTGATTCTTCTTTTTCTGTTTTGTGCCGTGCTCGTCATGGTTATAAGTTGCAGTTGAGTGTGTTAGAAGCCGTTTGTCAACGTATTCATAAGCCTAATCTGTGTGTCCAGAAGGACGGCATTATTCGTTTGAAATTGTTTTAGTAGCAACTTGTTCTGTCGGTTTGGCTCTGGTTGGCCATGGTGTCATATCTTGTGTCACAGTATACTAGTAGTCCTTACAAGTTCGTTAAGTGCTTTCGCAGTTTTTCCTGTTAGTACCTTAGTGCTAGGATTATCATTTTCATAGGTGTTGTTTCTTCTCACTCCATTTCTCTTTATTAGTATCTTTCTGGATTGTTTTTCATTAGTACAACGTAGCTTCCTGAGGAGTGTTGTGCGAAAACTAGTTCGAAGTACAATTTTTGTTCATCATTTCTTCCACATCACATTTTTTCTTTCTTCCATGTTCTTCACTGCCTTCGTATACACTCGTTTTTTGAATACAATAAAAGCCTTTGTGAAAATGTCGGTTCAGCTCGTTCTGTTGATCGCAATTCTAAAAATAATAATAATAATAATAATAATAATATAACGACCTTGCATATAACGAGAAGATTGAGTTTAGGGACACAATTCTGTTGCCCAAGTCGTTTAGTAAGTCCTTCGGGAAGATCGGGTTTAGTGACAGATCGAATATAGTGACATTTGTTCTCTCCCGAAGGAGTGTCGTTATATCCAATCTCCACAGTATAGGCAGATTTGGTGAGTAGGACATCGGCTTGTACAGTGCTCCACTTTGCCATAATTATATACCGTCTTGAATGATATTCCACCCAAAAGGCAAGGCACCTATTGCGTGCCATTGTCCTGTCTAGACTTACTTTTGTCGAGAAGTGCCTCTCCTTCTGCAGGTCTCTGTTGGAAGTCCACTTGGACTCCCTTCATCTTACCAACGTAGACTGGAGGACAAGAGAAGGACACAGACATATCCTCAACATGGTTGTGGTTGTGGTAGTGATGGCGGTGGCGGTTGTGGTGATAATAATGGTGGCGTGGTGGCGGCGATGATGGTGTGTGTATTCGTGTGTGTGTTTGTGTTTGTGTATGGTGTATGTTCCCCTCTCTCACTTCCGGTACATGCAACATCAAAAGACTAATTTATTCTTCTATTGCCCTGTAAAGTACAGTAAAATTCGCACATCCGCGTTACCACCGGCGTACAACTGTGTTGAGAAACACAACCAGCTTAGAGAAGTTTCGCTCATGCCAGGCCATCAACATGCCTGTTTAAGCCAGGGTGGCAGATGCAGCGCCTAACGGCGAGGTAGAGGTCCATGTTTTTACTGCAAAACGCATCACAGACCCTGTTTCTATCACTGGTGCCTGTTCCACCCAACTGCCCTCCACCTATTGCTATATACATTCACTACGCCACTTGAGAGCTTCTATTCCTAGTTTCATGGTTAAATGCTTGTACGATACAAGCAGATTTACACACGTCATTATTCGGCCGCAGTCGTAAGGCGGGGATAGCGCGCTGGTCTTTTTTGCTTCTCGCCACTTCGTTTAGTTACTGTCTTGTGTCGGTGGAGTGTTGTTATAGTTCAAGCAGTTGCGCCTCGGATTATGGTTGTATCAAGGAAGTTCAGAAAATAGTCTTCTGCGTAGTTGTAGATGAGTGCTTGTAAGCCCACAGTGTGGCGGTTGTAACAGTACATAATATCGGGGCATAATATACGAGTACAATGTCTACGTGTGGTATGATGCATTAGAGTTAAGATATGGTAGAGCTGGGACTGTTCATTGCCTAAACTCCTGAGAACACTCTTCACTACCCCAAACCAAAATATTAAAGAATTTGTAGGCGAAAGAGAAAACTTGTAACGTCATAATCATACCATCTGGAAGCGGATACGGCTCCAAGTTGTCTGTAGCTTGTGTCTCAGTAGGCTGAGCTGCAGTCTCCGTAACTGTAGACACAAATAACGATTACTTTTTTAGGCGAGAACCATTGAGTAAAACTGATCAGATAGATGTCTTTACCAGTTCTGCAAAATACACGAGCACTAATGGATCTCGAAGATGAGGCAGTAAGCCTCGTTAGGCAACTCAGCATCGCTGATTCGATATTGTTTGCCTATTTCATATCACTGCTACTGATTCCGCTAATTGAAAACAACTAACTACAGTGTAAGTTACTTGTATGTAGTGTACTTTTGAATTGGCACTTTTGCTATCTCAATGCAGTACGAGTCGTATTTTGCCAGTAAATGTAGGCTTTCATGGTTTTGCAGTGATTTTGACGGTAAATTTCTAGTCTCTAAACTTCGTGCGCAATACGCAACGGCTTACGGGAGATTATCGGTGATAATATCGTCGAAAAGGAGGATTTTTGCATAACAGTCTGTGCAAAGTTCAAAACCAATTTCAAAAGCTCACGTGCAAAACGTTTGAAGTGCGATCTGACGTGCAGGGAGTTGAAATTTCCAATATTTATTCACATGTTCAATAACAAGCCTCCCTCCAGAGGACGCCAAATCGTTTATACGGCCCCAGCTACTAGCTAGTGAGTTTGTGCTTCGATTTGATAGACAAAGCAACCAAGTTAAAAGCAGTCATGTACTCCACCTCGTATGATTGCGAGGGTGACTATCAAGAATGCGAGAGGTCAGTGATATACAACTACTCCACCCAGAATACTGCGAGAAATTTTAGTGACTATACTGTACACTCTGTAAAGCGTCACTGTTTTAGGTCGTGAGAAGTGGACATTCATGATGCCGGCAGTGCATTTTCTGCTATCATCAATTCATTAGTTTGCAACAGTTATTCAAAAATATAAGACTTCACTTTTGATGGTATTGAAGGGGCTCATAAAATACCACTAGGACTAAGGTTATCATTACTCTACCAACTGGCTACTATATGTACTTGTATTAAACTGCATGCGATGTGAAGATGGTGCACACTATTGCGGTATCGCATGGCATGGTCATCTATTCGAGTCATTCGCATGAAGGCACATCCATGAATTGCCAAGAAGTGCATTGGGAGGTTGCAAGAATGAGGTCATATCGATATGCTACTAGTACTAGTACTGTTGAAGATGAAAGTGGCACAGCCTCATTACGGGGAAAACAGCAGATCTCAAGAAATTGAGCGAGTAGCAGATGGTGCCGTTGGTGATGATGGTGGAGAGAGGATACATTGGTGTAGAGTAGGGGTGAAACGAGTATCTATTTTGACCAATCGATCACTCATTTGTAATATTCGATCGAGTATCCGATTATTTCGAGTATTTTACTAAAATTCAAAAGAGCTAGATTTGTGAGTTCTCAACCAATTCGGAAGAAATTATCTGTGAACATTGAACAAAAGTCGCCGTCTGTAGAGTCGAATCATTCCTGCCAGTGTGTAGCCTAGTGTCAATAGCACGAGGTGCCAAGGAGTACACTTACATGTACTGCTCACTCCTGATGCAGGGTCTCAGCACGCTATTGTAGTGGCATTGAGAACACTTTACATTTAAATATGCTGTGCTCCTAGTAGTCTTGTGCAGGGTACTAATTTCGAGTATCGCCAATGCAATGCCATGCTGTACATGCCGTGTATGTGTGTGTGTGTGTGTGTGTGTGTGTGTGTGTGTGTGTGTGTGCGTGCGTGTGCAGCGAGAGTAGCGATGAAGAAGCAGACGAGAATGCGCCGATAAAGTCGCGCAACGTCCTGGCCCGGCCACCGCCATCCAGTCTGGCAACAACGGAGCAGTCTAACACGTTTGAACAGGACATGGAAGATGAACTTGACCTGAGCATGCAGTCCGTCATTCAAAATGCCTTTGGCGCATCCTCAGCCGGCATGCTACTTAACCATGACGGTGACCAGGCTACAGTGAAGCAGAAGGGATCAAAGAAGAAGAAAACCTCTCGCCCGGGCAGCAATGCTGGTACCAGCGATGATGGAGCGTCAGCCGGAGAGTTCTACGACGATATCTACTTTGATTCCGGTTCGGATGGCGAGGGAGAGCGGCATTCCGTGGCGGATGGTGCGGGTGCATCGGGCTCTAGGCCAGCAGGTACAGGATGTGTTGTCGAGAGCAAAGTGCATGAATACAGCTTTGTGACACTGTGTTGGCCTGCCTGTATGCAACTGTCTTCGTATTTTTCACTGTACTTTATGGGGTGGTTTTTGTTCTGCTGCGGTGGCGATGCCAAGCACCATGTCCTGTGCTAAATATTGCCGTGTGCACATGTATGTGTACTTTCTTTTGCCTGCTATGTTCCAGGTGCAATACCGAGGAGTGCAAAAAGGCGCTTCCCCGTCCTCAGCAATGACGACCTGTTCTATGATCCTGACATTGATGAAGACAATGAGCTGTGGATGGCCAACAAACTGCGGTCTCATCGAGGTTAGTTCCTAGCTGAGGTGCGTTGTGGTTGCTGCTGAGTGATCTGCTGCATATACAAGTACTATAGTAGCTGCTTTCTTCTCTTTGCTCTTTACATATAGACGCTCTGCTCTGAACTGAAGGCTCATGGTCGTAACCTGGGCTGTTCTTTTTTTCATGTAGAAAATTACTAGAAATCTCTATATACAGTGCTGCGCAATGAAATCCGGCCGCGTCACTCAAGTATGCGCCGGGCGTTGCACGGCCCTAGACCTGCGAACACTGGGCTGCGAAGTGGTGCAAGGCGCAAACTTGAGTGGTGTGACTGGATTTCATTGAGCAGGACTGTAGCTGAGCCACCATGTACATAATGTGTACCGTATTTTCCGGAGTATAAGCCGCACTTTGAACACTCAAAATTCACCCAACAAAAGGGGGGGGGGTGCGGCTTATACTCCGATGATCGAATTAACGGTGATAAATAGGGTAGATGTCTGTATTTCTTGCCAAAAAATGGAAGGTGCGGCTTATACTCCGGAAAATACGGCATTCTGCACCTGGCAAAATTCTGGTGTGATCGTTTTTCAGCGCCCAACAGTACTGTACTATTTTAAGATTTTGTTCATCTCTTGTTTTCCGGTGCAGGTGTACGCAAGGTCAAGCGCAAGAAACGCTCACAAGGTGCTGCGGATTCATCACAGGCGTCCGGATCACCTGAAGAAGCTACTGCTGCTGCGCAAGGAGACCAACCGACCACTGCAGTGCCACGCAGTGATGCGCATCTGAGCTGTCCTGCTTGCTTGACCACTCTGTGTGTGGACTGTCAACGGTATGTGGAGTACTACTGCTTCTCTGTACTCCCTGTAGAGAGTCTAGAGACAGATGTGCCTTTGTTAGTGGGAGAGCACGACAGGCACTGCAAGTTAGCATTTTGATGGTGGCCTCCATGTGCCTTGGCTCATGAACTTCTTGATGGACATTTGCTGTGTGTTACTTGAAGTATGTGTTGTGCGAATCTAGAGGAGGGGGCTGATAGAGTCTGCTCTTGCCCATGATGCATTTCTTTTCTCTTTTCTCTTTTTTTTGCTCAGACACGACATCTACCGTAGCCAATATCGGGCTATGTTTGTCATGAACTGTGCCATCAAAGCCGACCAGGTGCTCAAGTACAAGCCGAAAGAACCGCACAAGAAGCGCCCGGCCAAGAAGCGCACTGATCGTGGAGGCAGAGCAGCTGATGCAGACGAAGCGGCTGCTGAGCATTCACAGCCCACAGTGCCCGAAGCGGCCATGGAGGATGGATCCGTGGGTGACCAGTACAAGCCGGTCGTGTGTTCTCAGTGTTCCACCGAGGTAGCTGTGTATGACAAAGACGAGGTCTATCACTTTTTCAATGTCATTGCCGGTCATGCATAGCTCCGTTCGGTCCGTCAGGTGCCTGGACAACGTGGCTCACATCTCTGTAGATAACCGACTTTAGAGCATAGAAGCTGTACATATCATCTCCGTTGCACATAAATATTTTCTTCTGCATGTGTTCCCGTCAGCGATCGAGCAGATGGGGATGTGTTGTATTTGTATTGTTTGCTGTGACATGTATTTCATCATGTGTGCGCGTGTACATAGTGTTAGCAACATGTTGGCCCTGAAGGTCCCATGCATAGACATTTTAACTCCCTCAACTAATGAACATCTGAATGCTCTCCTCTCAATAACCAATTTTAATACCACTCTTCTTTTTTGGAAAAAAAAAGTTATCAAATGTCACACCTTCAGGTAACTGGTTGAACCGTTCCTTGAGTCGGAGTTGGCATCGTAATTTCATGTGAGGCCAGTCAGGCCACAGTTGGAAGTAAATGTGATGTGTGCAAACTAGCTGAATCATATAACGACATACGTTAAGCAGTCGCTACAGACCAGGTGGTCGTACAGGATCAGCACACGCTATGCAAGAGATCCACACATGTGCACGTGCTGTAACACTGAAATCCAATACACTGCACGGAGAAGATCATTCTTGGTCACTATCATTCAACATTGGTCGTGACCTTTCATGTCTGGTTGCAACAGAGCTATACAATATCGTAACGCGTGCCTGCAGCGACGTCAGAATCACAAAAAAGCATTAAAAAAGTAAAAAATTGTATGATTTGGGTGTCAGAAAATACTGCTGTGAAAACTGATTGGACACTAAAGACAATGTTCAGGTGAGAATAAGGGGTAAGCATGAGAAGAGTCATCGTGATTGCTAGCTGAGAAAATAATCTACGCATTGACAGGCCTGGAAACTGGCCGAAGAGAAAGTGCTAGTACGTCGGAAGTGCCAGCTGCAGCTGGCATGTAGAAATGCAAGAAAAAAAGTCTAGGTGCAACAGTTAGCTGCACACGAAGACTGTGAAAAGGTAACAAACGCTATGGGAACTGCTAAGGCTAGACTTGCTCTAAATAATATACATAGCCAACAACAAGCCAGTGTTGCAGAGGTAAAAAACTTGTAATGGGAAAAAAACTGGTATGGTATCGCAGGAACAAGAAAAAGATGAGCACGGGCATGCACCTGGCAAAGCTACGAAGCGGAATAATGTACAATAGGAGCCATTCGTGTGTAAGTGCCCAGTCTGGATCTTGCCTGGATGCCAGTCTAGAAAATAAAGGTGTTGTGAGGTTGTTGGCTGCATACAGCAGCCATCAAACAGGTGTAACCGGTCTGTACGCGTGCTCAACACAACCACTCGCAGCCCAAATGACGGCTAGTCTAAGTAGTGGCCTCCTTGGCGGCCTACTTTCACACGAATACAATCCTCCGTGTTCGCCAGATGCAGACGCTGAGCACAACCAAGAGTACAATGATGGACACATACACATATTGTAGTGTCTTGTATAAAAGCCCGTCTCATATAGAAGCCTGGTTTTCAAGATGGCACATGAGCCTGGTTTTAGTGTGGACATACATAGAAATACCTGGTTTGAATACAGGCCTGATTTGAATAGAAGCCTGATTTGAATAGAAGCCTAACCCTGACATCGGCTTCTACAGGAATAAGCCCGGCTAAGCCCGGCTGATACGCGACACTACGGTACATATGTGCATACTGTGATTGCACTTGCTGAAGTGAAATGAGCATCTAGATCCGAAAAGGGGGCTTATGTCGTTTTGCGCGATATTGAGAAAAAAGCATTTCAAAGTTGAGTTTTCCGTATTAAGCGATGTATAATTAATTCACTTTTGAAACACCCATAACTCTGTGAAATATAACGATTTTGGACCTGGTTTTTTTACAGAGTGATCTGCTGGAGTACAGCAATGTCATGGTATAGATAGCTCAAAATGCACAAAAATGACATAAGCCCCCTTTTTTGGATCTAGAGGCTCAAATAAGAATTTCTTTGATGGGCTTCAATTTGCCGTACATTCGATGGTGCACCCGACTACTAAAAGTTAGATTCTACCTAAGTAATTAGTCCGATGAGAGAAAGGTGATCCGGGATATATAAAGCAATCACATGCCACCAAGAATAAGCGTGTGTCGTGAGTGCAAGGTTCGAGTCCAGCAGATGAACTCGACGTTGAAAGAACCTGTCTATGCGACCGCTCTGATAACTTGTTGTGCAAAGGCGAGCAGTGGTCAATTCGTAGACAGGTTACACAGTACAGGGCACAGGCAAGAACAATGCTGCCGCTGCAGTGTAAAATTTACCCGATAGTGGCGAAAGTAGCTGCGATGACCAAATTGGGGTGAGAGCTGACAAACCTAAACAAAGAGCAGGACATATGGGCAAGTAGCCAGAGAATGGTTTGAATAGGAACAGCACGACGGTGCTATTGGCCCACCCCAATGCACTGTTGCACATGTATCCAATCAATATGGCACGGGGCCAGGGAGTATTACTCTGTGGAATGGACCTCCGTGCCCCACACTCCTTCTAGGTAGTACAGATCTAAGCAAGTGACATTGGCTCCCACACTGCAGCCATTTTTGCTCACAGAATATTACACATTACACCTTGCCCACGCAAACTCATGAGAGAACCCACCAGACTGACTTTACTTCACATGTATGCGATATATAACACTGACAAAGAGGTAGGGCAGAAAGGAATATCAAGTTCGTATTATGTACATAACAACTGGACTTACTCGATTAGACGGGCATAATTGCTACTGAAAATACGGTACCAGAATGAGGATTCTGCGGATGACTCATCCGTCGGCTCACTATAAGACAATGCAGGATGAGCATTGGCCAATGGATCACATGTCAAGCACAAAAAAGAAAACGGATTGCGCAGGCAGAGGAGAGTCAAAAGCGACTGAAAACACTGCAACAAGAAACATTGATCTAACAGTACAACACAATGACCCTGAAATACAGCACTCGTATGCCTTACAGTGTTTTCTGGGTCAGAGAACCACAACTTCCCTGGCGGCTTGTGCCCCAAACGTTCATTTCATATAAACTAGGGGTGAAACAATTATACCGAATATTCGAATGCTCGTTTGGATTTTTCGAATATAATCGTACTCGGAATAAATCAGAGTACTCGCTCATACATGGTACATGCATTCACCACAGAAATCTGCAGTTTCAGAGCAGCAGTCAGCAGATATTGATGTGCAGAGTGTGTCGTGAGCATTTGTGCATGAGTAGAGAGAGCCCAAATGACCCACCAACCAATACACCAGAGAAAAGGACTGCCAATTGGTTCTATCAGAGTTGTACCATGTGATTTTTAAGGCCCTTGGTGGGCGATTTTTAGGATATCAAGAATACTCGAATACTCGAATATTCGATCGGAGAAATCAGAGTACTCGAACTCGGGATCTCAGTGCCAACTTTCACCCCTAATATAAACAAATACAGAGTGGAATGTGACATTTTGCCGACAGGAGGGTATTTCACAGTGTACCCCGGTGGCTCTGACCCTGAAAAATACGATAAACATCAACATCATATTCTCTCGGGACTGGCGGAACATACCTTGGAGGTGCCTCGCCTGGTGGACTGGTAGACTCCTTCCATGCTGCCGAGCTGTGTAATGAAGTGGCCGAGCTTGTGGTACGTCGATGAACATCAGTTGAGCTGCTCGTTTCCTGGAGAGGAAGCTCTTCAGGTATAGTCTTTGAACGCAGAAGATGGTCAGGACTTGGAACTTCAGCATGCCTTAAAATTTAACACACACAAACAGCAGCAGCATTGGTAGCACGATTGATTTACAAGAGATTCAGGATGCAAAATGGCACCAGTCGCATAAACAAGAACTGAAGCCCAGGAGTTCTATTTATCCAGAAGACACTTGGGGCAGGGGAGGAGAGGGAGAGGGCTCCATTTCAGACGTGGCCTTATCATTTCAAAGAAAAATCAGCTTGAGCTATAGGGTGGTGAAGTTGGAAAATAGAAGAAAATAAAATAATGTGCGTGCTCATATCAGAACATAGCACATGGTAGCAGCAAAGGTTTTGTTCCAGGACAATTCCTTTGTCACTATCATCTATGGCATCTTGAATTACTTGTAACTGAACACTGATTTCTTTCACTTAGTGTGTATACATCCTACTTTAGTTCCCTTTTTCATTCAGTCACGAGATTGCATTGAGAAGAAAACGTTATGGAACAAAAACGTTGATGCTATTTGGTGACATATTAAAGTGCGCACATTATGATTATTATTCATTGCTATTTTACGATTACTGTCTCCACAGCACCTGGGATTCTTTTTAATTTTTCTTTCACTTTACTGTTGACCTCTTTATTTTTTGCACCTCGGTTCATTCGTAAATCTATCACTTTGTTGGAATAGTTACCACTGCTGCGATGTTACTTTTCCCTTGGTTTCACTGGTTCTGGTTGCATGCATTTCACTTTAGGAGAAAGCACTAGAACTGAAGTTCTTATGTGCACAATATGGTTTCAATGGCTGCGCATTCCACTCATATTTCTCTTCAAATAAGTTTGGTGAAATGTGTACAACAGCCGTCAAGTAACAGAACCAACAGCTACATCCCACTGGTGTGTAACTCCATTTCTTTTCCATCATTCACGCGAGTTTGACATAACTAGTGGTGTGCACGGGTAGTCGGGTACCCGTGCTACCCGTGAGGACCTCGGGTAGACGGGTAGAGAATAGTACCCGAAAACCCGAAGTCGCAGAAGACATCAAGTACAGTGCACGTGTACAAATTGATGTAATACTCCGCATGCCTACCCAGTGTGTAAAGGAAGGGGTGCATTGTGGTGTTACCATGAAAACATTACCCGATCGGGTACCCGTGCTACTCGTGGAAAATTATCCGAACCCGATACCCGAAGAAAATGCTACCCGACTCAGCACTAGACATAACATCGCTTGTGCAACATTCTGAAACTGTGACCGAAATCCACCTACACATTTTGTAATACAGTCAGACCTCGCTTATCCGGTTCTTTTTTATCCAGATCCTTCGCAATCCGGAAGAAAATCGTTGGTTACAGATATACAGCATATGCCATGCATACATACAGTATGTGTGTTCGATTATCCGGTTCCCTCGCCTATCCGGATATTTTTGTGGAAAACGAATGTGTGCGGTTAAGCGAGGTCTGACTGTACTGTCGTGACCCGAGTGTGAAGGTGGATCGCATGGTGGCAAGTGGCACGTGGCAGACACATCAGCAAGTCGCATTCGCTATGGATCAGCGTCGGGCCATGGTAAACTGATCACTACTGATCACTACTTCAGTTCATATTACGGTTCATACTATATTAAAGCTGTATTTCACTAGCTCTGCCCATCACCTTTGCACCCTAGTTGATGTACATGATGCACATTATTGAGATGCTATAGTTCGTACTACTGTAAGAGTTGAATCTCTAACGGGGCACAAAGTCTAACGTTATAACGAGAAAGAATCCATCGTTAACGCAAGAAACGTTACACGTACATGTATGTATTCCTTCTCTCCTCTTTACTGGAGAAATAGAAGACAAGTGTGTGTGATGGAAGGGTTGTCACATTTTGTGGCCGCTAAGTGGGATAGTTTTGCAAATCGTTAAACGTTAGACTCGTCACACTTTAAACGCTTACAGTATGTTATTGTTGTACCATGCAACTGTGCCACAAAGTATTTCTAGCATCTGGTGCTATTTTGTACTAGTACTGTGTACTACAAATTATGACCCTAGCTTCTACCGTTCTATCACACCTTTATGACTAGTGAGTACCATGAGCTCGTTTTGATTGGCTGCTTTCCTGAATATCAGCCCCTGTTTGCTGGTGTTTGTCCTCAATCTCGTTTCAGTCCCTTCTTCTTCTCTCCCTCTTCGTCCTCTACGTAATCTATGCAAGGCATGTCCTTAAAAATGGAACTCTTGGTGGGTTGTTGACTCTGATGACGTGCATACATTGTGCATTGGAAACCTGAGTCTCGTTCACACTTCGTGGCGGTCCTATTCGTGTTGCTGGCAACACCGCAAATTCTCGCAAGGACAGATGTATAATGGTAAGGTGAAGTGCATACAAAGGATCTCGTGCATGTACATGCATGCACATACCGGTATGTGTCCTGATCCCGTCGACGTAGTGTGTGCAAACTACATGTAACTCGGGGCCCGAGTTGGTTTGAGGGCGAGCATTTTAGGGATTTGATTCGAATTCTGGTATGGATTGAAAATTTGAAATAAGAAAATCCCCTCGTGAATTGAAGCTTCCTCAAAACTGGCATTGAAAACATGGAAGGCATCGCCTTCTAATCGAGTGAGTACGGTATTTATTGTCGATACGCATGTATTCGGTGGGTTTCGATAATTGTGTGCGCGGGTTTTACTGAAATTACTCAACATTAGGATGAGAGGTACTAGTGAAAATACGACTGTTGCTTTATATTGAATAATTCCAGCACATGTGTATCCAGAATGGCAAAAAGACCTTCACCACCTTTTTGAAATACATGACTTTGTACAAAACAGCACATCAACTCGTAGCTGTCAGTCTGCAGATGCAGTGATGGGCTTTTGACACAGTACATGGAGTAGGTCAAACGCCATACCGCTGTTCAGGTCCAGTGTCTTCAGAGTCGGCAGCCATATCAGAATCTCTGACTGCCTCAGCCAACATATCCTCCATTTCACTGCCATCACTCAGATCGGAGTGCAAGCCGTCGGCGTAAGAGGGCTCCGCACCTGCCGATGACTTGTGGCTGCGCTCGTCATCAACATTAACCCAAGACTCTGCAAGAGAATCATGGCACAACAACAATAATGTACAGGACATGCTGAAGGTGTTCTCCTCAATTCCTGTGTATTGCTCAGTTCAAAGATGAGAATCAAATTGATGATAATCTCACCAGCCAATGTTGGCGAAATATCTCCATCCGTAGACATTTTCGTTGCTTTCCCCAGATCAGTTCAGAAGAAAAAGGAACTCCAAGGAGAGAAGATAAAGAACCATCCAGACCCAGGATCAGGACGAAAGGTGAGGCACACAAACATCAAAACGAGGCCATCAATCAAAACAAAAACTTCCTAAATCTATTTCCTGAGCACCAGCAGCTGGTGCAGTGTTGGTGGCAGAGTCATACAGTTTCGACCGTGGCTGCGACCGCCAGCTGGCAAGCTGTAGAGTGTAGTGCATGATTGTACTCCTCGATCGCGCGAGCCTTCGCTGAGACACTGCGCCGAAAACTTTCGGCGGAGTGTCTTTCAACCAGGGCCATCCCATGTGTGGTCTGTTGCTTTTTGATTTCTCAAAAACCGAGTCCAGCACTGCATGACGATGATGATTGTAGAAAATACGAAATCACTTTCAAAATATTACCGGTAATTGGAAGCATAGATAATATACCGGTAATGCAATAATGGTGTTTTGAGTTCTCTGAAACACGTGCTGGACTTGTAGATGTACCAGTAGAAACAGTAGTGCTGTGCAATCACATAGGAACTGCATAATGATGGATTCCATGGCTGGAGAAATTGCTGTCCTGTTCGTTTTGCTTGTTGCGTTTTGGTAAGTCTTCACTGAAAGGACAAATTCAGGTACCACAAGTTGTAGTCCATGTGCAGTTCTTTGGAACGTAACAGAAGCGCATAAAGTGCGCCATGAAAAGAGAAAGAGAAGAATTTGCAAGTACGTTTGTTTAACGTGCTGCCAAGCAAATGTAGTTACCAGGAGTTTTCACACAATGACGCATTAATATCAGTTATCATTGATAATGGCTAGCTAAGCCGTCTCGAATTAAGAATATGTCCCGTGATGGAAATTAGCTCTTGTTTACTCGAGGACCCTTTAAAAAAAGTCTTGCAATCCGCTTTCGCCCTTAATTAAAGCCATGGTCCGGTGTGCGTGATGTGGCACACGAGGTACATACACGCGCACACACCACACACACACAAACACACAAAGGGTATTTTTGGCGAGACGTGAAATTATAACATCATGGTCTCTGATAAAGTCACGGCTGGAGGAAGAGACATTACTCAAAACTTGCTCTCTCTCTCCCTCTCTCTCTCTCTCTCTCTCTCTCTCTCTCTCTCTCTCCCTCTCTCTCTCCCTTTCTCTCTCTCTCTAAACAATAACCCTTGGAGGGAGGTTGAACAATATAAGACCAAGTCTATAGTATATTCTCTTCGGAATTGAATATAAACTGCCTAAATAAGTATCCTGCACAGAGACCAGGCTGGTGTGACATTTCACAATGTCTTTTCTTTGGTATGTAGCTACCTGGATGTCGTGGAACCATTTCACCGAGAGATACATGCAGAAGAGCTATGGCTGTACAAGAATCCCCACAAGCCGGACACATTCACAGCCATGACCACTGTGGTGAGTTGTAGCATTTCGATCACAGGTACCGGCACCAAGTACTCTTATGCCATCATTCGATCATCGCCAACAGATGGCACTCGATAACCGGGAATGGGATTCCCTGGCTAATGTTCTTACACTAGCTGTGCATACTGTAGACTATAGCACCACTGGTCTACAAAGGCAAGTGTAAATTTCTTCAAGGAGGCCCCAATAGTGAGCAGCAAGAGGTATTCTCTACTTGTGTGCTATTTGTAATTCACATCACAATGTTCAGGTATGGCTGGATGCAACAGAATTGCCGTTCACTTGTATTTTCCACGTGCAGGTTTTGAGTTTTACAGTGCCACCGATTGTGATGATGGCGTGTTGTGCACTCCGTGGTCTCAGCGCGCCTGACCTTGTTCCTTCCGTAGTAGGTGGGTGATGTGTGTTGATAAAGTGTGTTTGTGTGTCTGTGTGTCTGTGTGTCTGTCTGTCTGTGTGTCTGTGTGCATGTGTGTGTGCGTGTGTGTGTGTGTGTGTGTGTGTGTGTGTGTGTGTGTGTGTGTGGAGGAGGAGGATGTATACCGGAAGTGTTTTCTTGTCTCTTGAATGGCGCCTTCAAGTATACAATGTAGGTCGTATGAACGCATATTTTTGAAAACTTTCCTGTCAGCAATTTCCTGAACTTTGTATGTTCTTGCGCTGCTATTGCATTTACTTGCTGCCATGGTGATGGTAGTTCTGTATCTTGCCTCGTGTTCCCTGCAGCTGTGAGCCTTTCAGGATTGCTGACAACGGTCTTGAACAATATCCTAAAGCTGTTGATTGGCAGGTAAGCCTGGCGTTTCTTTTGGTATTTCACTCAAACGTCTCTTATCCGGACGCCAGAGATACGGGCACGTCTCTCCCTACCGGGCACGTTCAGCTTGAGTTCCTATGGCAAATATTCTGCGGATTTGGGGGGTTCGAACTTTTGTTGTATGCGCTAGTGCTTATTTGTCACAGCCAACCTCTGTAATCCACACATTTTTATCAATGGATTCTTTTTGCATCCTGGACATGTGCAATACGTGCCAAATAAACTGCTGCGAAAGATGATGTTGTGATACATTACAGTAACGTGGTAGATGAGTTATCCTGAGATACGGGCAAATCTGAGATACGGGCAGTGCCCGGTCTCAAGGTGCCCGGATAGGAGAGGTCCGAGTGTATTCAAGGCAAAGCACCATGGCATATTATGTGATAGATAATACTGTATGAATGTATGTGGGACAGATTGTTCCCGTTCATGTGTGTGGTTTACTGCTGGTGGGATAGTGGTTGCCGGCGTGTTTTCTCTTGCGGGACATGTCCGTCAATGGCTTTCTCCTCTGGACCACACAGTCAGGGCCAGTCCTGTCAGCCGGAAAGAATACTCCATTCACCAGGGTGCAGAGCGGTATGCACCAGAGAGTAGTAAAATACCAGTATTTTACTACTCCCTGGTATGCACGAATACCTGACCAGCGCGTGGTATGTTTGAATGGTTGCAGCGAAAACAGCCTTCTGTATGCCTATACTGGTAAATCATACTCTGGGTATATTATTTGTTTTATATGATTGTTGCATCTCTCTTTAGGCCCCGTCCTGATTTCTACCATCGGTGCTTTCCACATGGTACTGATGACATACCTAAAACCTCATCCGGCAGCCTGAAACTGGACTGCACTGGTGATCCGCTTTTGCTCCGAGACGGCCGCAAGAGCTTTCCTAGTGGTCATTCTGCCTGTGAGTACTTACTTAGCCGTGTTTGTTGAGGCGACGGTGTGTGTTGTTTTGCCTGCGTTACTGCGTCCTTGGTCTTTGTTGATGTTAGCATGTGCTGTGGCATTTCTGTTGAAATTACAAGTATGATCGTGTATGTGCTTGGTCTTCTTTTCGTCTGCAGTATCCTGCTCAACATTTGTTTTCCTTTCCCTGTACTTGGTTGGACAACTTGGTATCCTCCTGCCAAGAGGTCGCGGTCAGTCCTGGAGGTTGTTGTTGACGATCGCACCCAGCCTGTTTGCCGCCACAATATGTCTGTCAAGATACTCTGACTACCGGCACCACTGGCAAGGTGTGTATGTAGTACTATCAAGAGTACATAACCCCAAGAGTGTGCAACTCCAGCTATGGGGTCTGCGACGGCAGAACTTCACATCACGTGATGAACCCGTACACATTATTTGCACTCTTTGCATGATAGATACAGGGTTGTACGCAGCCCAGCTTTGGGTACAACTCTCTTGTGGTCACTTTGCACTGTTTGCCAGCATAACCTTTTGAACCATGTCACGTGATGTGAAGTTCTGCCGTCGCAGCACAGCATAGAGGTTGTGCAGGCAGTTGCACACTCTTGGGGTTATGTACTCTTGGTACTATGTACAGGTATATACATTGTGTGTGCGTCTGTGCGTGTATGTGTGTGCGTGCGTGCCATATGGTGCAGTGGTATGTGCAGCGATTTCCAATCGATAGGTTGCGGGTTCGATTCCTGACGATTATGGTCACACACGTCTTTCTTCTCTTTCTCAGACTCTTCCTGTCTTTTCTTTCATTCTCCTGGGTGGTTACCAACAGCCAGTGCATGCCGGAGTATGTGGTGTGATGTGTGTGCGGGAAAAAAAAAGAAAAAAAGACCATAAAGTAGGGATTCACTGGCCAGAAAAAGCCACTTCACAGCTGTGTGGTGTAGACCAGGCTGAATAGTGGCGGCCAATTCTTCGGCCTTGCAAGCTGTTGAATGGTGCAATCCCAGCACAAGTTGCTATGGCTTCTGCTGTAGCATCGCTATCATCGCCTCCGCCGATGGGCGTCCAATGGTCCAATGGTGTGTGTGTGAGCCTGCACTCGTTTGTTTGTGGTAGCGCGCACGCATGCGTGTGTGACATGTGAATTACGAGTGTGAATGTACATGAGGGATTTTTCTTATGACACCACCTAAACCTGCCTTTCTTTCCTCTGTTGTCATTTTTGTATCTTGCAGATGTCATGGTGGGCAGTGCACTTGGTATGTACCTGTTTCCATGTACCTATTTATTAGGGCTGAAACAATTATACCGATAACTCGCATATCGATCGTTAAGAGTGCAGTCGATAATCGTTAGTGTTCAAAACGAGTGCTAACGATTTTTATGCATGCATATCAGTGACAGCATTCTAGCCCTTGCACTCCATCCGATAGTGAATACGAGTACAATCATAGTATATATGGAAGACTTGCTTGATACTCTGCCAACCGGGTTATGGTTGTAGTCAGGAGCACTGTGCGTCCCCGCCTTGTAACATGCTGTCGAAATCGAAAACATGAGTACAATCATGTACTTTCAAGCACAATAAAATTCATTTGTGGCCGTGAAAGAGATCGGGAGAGAAGATAAGAGCAGTTGCCAGAGGGTGATGACAAGATTCAGATGTCAACAGTGCGGTGCCAAACATCTCTAATGTAGCGAAGGTATTATGCAATTTCTTCCTAAACAGGTGTTCAACGTACACGGGTAGAGCCAACAAGAATCGATAAAACCAATAAATCGATCGTTAACGATATCGGTTGATCGTTAGGAGTTATCGAATGATCGTTTCAGCCCTACTATTTATGATATTGGCTTGTCATACTAGGATTTATCGTGTCCAACAGTTACAATACACATACACATGCTTGAAGCCCTACCATTGCACAGTGCTGGTGCATTGAATTGTCACTGACAGCAGACTTGCAAGCTTGTTCAGTCCGTCGAATGTGAATTTTTATAGGTCGTTACTTTCACCGAAGACTACTTCACATGTTTACATGTCATGTTTGTTTGCTCAGTGTTCTGCTGCTACCGTTGCATTGGCAGCCTTGCGTGCTTTGCTGACCTGTGCACTCTCTCTTTTCTCTCCATTGCCTGTGTGGGTGCGTGTGGGTGTGTGGGTGTATGTGTTCATATTACCAGGATCAACAATGGCCTGGTTTGTCTATCACCAGTATTTCCCTGTATTGTCACACCAGCAGGCGCACCGGCCACTAGCCGTGCACACTAGCACTATGTCCAGCAGTGGATTCAGCCCGGAGCACAGAGTCAAACATACCAGTATCCAGACATGACATGGAGTGAGTTAAGATTCAATGCTATCGATGCTATATCCATACGGTGCTGACTGGACGAAAGCTGCTCAAGACCGGCTCAGCTTCTGCTTCTGTTGTGGAGTGGATTTTTCTTTTCCTGAACTAGGACTGACTGACTGGCTGTTGTCGTTGGAGTTAATTCAGCGTCTACGTGCTGACACGCAGGTGTAGAGTTGAGATGAGTGAGCTAGACATGCTGGAGCTGTTGATCAGCGTGACGAACCGGGGGAATTCCCTGGCAGTGTGACCTACAGTACAGTACTAGAAAGTGGACAGGTGTAGTGATGTGACTCACATTTTCACTCAATTCTTTGTCAAGCCATATTGTGGAAGCATGGCAACTGCCGAAACGGAATGCTTTGTACCATAAGGACAATAATTATATTATATTTATTTCACGAAATACACACTACAATTCATTAATTTGTTCTCGACGGTTAAAAAAAGTGGATGCTGACATGTACAGTACAGTAGATATTGGTTATAACGTGCCCTTTTTGATTTTTCACATTTATCACTATATTAAAACTAAAGGCCGATTCACAATACAACTGTTTGCGACGCGACATGCGACACCTGTGATGAGCTGCGACAGCAGCACGCGGTTCACAATCTTTTTGGTGTTTGTGACATCCGTATGCACTAGCAATACTATGCACGTGCACCCACAGTAGAAACTGTACTCCATTTGTGTACGTCGCGCTCAACTTCGCAAAGTTGAACTTTCTTCAACTTCTGCAACAGGTGCCTTGCGACTGTACTCATACGCGCCAGCTCACGACAGGCATTTACTTGTCGCAACTGTCGCAAATCGCGTGTCGTGGCGCAAAAAGTTGTATTGATTTTCAACTGGGCGCGTCTTACACACACACATTATACACGTGTGGGTACTCAATCGTGCTAATGTAGCGTACTGATACATTGATGCATGCTGCTGCACCTTCTCCAGTCCAGAGTGAAGAACTTCTTGGCTGCTAAGCATCATCCAGGAAGCGTCAGACCAAAATACACCATCAGGGGTGTCAGAAGGTATTTTAGTGTGGTATGGTCAGTCATCTGAAGTACAGTTTACTCGTGGGGGGGGGGGGGGTGGTGGAGCCGAAAATTTTGGAAATTTAGAGTCCAGATCAGTGTATTTTATTGATTCACGGGGTACCTGGGGCAAAAAGTGGTACGGTCAATACCGTAGTGACCGTACCGTGTCCGACGCCCCTGACTATGAAAACCGTTCAAAACACACATGTGGCTCCAAGTAACTAAGTAACTAGTTGAGACATCAATGCCTTACACTCGTTTGTTGCTATCATTATATAGACGATATTTTTCTGTACAAAGGGGTGGTTGTGATTCTGTATCCTTATGGCCGATTTATTGCTATATCCGATATTATTATTGGTTATAATGATAATTTGACTGGCTTTTTCTGGTTTTGCTTTTGATATTTTTCATTTTGTGTCAATACAGCCGGTTGATCACTATATCCGATGACTTTATAATCGATAATATCTACTGTACTGTATACAGTAATATGTAATTTTAGGTGTACACATGTAGTAAAATTTAGGTATCAGGGACCTGCCGGGTTTCAGATATACCGGTACATGTACACGATTGTAATAGAATTAGGTGACCAACGTTCCCTGCGCCTACAGTGCATACTCCCTTGTCATTTAGGTGTGATCTAAATAATATTTAGGTGCCTGGTTTCTCCACCAACACCTAAAATAACGTGTAGGTCGTTTGTTGCACGTCATTAACGGCAACGTCTGTAGGGCCTTCCCTATCAAAATAATAAATTCTACTACAACTACTATTAATATCAGTATCACGCTGGTTCATGCCCGTCATGAACTTGATCAAGTGTATGATGATGCACTTTTATACCATGGTACGGTGCGGAGGGCCTGTTTTCAGCCAATCAGCGCTCGTCTAGCCATGGTTATATTGGCCAGTATAAATCCCGCGCGGGATTTATATTGAATATAAATCCCGGTGCACGGGACGTACGCTAGGGCACTGCCACCGTACAAGTTCACTGCCTGAAAGGCAGTGAACTTGTACGACGGCAGCACTCCAGCGCACGGACCATTCACAACAGACACAACATACACCACATGAACGTGTACACTCCACACAGAACGGCATGACGAGGAACAGTACACAATGGAAAAGAAGAATGACCTGGAATTCGTCTACTGAGTATTCTACACGTATTATACTGAAACTGAGGATAAAGAACGTCAAATAACCACGAAGTATCCCGAATGGGTCAGCAATGTACATTGTACTTCAAATAGTTGAAGATCATCAACAGACTGTCTCCTTCGTAACTAAGTTTATGATACAGAGTGTTCTTCAAATCCACCTAAACCGATTGGAAAAACGCTAGAATGGATTGAAATGTGATACAGTGATACAAAACAGTGTATGCAAATGCATCTACTTGCAAGTAAGCAAACCTGATTATAAGATGCCGCATGTGCAAATCAGCACTGTACCATAATCATGATATTAATAGTAACACTTACTCCCAAAGAGTCCAAACTGTACTGTAGTCTAACTAGTGACGGTAGTTTGATTCAACGACAACTCCAGCACCCCAGCAATTCAGTTGACTTCCGCATCGCTCACGAGACAATATGCTACAATATGCACTGGAACTGAAAGGAAATCTGATGCCAAACATCCACGGAGGAATCTCCTTCTGATCTTACTCGACCATTCTTTCAATTGATAACCAGCAGAACATGTTCATGTACTGTATGATGTAGGAGATCTCCAAATAGGTTCGTTGTTCTGGAAATGCGTAGGGGTACCTGGCATAAGTAGGATATGACCCTCGTAGTCGGGTTATACCGTACCCTCATATAAATCCCTCCTGCTATCGCAGTCGGGATTTATATTCAGCCGGTATAACCCTCTGACTCGGGTTATATCCTCTACGTATTGTTGTGTCTTGCCATCACGGATATATCCAGGGATTCCCGGCACTCGGGAAAGACACTCGTGCATGCAGTCCGCGATTGAATGCTTGATATTATCGACACGTGACGAGGTTTCTTGAATATTTACAGGGTTTTTATGCCTCATGCCACGCACGTCACCATGGTCACATGCATGGTCATCTGGTCATTTTTGTGTTTACTTTTACCATGTTTACATCAAGACAGAGTATCTTGTATTGGAATTTGAACTTATGATTGGCTATTTATAAAGGTTGTATGACCTGCTATGAGTTGCTTGTATTGAGTATCGGGAATAGTAGTTAAATGAGTTCGACAGGCGTATTGCGTAGTCGCAATCCTGAGGATTCCCAGTCTCAGGCTGGAGGAGATGCCACCTCTGATTCGTCAATGGATAGCAATGCCCAGACAGGTCTGTTGGCAGGAGATAATCCAAACGAAGGCCAACAGCACGACGTCGAGCAGGAGGCAAACTGGCGAACAAATAAATCTAGCATAGCACTACTGGTGTTTTTGTACGTCTTGCAGGGAATTCCCCTTGGACTTGCTGGCAGTATTCCACTGATCCTGCAACAGCGCAACATCAGCTACAAGGGCCAGGCAACATTTAGTCTAGTGTTCTGGCCATTCAGCTTGAAACTATTATGGGCACCATTCGTGGATGGCATATACAGTAGGCGAATGGGCCGAAGGAAGTCGTGGCTTGTGCCAACCCAGTATGCCATTGCCTTGTTGATGATCTGGCTGTCATTTATAGTGACGCATTTGATAGGAGATGGCGAGAGCAGTGTTCCTCAGCTGGTGCCGTTGACAGGGGTTTTCTTTGCTCTGAACATGCTGGCGGCAACACAGGACATTGCCGTCGATGGCTGGGCTCTAACTATGCTGGACCGGCGAAATGTAGGCTACGCCAGTACTTGCAACTCAGTAGGACAGACCGTAGGGTACTTTCTGGGGAACGTTGTCTTCCTGGCGCTGGAGTCGGCTGACTTCTGCAACTCGTACTTGAGATTTGAGCCAGCCCCGACAGGTATTGTAACGCTAGACTCATTCCTGCTCTTTTGGGGCTTTGTATTCCTTGTGACGACGTCACTTGTATGGGCGTTCAAGGCAGAGAAGAAAGAGCTTTTGCTTGCCAGACGCCAATCATCTGATAGTGAAGAGCGGGGTGGTGACTGTGATACGGTCACGCACCAATTACAGGGAACCGAGTGGACAACGGAGGAATACGTTCAGCCCGAGGAGGCTGATGCGCCTGGCATTCTCTCGTCCTATCGCCAGCTATTCTGCATCTTGAAGCTGAAGAATATACAGAGCTACATCCTGTGTACGCTCTTCATCAAGGTAAGCAGCAGCCAGTGCGCATGTTGTGTGTACAAGCAGCACTCGGTGATACCACTGCTGTCTCTACTACATGACAGTGTGCTAATATCTGTGACTATATCAGAACATGCATGCAGTGGAACCCTCCAATATGGACACCATGCAACCAACACGCCTACATGTATATGTATCTGTCTTGTGCATGTGTAGACGCCTATAGGGGTCCCGGATTACAGAATACACTACACCTTTAGTGGCATTCATTATGTGCGTCCCTGTACGCAAGCTTAGACCACCCCTGCCCCATCTGGTTCTTATCCTTCTTGGGTTGAACTATTCCTGGAAGCAAGACTTAGTGAGGAACTGCCTAGGAAATACTGTACCCGGGTACATAATTATACACTCAATCTCCGAACAGTGGTACATATACCAGGTACATGTACAGTTGCGCTCGGTGAAATCCAACCGAAAGTACAAGACTGGCGCCCTGTACCAGTTTTGATTACATCATCGTATCTGTACATGTGTACGTCCAGCCGCATTCGTGCCACTCCCAGGGCGTCGAGGGCCGTGCAAAACCAGGGCGCCAAATGTGCACTCTGGGTCGGATTTCACAGAGCGCAACTGTATTAGTAACACTTGCTATAGTCAAGTTAACAGAGCCTGTCCCGTATTCAGCCAGTACACTGGGCTCTTGTCCAGGTGTGAGTTGGACGGTACACAGTTCATGGCATTTTACACAGAGCTGGTTTCACAGTGTGTGGTTGAATTGGACTTGGACTTGGCAACATACTGGCATGAAAATCTTACATCTATCCCATTGACCGATAGGCCCTTTGTGCTGCTTTCTTGGTTGGCTTGAGTGAGCGAGCTTGTACACTCTATAAATCCTGTTAGAGAAGATGAAATATTGTTGCAGTTTCTTTCTTAGCTTCAAAGTTTTGCAGAATAGATAAAATCGTTGTGAACAAAGTGCTGGTGAGTGTGTGTCCCATTGAAATGAAATAGATTCTTGGTTGTAGGGAAGCGAATCAGCACACGACGCACAGAAGCCATAGTATTGACTAGACCTTTCGTACCATTACTTTCCAAGTCAAATACAACAGTGATTAACATGGCAGCAAGCAAGTTCTTATTACAACAGTGGGGACCACGGTACTACAATGTCAAAACAGTGACTACTTTAGCATGATTGAAATGTGTACTTTTGCACTTGCAGCTTGGAATGTCAGTTGCTGATTCCATGACAGGCCTGAAGCTGATTGAGTATGGTGTTCCCAAGGAGAAACTGGCGATGCTCGGCGTACCAGTGGTTCCACTGCAGATAGTGCTTCCCTTGATCATCAGCCGCTACACGGCCGGCCCACGGCCTCTCACTGTGTACATGTATGCATACGTGCCCCGCCTGCTGTTTGGCTTCGTCTTTGCTGCTCTAATATGGTGGACGCGGTCGTTTGGTCAGCAGAATGGTGCCGGCCATTTCCCTGGTTACTTTTACGTCGCCGTGGTTGCACTGTATGCCCTGCATCAGGTGAGCTGTCGTAGTTTGTATCGGAGTCTTGATAAGAATCAGCAAGAGTACATGGGTTGCTGTCACGGCGAAATTCCGTGACTACTGTAAGCTGTAAGAGTTGAATCTTTAACAGGGCACAAAGTCATTTTAACGAGAAAGAATCCATCGCTAGCTCATATTTATTTATATTTCACAGTAGCTTGGTGCATGACAGAGCAGTGTGAATGCACTTATACAGTTGCGCTAGTTGCGTACAGTGTAGGTGAATTCCAACCCAAAGTGAAAACCCTGCAGGCATCCTGGACCAATTCCAATTTCATCCCTGCATTTGTACATGTGCACGTCCAGCAGTACTCGTGTGCGTACCATTTCCAGGGCATCCGTACCAGGGCTGTGCAAGTATGGGGCGCCACTTTGGTTCGGACTTCACCAAGCATAGCTGTACTACACGTACTGTGTAGGATGGAATCTCAGATACTAGTAACTACCTCCTGGGTGTGCTAGGAGTTATTTTTAAAGAGTAATAATTAGGGGTGAAAGTTGGCACTGAGATCCCGAGTCTGAGGATTCTGATTTTCTCCGATCGAATATTCGAGTACTATTCATCTCCTAAAAATTGCACACCAAGGGCCTTAAAATCACGCTAAAACCCTGATTGAACCGAGTAGCAGTCATTTTTCTCGGGTATATTGGTTGGTGGGTCATTTGGGCTCTCTCTACTCGTGAACAAATGTTCACCACACAGTCTGCACATCAATATCTACCGACTGCTGCTCTGCACTGCAGATTCCTGTGGTAAATGCATGTACCATGTATGAACGAGTACTCTTGATTTATTCCGAGTACGATTATTTTTGAAAAAACCGAGCGAGTACTCGAGTATTCGGTATAATTGTTTCACCCCTAGTATAAATAATGGTATCAGACTGAAGAAAAGTACAATGCTTCAGGCTCCGTCTAAATAAGTTAAAATAACATTCTCGAAATTTTCCGCAAGTACTTTTTCTTTCGATGCTTTCTCGTCAGGTGGAATAGAGGAGGCGAAAAGGAACAAACAGGCGCAATGACTCATCTACAGCAGAGGGGTGATACATGCAGTACATCTACAGCAGAGGGGTGATACATGCAGTACATCAACAGCAGAAGGGTGATACATGCAGTACATCTACAGCAGAGGGGTGATACATGCAGTAGGGGGAGAGGGTCATGTAGTAACTTACCTGCTGTTTCCAGCTCGCAGTGTGCTTCTTCTTTTTTGCTTTGTTGTTTCCAGGTGACTGTCTACAGTATGTTTGTAGCGATCATGGCGTGGCACTCGCGCATCAGTGATCCACGTGTGGGTGGTACATACATGACTCTCCTCAACACGATCTCCAACTTGGCGGCCAACTGGCCCGGCATTGTAGCCATGTGGTTTGTCGACATGCTCACTGTGCGCGAATGCCGAAGCAAGGAGAGCTCTCAAGTGCTCGATGCCGCTTGCCCCACAGCCAATAGTGAGGTGCGTATGTCGTGGTCATTACTTTCTTTCCATGCACACACGCTTGTCTAGTTGAGTCTACACGGGTGGTGCTTGTATCTGGATTTTTCCTCCGTTTTCTGGGAGTATTCCTGGACAGACCACACCATAACAATGACTGTAGCAGGTGTGTTTACTGGTATGTGTGATGACTTACAGCAACCTTTCTCTCTCTCTCTCTCTCTCTCTCTCTTTCTCTCTCCCTGGCATTAATGCTTCATCTTCCAGGCATGCAAGACGGCTGGTGGGAACTGCTTTGCACTGTCGGACGGTTACTTCTATGAAATGGTGATCAGCATCTGCCTTGGCGCCGTGTGGCTCTACTACTTTGGCAAGAAAGTATACTCGCTGCAGCTGGCTAACTTATCCAGCTGGCGACTTCCATCTAATTTAGGTCAAAGTTAAAAGGGACAAGCCTGGCCCCCTCTCTCAGTCCTATCACTGCTCCAAGTTATTTTTGTGTTGGAGTGTATCAACAGACAGTTTTACTTTGCAGTATGTGAATTTATTTTACTTGAGTTTTTTTTTATAGACCTTTTCTTGCACTGCCGTAGCCATTTCACTGTCCGTATATTCCTTGCTAGCTGTGGATATTGAGCTTTCCATAAACACCAGACCACTAACTTAACGAAAAACTCCTCTTCAACTATCACCCATTGCAGCGAGTGCCAGTATGTTCAGGGAACCTTACTCGTATGCATACTGCTCCCAGAGTATCTACTGAAAATACAGGAAAACCTGCCTTTTAAACCGGACGCCCTTGGTGCAGCGGAAACTGTCCTGATACGACAGGATTCCTCTTGATCCAGCTATAGCCTAGGGATAAACGTTTGATCCACAGCACATTGGTGCATGAAAACATGCCCGGTCAACATAGGATTCCATTTGATGCAGGGTACAGCAAACGCAGGTTTTACTGTGTGCATATGCAGTAAATTTTGCAACTTGCTGCACGTCATTGGGCATGTTTTATACAAGTAATACACAGGATCTTTATGCCCACAGCAGTCGCAACTTTGTCCTTCGATAAGTTTTTGCATTTCCAAATGGGTTCTAGTCTGCCCACCGTCTGTCTTGCCAGGGTCAAACGACGTCTCGGCTCTGCTGGAGATGTTAAACTGTGCCCCCAGGTGTGTGAAGTTCTCTACTGCCTCAACCACTTCCCCATTGCAGGTGAAAGGATCTCTCGGATCATCCATTTATATAGGCTATCCAGACTACGGCCAAAGTCACGTCTGAACGTGAATTTCCATGGTGATTCAGTTGTGTTTCAACTCACAAGGGTACAATCGCCTACTATATACAGTATCAAAGACGTCGGAGTCGTAGAAACGTAGTCACAGTTGATTGTAGTATGAATACCCTATAAATATTTTAATCATTAGGTTGGTCCCTATAGTCCGTCACAACCAAAACACGCAAAAAAAAAAGAGATAAACTTGTCCCTTACTACTTGTAGCAGTCATAATCCCAGGAAGCCCAACACACCAGAATGTGTAGGGCTCACTCACCGCAGGCTGAATGAGCCTAACCAGCAGCAGCAAAACACCACAGACCGGAAGGCGAACACTTCTGTTAAACAGTCATGTACATGATGTTCACTGCTTTGAGGGAAAGACACAAACATGATGTACATGCAGTTTCAGTAGGTATGTGGTTACTGCTGCACCATTGATTAGGATTATCGTATTTTCTTGAAAAGCGGCCTGTAAATAAAATAATAAAAACACCCTTGTAAATTCAAACTTGGTTAGCACGGTTGGAAAAAAAGCAGGATAGCCGAACAGCTGAAAGAAACACGTGGCTGAGTATTCTGGAACAGCGTTCCAACCAAAACACAACCGAAGAGCACATCCGGTTCCACTTGTTTTGGCTGAATATGCTTAAAAAAAAAAAAGTTGCCGAGAACACAGGAAGTGCATGGACCGATCCCGTACAACTTAGCAACATCAATCAGCAAACATGTCCAGAGACTGTTTTTGAGTAACTTGCTCAAATCGAGCCTGGGCCTTCTGCCACTTGTTACCGCTGTTCGGAGAGCTACTTGGAGCTGCTGCTGTAGCTGGGGCACTGAATCCAATACCACTCCGGCTTCTCGCTTGACCCTGGACACTAATCTAAAAGTAGAAACAGGCATGTAAAGGAGTAAAAAGGTAAGGCATCTTCAACCACACACAGACTCAAATTACTTCACTGGAGTTGAATGAAGATACGTGATGTCACTCTGAATTGCGAGCAATACAGACACGCAAGTACATGAATGCATACATTAGTGTGTGCGTTTGTGTGGTGTGTGTGTATGTGCGCGTGCGTGTGTGTGTATATATCTGTGTTGTTGTTGTTGGTGGTGGTGGTGGTGGGGGTGTACGACCCATTAACTACGTACCAAATACATGGGAGATGATACAACCAACACTAGCTTCCATTCCATGATAAATCAATGTAAACAACCCGGAGAGCACTTGAACTGTCCAATAGATTTGTTACGGTGCGTGAGCTCCACAGCAGTCACTTTATAGCATTGGTAAACCATACAGCATCACTATACACAAGTGATTTCTGCGCTGCAAAGTTGTTCAATTTCAATTAAATTTTCGGCCAGGAGCCATCATCAGGATTTACTCCACACAATCGGTATTGGTAGCTCGAGGTATCCTCCCAAGTTCCCATTCCCTTCATGACAGGACGCCACAGTACATACGACCGAAGTACATGTAGCAGGTGGCAACTAACCGGTGCAGCCATGCCATCTTGCCGCTGACCCAACCCATCGCCGTCCTGCCACCCTAGTTTCTCCAGAAGACGACGGCCTTTGTTGTCATTTCCTATCGGCCTGAAGAAGAAAAAAGAAATAAGAAATAGTCACAAAGACAATAATACAAATACAATAGACAACGTCGAAGTCACATAAGTTCGTAGAAACACAACATGCCAAAAAAAGTACCGAAAATCCACTCTTTGACGGAATGACCTCAAAGGTTAAAACGTAACTGCAAGAGCATTCCACGTCGGATTGCGAAAACAAATCAGAAAAAGTTCAACCTTTGATCCATATAAGGTCGAAAGTAAAATTACCGTATTTCCCCGAATATAAGTCGCACCTTTCTACACTAAACTTCAAGGGCAAAGAAGGGGATGTGACTTACAATCATGCGTGACATCCTACTAATATACGAATGTATTGAAACAACGAGTGATCCTTATAATCGGGGAAATAGGGTAAGCGAGATCAAACTTATCGCGATGACCGAGTAGCGCTTTTAACTTCAGGGAGCATTGTCGTTTTTCTTCATTCTTGCACGCATGCCAGGCTACACATTGTTTGCCCCTTGCACATGCTGCACGATAGCATCAGCTACAGTCAATGATTTCAACCTTTTTGGTCTCGCCTTATCACCAACCCCCGAATAGATTGTCATCAGCACCAGAGCAATGCATTCTAGATGTCTTGCCAAGCTGCGTTGAATGTGTCAGAAAGAGAACTGCCAACAGGACCGGCAGGAGACACTTACTGATCAACAGAGGAAGACTTCACCCCTGAAGGCGAGGGAATCGGCGGCTGGTCGACACCCACTGCGCTGCGCCTGCACAGAACAGAAAGAAGAAGAAAAAACTCAGCCGCACTGCATAACGTAATAGCACCATCTGCGAGCCTTTCAAAATTCCCTGCCTTTTTGAAGGCTGAAACAGGAGTAGGAGTAGGACAAGACTGAATTTGCCAGTGAATATCTGAGAGAAGAGAAGTAACGACTGGACGAGATCCCGTAGCCCAGTAAGAACCAGGACATGATCAAATCCATCTGTGTACTTAGTACAATGTCCTGTGCGTTATTGGTGTGCTAGTTACCTTGCGGCTGCTCGATCCTTGAATCCGTCTGAAACAGGCACATCAACCTCGTCTCCAACATCACGTCTCTGTAGACGGCATGCAGAAGATACAGAATTTGCTGCACACTGTACCGCTTTGTCAGTATTCACATCCACGCATGCACGCACGCACAAAATGTGGGGCTTTATGGTAAAACCAAAGTCCATCCCAATGGGGTTTGAAAGTGCTACGTCACAGCCAGCCCGGAGTCATGACAACGCTGCCTTTCGGACCCACTTGGATCCAGTTTCTGTATGGATCCATACACACTCGGGCGTTTTTTTTCACAGCAGGGTGACACCTCCGCCGGGAGTGACTTGACTGGGCCCTTCTGGTCGGGGACCCACTCCTGGTACAGAACAAATTCACACCTACGTGCGACACGAGGGGCCTACCCACCACACATGAGTAGATCCACCGTACTTCGCTATGGGCAGAGTGAATCCAACATTATTCGTCGTCATTTATTGACGTCTGCGTCATCACTTTCAAACACTATAGAAGTGTACGAATCAACAACTGCAGTGATCCTAATACTAGTGCCATCTGGTCTTCCCACTTTACCATACCAGTAAGTACTGGGTAAAGCGTGCTTACCGCCAAACCGTAGAGACTCTTCAGTCGATTTAAGGCTTGCTTGTGAGAGACTTTTGGTGATACCCCATTGTCATTATCTGGAGGAGTAAACGATAAGCAGTTACAAGTTACCAATTGTTCCATAGATCAATCGAGCAACTTGGTAATAGCAAATTAACACAACAACAATGGCGGCGGCGACGACGACAACAACAACGACGACGATGACAACAAGAACAACAACATCTTATTGGCGATGGTGCCATCGTGAGAATAAAGAATTCAACAACAACTTGCTACAATAACATGGAAAATGAAGACTGCGAGGCAAAATAAGGTGTCCACAATTCTGTCAACATCCACCACCACCCTGTATTCAAAGCAAGCACGATGACAAACTCCTCGGTCCAACAAATGAACAAGAAAGGAACACTGCTCCTTTAGCCATCGTCTAAGCCAGTGGTGCATCACTTTAGCCATAGAAGCACAGATACTAGCAGCGCACAGTGAAACTGCAGTCTAGCGGACACTGACACATGTACCGTATATCCAATGTCAAATGACTGGAAAAAGATACAAAAAGTAATTCAAGCTTCATCGTAGGATACAGAAGCTTCACTGTCCGTAAAATTAACTGTACGTAATTACCAAAGTTTCACTGTGTTTACTTACCTGAAGGTCTAGCTGCCAACCACGCCTGCACTTGTCCTGGCTCACAGTTGTTACATGTCTCACCGGCTGCGTGAATGTGACAGAGCAGGCGAGTGTGCATGCCCACTTGCAGCTGATCACCATGTTTCAAGCAATGCGCCTCACTACGAACTTGACTCTGAGCAAAGCACATAAAGGGCAGTCATGAATCATGATGCACGTAGATACAAACAGGATGCACATTGCTCAGTGCTATTCCCTACAGTGCTCTGTAGTCAAGCCGGTGGTACGAGGAACATGGGCAGCCAGCTCACCTCACTCAGTCTTTCACTGTTGATGAATGTGCCATTCCGGCTACCATAATCCGTGATGAAGTACAATTGCTCTTCGTCATCGAACTCGATCTTGGCATGAACCTTGCTGACGACAAGCTCCGGTATTCGAATAGCGTGGCCCAGATCACGGTCACTGAAAAATACGACAGGCCATAGTTGGATTAGTTTCCAGTAACACACGCATACACTAGTAGGCCAATTGCACGGTACTGAAACACAACAACCCATATTGTAGGCCAACAGCACGGTACTGAAACACAACAACCCATATTGTAGGCCACATCACTGTAACACAGGTGGGTGTGGAGGCGTAGGAGGATGTGTGGATGTGTGGGCTATGGACGTGACTCGATTACACGACTAGCGGGGGTGTTCCACATCGAGCAGCTTCTAGAGCACGTGTGTGCCGCTCACTCGATGCAAGCATGTACAGTCAGTGATGTCATTTGCCCGACCTCTACATTTGCACATATTCAAGCCTGGGCTTTGTGGGGTCTTGTGCTAAGCATGCAAAGGTGTAGTAAGACAGGCTAGAAAAAAATGTTTTCTGTCCAGGTTGAGCTGAAAGTTTGAGATACTTAGTACTTCAAGCCGAAATGCCATTCCAAGCAAGCCAGAAGTCTGGGGTACTTACCGACCAATCGTGCCGCCATCGCACGTCACAACGAACAACGATCCAACCTTGAGCTTCTCCGACGTCAGCACAATAGCACGTATACAGGGCGCTGGGGGTGGCAGTTCATCCTCTTTTCAGAGAGACGAATAAAAACACGACAAAGGAGGGAAATATAGGCCTGTCTGTCGAGTGGAGGACATATGGAAAAGAATACTCAGCTCTCTAGCCACACTAGACCAAGGATATTGCAATCTTAGCCCAAGTGTGGCGCTATCTCCTCAGACTTGTGAACACACAGCAGATCTGAATTATGGGAAACACCATTTAAACAGATCCAGTGTCCATTATATTATGCTGCTGACCAAGTATGGGGACTTTCTCCACAATAGTCATCAAACCCACTGGTATTACCTGTGGTTGCTCCGGCGTTTCCATCATCAGAGTCCTCATCTTGTACATTGCCTTCTTTCATTGCACTGCCGTCACTTGCGGCCTGGGACGTTGGAGGCACCACGGCCGACAGGTCAATGGTGTGGTGCACATCGAACGCACCAGTCGCCGCGTCGCGTGTGTAGAAGACGCCAGAGTTGTTGTCGTAGTAGAGACGCGTCGACTGCAATCAAAACACGGACATGAACGTTCAAACACAGTCAGAGAGCAGGAAGGAAATCAGTCCACAGAGTGGTATCACATATGAATTGTTGCAGACCAGGGTACGTTTCCGTAATCAGAATTTTGTATGAGCAGATATTCAAATTCATCACGCATAAGACATGCATTTCGGTCCGAGTTTTTCTTCGTGTTACCCAAAATGCCGTCTTGGACATGCTTGTGTTCAGTGGGTTCCAGTGACTGCAGTACTGTTAAAACCCAGTAAATACGAAGTCTACAAGCCCGCATAGTGCTAATGCTGCCTATTACTGACACCAGTGACATCAGTATCAAAAAGAAAAAGAAAAAAGTGCAACACTAAAGGATCTCATCCACAGAAAATAATTCAATATTATCATCTGCAGGTCCGCTATTGCTATGTAAGAGGGTTCCTGCGGAAGCAGCCGCAGTCGTGCTTCAGATGCAAGAAGAGCTTCTGTCCATGCTTGAATGACAATCCTACCTGGTCATAGTAGTATCCACTGGAGAAGTCGTAGTACATGCCCGAGCGACTGTCATACACAAAGCCAGCTTGCCGCATCCCCTCCTCAGCTGCAGATGCCAGTGCTGCGGCTGTGTTGACCTGATATCAACAAGAGTAAATGACCAAGAAATTGCACCGTAAGAACTCAGATGATGAGCCAAGGAAATATGAAATTGAAAACAGTGGGGCACACGTTATGCGTTAGAATCGACCAACTAGACCAGATTTTGAACAGTCCGACACGCACAATTTAGCATCTAACTGACAAGGAGTACTAACTTTTACCGTGTCACTATTTCAGCTCTGCAAAAACCAACACAACATTTATCACAAAGCAAGGCGACTGAAGACCCGGACACTGTTGGCTAGGTATGGAGGCCAAACTTATCACTGCATACTCGAAGGCCAGGAACTAACCTCTGAAGCCAACGGAGCTGATGGTACAGCTGGCGATGCGTTGACCGAAGACGCTGAATTCGCAAAGGACACACCAGGGTATGGTAAGCTTGTTTCACCATTCGTGTGAGCAGTACTGCCGGCGGTTGTATCACTCTTGCTAACAGATTGGTCGGACGAAGTTTTCGCTGACGACTTGGTTGCTGATGGAGCGGTGGAAGCTAAATCAGCACCATTTGTCTTCGGACAGTCAGCCAAGTCTAAGGCAAAGCAATGGGAAGCACGCACGCGCGCACAATGAGCAGCCAACTCACAAGCCAGATACATGTACACAATACCTAACAGTTCTGATGTGACTCGACTGGTTGCACTCCTGCACAGCACAGACAAGCACATACTGCTTGGGAGTGTACTTCAAGAAGTGTGTCAATGAAGGTGGGACATTTTAAACGTTCACAGATACTTGTATGTCAATTAGTGGTGAAACGAATATTCGAATACTCGAACATTCGTTCGGTTTGTCACATTCGAATATTCGTTACGTCACATTCGAGTATTCGTTACGTCACTTCGAATGCAGTGCATGTACGTACATGCACGCCGAACACGGTACAGTGCAGTAGGTACAGCCTGCCTGTGACTTTGTACTGCATGCATGCACATGTATGTCCATACTGGACTGCCAATGTTGCACATAACAGGTATGAACTTCGAAGTACCCTTACGTGGCAGTACATTTTACGTGGCACTACCGTTTGTCATACCTAATAATAAATTAGTATTGACAATATCCATCAAATGACTGAGAGAAGGGCATGTGATGTCATCTGTGTTACCAAAAGAATATTCGTTCATTCGTTCGTTAAGCTGAAGAATATTCGACTAGTAGGTTTTGACATTCGTTTCACTACTAATGTCAATCAAAATGGCATACTCACAATGATGTACAGTGTTGCTCAACGAAATCCAGTCGTGTCACTCAAGTATGCGCCGGGCGTTGCACAGCCCTACCCTAGACCTGCGAACACTGGGCTGCGAAATGATGCAAGGCGCAAACTTGAGTGACTTGACTGGATTTCATTGAGCAGCCCTGTACATGTATGAACCACATACTGAGGCCGATCCCTTGGACGGTCAACTTTGCAACATTGACACGTAACACTAAAAAAATCGTCAAAACAGCCCCCCCCCCCCCCCCCCCCCACAACCATCCATGCAAAGGCCGTACACTCTGGTATGAATGTACCCGGTACTTTTGAATGGTAAAGTTTTGGCCAGTGAAATTCCACCTCATAGACTACAGCAGCACCGCGTTTCAGTTCACATAATAGTGTCTGTGCCCTTAGGGCTGTGTAGAGCACGACGCTAGTTTAGTCACGCGATCAATTTTCACGGGCCAGCACTTGAATTATGCCAGCCGAAAGAGCCAGCTGAGAAGTACGTACGCGAACAAGAGCACTGGGTAGTGGCAGCAGCCAGTGCATCGCGAGCAGCCGACAGGGCCGTACGATGCTGCTGGATCTTGCTGGTAAGCAACTCGGCGTGGTCGCGCAGTGACGCCGCGTACTTCTGAGAGTTCTCCAGATCCAGCTCGCGCCGCGTCAACTTGTTCTGAAGTGTCGTGTTCGCACTTTCTGCAGCTGCCAGTTTGCGTCGCAGAGTCACTACAGTATCCTCATTCTCGGACGATTCTGATGAGGAATCGATTTCGCCTTCCGAGAGGTCAGAGGGTGGTGACGAATGCCGTCTTTTTCTTTTCATGCCTGCATGAGCAATAACAGCATTCATCGGCATGCACAGTCACATAAAATGCACATGCACGCGCACGCACACACACACACACACACACACAAATGCGCATACCCACACAAACACAAACACACACACGCACACACATACGCACACAACCAAAGTTGACGAATAAAATGTCAAACAAGAATACCTTTACAACACTGTGGTGAGCCCTGACTGTATCTTCTCCAGTCCTCACTGCGCCCTTCGCCAGTTCAGGTAAGGAGTGTCTGCGGACCTCAACGGTCTGTCATCGATTTCAACAATACTTCAGAAGCAACGTCGCGGTTTCTTCAGCTTCAGACACTACTCCAGCACTCGTAGCCAAATGTCACAATCGAACAGTAAGTACTTCCGAAAGGCCCTCTTTTCAAGTAAAACAATTTAAAAATTGAAGAAAAGAAATGAAGAAAGTAACTAACTTTCGCTACTGAATTATTTAGTCTTTGGACTGCACAACACTACAATTTGTAGCGCCTTCTTCTGGCTGGTAAATAATGAAGAATGAGGTAAAGTAAGTTGTAGTTGCAAAGACAAATGCACGGCCACTGACACTGCGGTGACTGCGCTATCGATCCTTCTTTGCCTCTGGCTTTGTGCTGATTCGTGATTTCAAATATTTTTTCATTCAATCGAACTCTTTACTTGCACTTTGCAGCATAGTAATTAGTATCAAGACTACGACAAGAGTAGATAAACATCTACTCTTGATATAATTTTAAATAATTAATTATAGTTAGTACCGGTATGCTCAAATGACGTTATGAGACGCGTGCAGTGCTGCCGAATAATTTCAGGGCTCACAGCATCACACAAAAGCGTGGGCGCCATTTTGGACAGGCCGCTGTCACACGAGCCAGCCAGCATGCCAGAATCGTGTACATGCGATCAGGCAGATATCTCTGAAAACTTGAAAGTGGGGTGCATTCAAAATGTTCATTTGTACCAATGCTTTTCCCTAGGCCTCTGAAACTCTAGGAACATACTCTCAATACCCATTGTAAGGATTTGTCCGAGAGTTTTTTGTTTTAATCGATACGGTTTAGCATATATATGGAGCCAAAGTATCAGTTGGTGCAGGCGTAATTCTGATTTGGATTATTGTACTAAAATTGAAAAGTCGCTCGGAGAAGTTCTTCTAATTTTCCTACTGAAAATTTTAAGCTATTGGCCATCAAAATCGGGCCAGAGACGGGTACAAACGAACATTTCAAAGGCAACCCTATCTGCAGTGCAGCCGCCAGGAAGAACCGCGCGCGCTGCACTTGTTGTGAATGCGGAAACAACACTACAAATAATTGTAGCAGCAAAGCAATTTTTTTAAATGGTTTTGCTACTCGCCTGGCGCTTCATCGCTGTGTCCTTCAGGAGTTATCAAGGCTATGGCAGACCGAAGAAATACATGGCCAGCACAACGGCGAAGCCATTGGACTTGTTCTCTTGCAACGAAACGGAGTGGCGAATCAAATAATTCACAACTCCACATCGTCACCACTGCGCTACACGGCTCTTCGCAGACCAGCCGTATATTTACGTTTACACAATAGGACTTCACGGCGGAGAAACTAAAACTAGAACACGACGTGAGTCATTGCTCCATGCCGTCAAGGAATGCTAGTCCTTTCCCTCTCCCGTCACCCGCGCCTGTGCATCAGCGGCGTAGCTGCCCGGCTGTAGATGTTGAACTCTTTCGTCAACGACTGCAGGATTCTGCTCGGGGCTACTTTTCGCAGGACTCCGTGTGCGGACAGTCTGAATGAAGCCTTCGGCCGACAAGGCCAACACTGCTCGCGAAATAATCCACTTGGAAGGAAACAAGAACTACCGAAATGAAATAGAGATAGTGAGACAGTCTCCGGCCATCTCCTTCACCATTCACGACTCAGTCCTTGTCACAGCAACTAAGCCCAAGCAAGTCAAAATCTCCTTGCGCGACTGCGTTCTACGCCTGCGCTTAGCGGTCACGCGAGTTCGTTTCTATGGTGATCAGATCCAAGATGTCCTCCCACGTAATCGAGGTTTTGGCATGGTTGCTGTCAGGGAGTCGTAAAATATTTTACGACTCCCTGGTTGCTGTGAGCCCTGAATTTTCGCACAAAATCGGACACCCTTCACCGCCATGGCCATGCGCCAAGGCTGGCCACATGGTGCGAATTTTTCTCCTCGGCAATTTTTTTACAGAGAATTCAAAATATCGCCTAAAACACCATGAAAATTCGCTTCGTTGCCATGGTAACCCCGGAGTTGTCATGAATTTTGTAATGATGAGTGTGGTCGCACACTGACTCTGTACAGACCGTCAGCTCAGCGTACATGCCATCCATGATCCAGCCTGATCCAGGCATGTTACTTTGCACTTCCACAGCCAAGCGCTAGCCTTTTAGAAGCAAATGTACAGTGATTTGTGCCTTCAGTTGCGCTGAAAAGTGAAAGTACAGGACTTCTGCATAGGAAAGTAATGATCTCCGACATTTTGGCTGCTTTTCGGACGTTTCCCTTTTCGGACCGGTTTTCGGAAGAGCCTTCAAAAATCGGACACTGTCCGAAAAATCGGACGGTTTGGCAGCACTGCGCGTGGATCCGGATGCAGCTCACTCGAAATCCAAAGTTTTGAGTGCGTACAGGCGCTATAATTATAGGCAATAATTATTATTATTAGCGTCAGCACATAGTACATGCGCACAGAATGAAAAGTACATAGCGAACAGGTAAGACGTGAGGCCGAGGGACTCGGAGCCAGGCTGAGGGTGTCTTCCCCAGCTAATACTTACTTGTGACCCTTTCGTGTGTGATCATCATGGTGCCATGGCTTATCATCACTGGTTGTGAGAATTCAGCCACTGAGGCATAGGCAAGATTAGAGTCCACATGTAACCGGCTTGTTTTGGTAGAACCAGGACGATAGAGAGATTACCAAGAAATTTTAAAATAGCCCAGTAAGTGGGTTACTGTAAACTGGCTAATTCTCGCGGCGTAAACTCGCCGGTTCCAAGAAATCGCAAACAAATGGTGACGCGAATATTGGGCGGTTTACAGCATCAAGTACATGTAGCTGACAGCTTAGTATCCAGGATCCGACACTCACTAAACTTGAAGCCCTGACCACAAAGGGTTATTAAAAACAGACAACCAAAGACTCTGGCTAACATTCCACTAATGCACCGCTAACACTTAGAAATATAATTACGATTGCGCTACTCATGGCCCACACGCACACTATAAGCCAGTGGTTGTAGTGTGTGTTCGGTTCTATGAACTTCTATCTTCACTGCGGCGACTTTTCGCTCATTTTCAGTATTTGTTCGATTTCCAAATGCAAATAGATGCCTATCACGGGTACCGGGTGAGCAGTTGAGCGAAATTAAGAGAACTACATATACCAGCAGCGAAAGTGAAGCCGTAACAATAGTTCAGTAAGGAGTGGGGAAAGGACTGGTATCTGAGAGTGTGTTACGGTTTGTAAAACCAGTCAGAAAATTCCTATTGTGTGCTGCAGCGGTACCTAAGTGACCGTTTAACATGAATAGCAAACAGTAGGGGGAAGAATCAAGTGCAGAATATTGAGACAAGCCCTGATCAGGAAAATCATTATCTGAGCCGGGTGGCACTACATGCTGTACTTGTACAGTGCTGGCAACTGAAATCCGACCCCCAGGGCGGCGTGCCGCTCCGCCCTGGGGGTCGGATTTCAGTTGCCAGCACTGCAGTTTATATTGAGCAACATGTACATTTATGTGCTGGTCGGTCCTACCCACTCAGATCTCTGAAACATGGCCGCTTGCCACGCACGTCGAAACATAGCAAATTCTTCAGTTATCACGGTACCTATGGTGGACGTGTGAAGAGGTGTGATCAACGTGATATGGCATTGTGCCGAATAACAAGAGACACCTTATCCTGCATCATGCCGAAAAAAATACTCAGGCTGACTATCCAGTCGTGCTTGATGTCATGAATTGCAAGCCCTATCGATAGTCCACAAGATTACAATGCTGAAACTACTTGCCAAGACGTCAAGTTAAAATTCGCTACCTGCAAAACGATGTACATATCATATTTAGTATGCACAGTTTCTTTGGGTGTTGACAGCCATTCGGAATTCGTTAAAATGTTTCACATCGCTAACCAAACAAAAAATCTGGAGATTGTCGATTTAACAAAAATGGTGTTGAAGTACATGTACATGGTCTTACAGTACACGTACACTGTCTTGGAGTCTGGTTAGATTGAGTTTGGATAGCTGGGGTTCGTATACAGGAAACGAGGGTCCAGACAAACAGGGTAGGATTGACTGCACACACCTTACCTTGCAGTGGTAACGGGAGTTACCAGGGCAGAGAAAAACATGGCTGATACCTAATAAACATTCGAATGAGAATTGTTTATAAGAACTGGCCGTATGCTTTGTGATTCTATGCAGTGGAAAATCCATCTTATTACACTGTCACACAAGTCACTTTCTATGCAAAATACAATTCTTCTCAACTATCAAGTGCAGCCACTGCCGCGAGTGTCGCTACTTTTAAAAGGCAGTAATTTGGAAAAGGGATTGCGGTGCATCACGGCTTCCTAACAGCTTTGACTTACAGTCATTGGTGTCATTGCGAAGGAACTCTGCAACCAATTGGTCCATTAGCTCTGGATCTATCACTGCTTGTGGCAAATCGCTATCCGTGCCAGCATCAGCTAAAGAGACCGGCGTTTTCGAAGTAGGCTCTGTTTTGGGCACAGACGTAGCATCTGCAGGCTTGACGTACTCAAGTTCGTGTCCACAGTGTTTGGTGAAATACTTTACATTCTGGCTTCCTACCGGACACACAAGCAGGCACAAGCACACGTTTTATGTTCCGGGCCATCTTTTTCAAGTGCCTCACCGCGGCCAGTGTAGAATGCAAGCGAAAAAGTACCTAGAAACACTGAAAGTGCTCAAACACATATGCAGCATTCGAACAATCCAACTACCGGTAGTCCCACCATCGTCATGGCCACATATCTACTCTTTTCCTTCCACAGGAGAGCCTCTCCATAGGCACCCGCATCCTTTGGTCAATCCTTCAATAAAATCAATCGCTCAACCAATCAAACGAAAAACGTGAATTTCTCCATACACCTCTGAGCGGTGCTTACCATCAGTCAGCGGGCTGGCTTGACACAATCACTCACCGTCTGGTTGGGGTGACACAATCATCCGTGCTGTACAAATAACACCAATCTTCTTGGTCCGTTTTGTTGAGCCAGATTGAGACCGCGAAGCACCACTTCTGTCGCACATGTATGTAGCGATGCCTAGAAGATGATGAGAAAACAAGGGCAAGCATGTTACGGTACACACAACACTCGACACCCATGACCTGAGAATAGGCTCGGGGGGGGGGGGGGGGCACAAACCCCTCGGCCACAGTTAAAACTGAATCCAGAGTCGCCACCAGAGGAACAGACGAGTGTGGCAGGCTACTGGTTTCCCGCGCGTGTATCTTCCATATAATATCAGAGAGCTACATTTAATATCAGTATTTGTTTTTGACGAAGAGATGAAGAGACAATGAAAATACAACTTAAAGGATTCCAGATGAAAACTCCCTTCATAAAACTTTATGGCAACAGCAAAGGTGGAGTATGGAATGTTTGCACTCCACTGTCCTGGCAAGCTGAGAAAAATCATGAGTCCTCAGCATGACCGGATATATGCCATGGTCAAAGTTCACTTTTGCAGACATAGTTGCTAGCAATCCAACCGGAGCAAGTGCGGATATTTTTCTCAACAACAAAACAAGTTGAAATGAGGTCTTTGTGAGTCAAAGCAATATCGCGAAATGCAAGATCAGTATGTCCAGTGCGATACAACTTAATTAACACTACAGTGGAAGCAGATGCATGAATCTTTCCTCAAACTCACCATTATTAGTTCCACGTGTCTTCACATAGCGAGCGCCTGTTCTTGTCTGCTCTCCCAGCTTCCAATCTTTGAATTCTGCTTCATTGTTGAAACTCAAACATCTGATATCTGGTAAAAACAAGAAGTATGAGCTATGATGATGGGTGGTACATGTATCTCTTAATTTGCTAAATCCTATATATAGGATTTTGGTCATATTTTTCAACTCGAAATGGGTGTGGCACGAGCATAAGAAAAAGTATGTGACCAATTCTTCCTTGCTAGGTCTTAGTAGATATCGAGAGTTGAATAAGATTTTTTTTCAAATGCTAACATCTCAGGCTCATATCCTTGCGCAATCATGATTACTAAGGCTTGTGCCCTATTTTTCGAATCCTATATGATTTGAGATTTTATTGGACCTTGTTTTATCCTAAAAAAACTGGTAGTTTCACCACGGCATGTGCGATATGTCGTCAAGAAACCACCCGTGCCACATCTGTAATGTTCTTCTGCACATTCACTGCTTCAATCCTTTCCATGACAGCAGCTGAACAATGCTGCGCAAAGTTCCAATTCTTGCTGAAAAAGGGTATTCATGATGTCCTATGAATCTAAAAAGTAAACATTCATCCCTCAGACATATTTACAGCTTTTATGAAAACCATTATGCCGTTATTATGGGTCATGATGGTCAATAACAACAGCATAAAGGTCACACCATTTTCAAATCCTATATATAGGATTATTTGCCAGCAAATTAAGAGATAGGCTATGTTTAAAACATGAGCCGCGGTATCTATTATAGAGTTCGGGTTGATGGGAGAAGAACTCAGTGGAAGATTGAGATCATACGGTTATTCAGCATCGTTTAGCATGTCACCTGATTGCCAGTACATGGTGGAACTATCATGACATTAGATGAGCCAGCCATGGTGAATGCTTTAAAATTGAACATCTAAACAAAAAGGCGTGACGTCGCATTAATAAAAACAGGTTGCCAGGATAGACCAGAAATGAAGGAGATTCACGTAGGCAGAGAGGAGGACAACTACATAGTGCACACACACAGTCTATTGTACTATTACGATCCCTCGCCTCGGCTTAGCTCAGCACTCTTTCTGCCGAGCGTCAAATTTCGTAGTTCCCTCGCGCAAAGCTCGCTGTGCTTATATGCTTCGCCATTCATTCGAAATCATTGCGATCGGTACAGCCAGTAACTCTGAGCTCTGCTGACGAGATCTAACAAGATCAAAACAGCTAGCTGTCCGGAGATTGAGTACTGTACTGTTATGTACATTAAGTCCAAGAAAAACTAAGTCATCATGCTCATTGTCTAGAATACTGTAGGGCATGTTCCCAGGTCCACACTGTGTGAGAAAATTCGCCTGATAGTCCATCAACATATTCCCCGGTATGGAGGTATTGTGTGGGTTCCAACACACTGCTACTTACTGAGTTCCTCGCCATGCTCCCGCAAATAGTGTTTCATCAGCTGGGAGCCGTGACCGAAAGCACAACTACACATCTGGCATGCCTGGCTGTCAGCTGGCTTGCTTGCATGCCGAAGCCTCTTGTGGCTTTTCACAGCCTTTTCGCTTGCGAAACCAACTTGGCAAATGTCGCATATCTGAAGGAAAAAAGGAAAACGTATAACGTACCAGTAAGGCGAAGGCAAAGAGCTTGACTGAAGATTTATTGTGCACCTATGACAAGCAAATACCCCATGCCAACATGCATATGCAGGGCAACTCCTGCATATAAGCTTTTATTAAGGACATGCAACTCATGAGTGTTTGACCCGGTTGTTCTCGGATGTGGGGACGTGTGGGAGCAATCATGTTCAGCTTGGCGTAACTATGCATGAATATGTCCAGCCCAGGCTTCTATCAAGTCACATACAGTACTGGTGCGAAATTCGATGCGTTTCAAATTATTTGCGCCCGCTGTTGTCTCTGGTCTTGTTGTTCTTGGTCACCGGCAGTATTACTTCAATGGCTTGATCTGTAGGATCCCATGATGTGTGTGGTGCACCCTTTCACTGGCCATTGCAGTCCCACTTGAAAGTGCCAGACCAAATCAGTTGTAAACTATGGACCAACCTACACCAAACAGTACTAACTTCCCCTGTACGTGTACATAGCAAACGCTTACATGGTCTTTTGTCCTTTTGGGCCGGAAAGGATCATACTCTTTGAAGCGAAGCTGGGTAGGGTTGCTTGCCGCGACTTGACTTGGAGCTGCTGTACTGGGCTTCAAAGCCTGCGCCATCACGTTTTCGGTTTGGTATGTGCGCCTGCACGATGTATGTCTGTATGTACTGTGTATCTCGACTCGGTACACAGCAGTCCTGTGCATGAAAAGACATGGCAGAAACGTTTTTTTTCTTGCATGGAGTGCTCTTTCTGGGGTACTGTCGTCCATGCACCGATCATTACATTAGAGTGGTAAGCGCTAACCTGACATGGTCATCACAACGCTATGGGCTGACCGTCCCGGCGCAGCATGAACAGTAAAACACTAGCCATGAACATATGCACGGCATACAATGACTGCTGTACTATAGCTCGATAGTAGTCCACTGTACGGCCATGTATTGCACATCACAAGGGTGTGGTCGCCGGGGAACAGTCAGCCACAAGCCAGCGCACAGGGTGTCGTATCGTGTCAGATTGCCAGCACTGCCTAGTTAGCGATTGCATTCAGGGTGAAATCCTGGTACTGAAGGTATTTGATGCCTTTCTTCAGGCATGGCGGCGCTGCAAGCTAGGATACATTTCCGGATCAACTCAAGCTGACAGCATGGAGCGACCACATCCACCACTCCTTCTAGTTCCATTATGGTTGCCCGTACGTACACGGGCCGAGTGAGTAGGTGCTCCACATGCCCTCGCGGCTGAGCCACTCTGGCATGCATCCATCAGTACTGCCCGTGTATGTACTCGCAGGTAGGCTGTTACTTATGATGTAGTCGTGGTCTGAGATCTATTGTACACGGCCGTCCGAGTAGCAGTAGCATATTCATGGTGATATTATGACAATACATGAGTGCATGTGCAACGGTATCATAGTACCATATGCCGCTCAGGTCTGAAGAAGTCAGTGGGTACCGGGAACAGAGTGTCGAGTGCAGCCCATGGCTCGCCACTCTGTGACTCACCTCCTGTGGTTGTGACACAACCAGTCATTGCCCCTTGCGAAGGCACAGAGGAAGACTCTGAAGTAAATACACCTCTGGGAGATTTCTTATGGCTCGAGTCCAAGTCCTACCGGCAACGCTTGGGTCACATAACAACCGGCCATAACATCCAATACATGAGAGCCCAAGACGGTGTGCCGACGTGACCGCTATTTCAACTACCGTGTAGATACCGTAGACGTAGACAACAAACAGCAGATATGTCCTCCTCCGCTAGCTAGCTAACACAAACACGTGTGAAATAGCTTGCGCTTGATCGATCATTTCGCGGTTTTTTTTCGCAGAGGGTAGTAAAACATCGTAAAAAAGTGGTTTATTACAATATTTTTTCGTTAAAAAGTGGTTTATTACAACAATTTTGTACAATCAATCATGTAGTATAGTACTACTACTAGCACTACTACTTACGAGCAAGAGTACGCCATTATACCATGTTATACCGTCCTGGCCACATCATGCCACTACTTGACCCGGCACTAGAGTGTATATCTGATTGAGTGATCAGGTGATAGTGACTTTGTCACCGGCAGACATCACGAGCCACGTGACTCGCATCAAGTTACACTGCGCCGACAAGGCCGCAGTGACCGACAGTGTGTTCGGATGAGTGCGGCAATCCGGATACTGAACCCGGCGACATGTGGGCAATAGGGATGTTCTGCTCTACGTTTTGGGAACGCGACGCAAAGAATCACGCGAACTCTCTTCGCGTTCCCGTAACGTAAAGAAATCCTGTTCTGCTCTACGTTTCACGTACTGGGAATTTCCCCTTCCATATTATTTTGGCAGTTTTCTGCACGCAGTTGATCGATACCCAGCAAATTCGTACGCATTTTCTCTGCGTGTACGTGTGCCACAACGTAGAGAACCTCATCTCCGCGTAGAAATCTGGAGCCAAAACACGCGAAGCCGTAGACTCTAACCCAGACACCTGCTCTCTACGTGATTTCTCTACGTTTCACGTATAGCAGAACCTCTCTAATGTGTCCTCAGTGACCCGAGACACTGTTATCCTCTTCCCAGGCTCATGCTGTTTGCTACGCCAGTACGGTTCATACAATAATACGCTACAAGGTGAGGATCCCGCTAACAACATTCGCACAAGGAAATAGACAATGCACGTTGGACATCGGCAATACCATCATAATTACACATGTTTCATGGGACAACCAGGAGTCAAAAGCTCCGGTATGAATAAAATTTAAAATTTAAATAATAAAGATACTGAATTGGATACCATCATAAAAGAAAGGTGCCAATAATCACTGGTCATGATACTGTGACGAACAGTTCTATCTGCAATAAAGAAGAAGAAAAAAACCTAGAATAGACTTAGCCTGAATCGGCAATTCAATAGATGTGCTACATTACGTAGCACATGTATTAATATATTCATAGCTTCCTGATAGGCTTAAAAATTTAGCTTATAAAATAATGACTTTAGACAGCGGAGATTTGGCTCCAAGTGATGAAATCAATGATGGTCACGGTCATCATGGAAATGAAAACTGTCTTTAGAAATGGCCATAGCACTACACAAGTTGAGACTAACTTGATGTGCTACCCGGCAGTGTGCTATTACCTGCCAAGTTGGTAGAACTAGCGATTCAACAATAAAAAAAATCAGCCTGATAGGGATCGTAACGAGTGCAATAAATAAAATAGAAAGACATGGATTGTGATGATGCAGATGGATGGGCAAAACACAGTGTGAGCATGGCTAGCTGCACCTCCTCGGAACATACCATGACAATATTTGAATTTCACAATACTGGTCTAAGTGATGAAAAATGTTGGCACAACTGATCTTTCCACTAGCTGGGGCTAACCAATCGTCTTTCGACGACAGTGGGAACATTTCGACCACTATCATCCTATTGGTGAAAATCAAAAATGCAACAGGAAAGCTATAAATGTACACGCGGGGTTTAAGAAGCCCAGACTACAGCGCAAACATGTCACTGTGTACAAGGATTTCAACACTAATTTGGCACACGGCAAGTGCAGAACTGTAGACTGTATACACGTGGCAGCACGGTGGCATAGCCGAACGCACACCGGCCCGTGCTGCGTAGGGCATACTACGGCATGGATTTAGCCGGACAGGGCGAAGCCTGACATCACTGCAGTACAGGCATGTCCTTAACCAACAACAACAGCATCTGCGATACTCGTAGCATGCAACAGTACCATACTGTGACGGTGTTAGGTGCTCCGCCTAGGAGGAGTAGCCACGCAACCGGCGAATCTCCCGAATGCAAACCCGGATCAAGAGCAGTGCAGCGGCCAACGTGGCTCCCATGCAGATCATGATGATAAGCAGCCAGTTCTTAGTCTTCTGCAACCCAATGCCGGTGATCAGTGGTCCCAGAGCAGCGCCGATGGAGCCGGTACCATCGATGATCGCAGCGACAGTGGCCTTGGCCTGCTGGTTGCCCTTCAGCACATCATGATTGCCAAGATCGGCGGACACAGCCGTCGTGATGAGTGCGTACGGCCCGTTGACGAAGAAGCCGGTGACGATCATCATGAAGATGAACATGCCCATGCTGGCATCACCGTAGGCCTTGAACACCCAGAGCAGCGGAATGGATATCACCAGCATTCCCACGCATGTCAGGCCTCTCGTTCCACCACGGTCGGAGATCACGCCCGCAGTGATGCCCCCGATGACTCCACCGGCATCGAAAATCGTTGACAGGTCGGCGGACATTTCTGGCGATATGACCTTCCCACCAATCTCGTTGTCGTGGATGTAGACAGGCAGCCAGTACAGGAATATGTACGGAACGAACTTGGCAAAGAAAAGGCACAGTGAAAACTCAATGACACCAGGGATTCTTAGTGCATCTACAAACTTCAGAGCAGGCTTGGGCTCATCACCCGAGGCCAGCGGCATGTTGTCCACAGAGTCTGTGTCGGAGTGAGACACGATAACCGCCCTATTCAGTGGCCGGTGTTCATTCGTCAACAGCCGTTGCTTCTCATCATCGGTGTCTTCCGCGCTAGTAGCATTCAGGTCGTTGTGGTCAGGTTTGTTGCAACCGACCGCTTCCGGGTCGACGGGTAAGAATAGCAAGACCAGCAGTCCGACAACGCAGATGATGGAGCCGGGCACGACAAACGCCCAGGCCCAGTCGTGCGGGCCAACCCACACTCCGGCGATGGCGCTGCCGAGGATGTTGCCGACCGACGTGTGTGCATTCCAAATTCCCATGATGAAGCCGCGGTTACCCTTGCCAAACCAGTGGCCCATCACTGCCACGGTACTCGGCCAGCCGGTGGATTGGGCAGCACCGGCCAGGAACTGGATGATGAAGAAGTAGGCGTACGAATGAATACCGAGCCAGAGCGGGAACCCAAGAGCCGCCGTCAGCACCCCGCTCGCCGTCATTCCCAGGAAGAGGAAGTAGCGCAAGTTGGTACGATCGCCAATGTGCCCCATGAAGAACATGAAGAACGCGTACGAGCCGAGGTACGTGAAGTCCAGTAGGGCCAGCTCCAGGTCGGAGTTTATGAACGGACTCCAGCCGCAAGTAGTTACCTTAGTTGGCGACGTCAGTGTGGACATGTTCTGGGAGATGGTGCCATTGCTGAACCAAGAGTCGTAGTCGTATAGGGAATCATCCGCGTAATCACCGCCCAGTTGATTCGTTATGTCCGATGCGTTCAGATGCAGATGCGTGCTGCAGTTCGATGGGTTCCAGACGTTCTTCACCACACTGATTGCCTTGCGCGACAAATGAAAGCTAGCATAAGTCAGGAAAGTCAGCAGCAAAATCAAGCCTCGATACGCTTTATTCCTGGTCTTCGGGCTCAGCGTTGGTAACGACGGCAGAAGCAGACTCAGCCCGATCGGCACACCTTTTTTCATCATCATGGTAGATAGTGGCAACACCACCCGAATATCCTGCACGGACAATACCCTGCTAACGATCGATCGTCCCTGTGTAAGCCAGCGGATATTTTTTCGCCACCAGAATTCTGCGCCAGCTTTCTCTCCACAACTAGTCGTGGCGTTGCAGTGCGCGCCAGAATGTGATCAAAGCTTGTTGGGGGCCTGGCACAGCCAGTACTGCCAGCTTTGTGACAACAGACGATATTCGACAGCAAACAACACGATTGTGACACGTCAAAATTATTAATAATGAACAGATCTGATCTGACGCTGTGATCATGGTGATTGAACTGACTGACATTTTGCGGAGAGGAGTCAAGGAGGAAATCAGGCGCTTTGCGATTGCGAAACGGCTTCCTAGCGGCTAGTGTAGATCTACCATTACATGCCATGTAGGCCTTTCCGGATTATGTGTTTGCATATTTTTGCATTTTGGGTGTGAAAATGCATTTTGTCCATTTTGACCCACTTTGGGCCAGGGAGTCGTAAAATACCGGTATTTTACGACTCTCTGCAAGCGGTAGGTACTTCACGATCACCATGAATGATCACCATGGTGCCAAATGTCACGCGACGCGAAGGACTAAAGGGACCGTCACTTAATTTTTGCCGACTACCCGCCAAAAAAATCTTTTCGTTTCACGTGTCAGACACGTCCGCGAGCGCGTACGACTCGCGCGCGCGCCCGCGCTACCTTACACGTCAGGCAATCTATTCACGCCACATGGCTGGATAGCGCGTACATGCAAACATGATTGAAAAATTTGAAGACTTGCAAAATCAATTTTTTCCAAGTCCAGGCGCTAGGCCTAGGCAGTACTAATGCCTAATGCCCAGGCAGCTGACTTTATTTTCGGAGAAACACTACTCATTGTAGTAAATAGTAACAATGAATAGCGATATCATCTAGGAAGGATCGCTACCCTAACGCGAAGGAAAGGCCTTGCGCGGCTGCTCTACGAAGTGTTGAAGAAAGACTCATCAAAGTTAGTTGGTGGACGAACAACTCGCTGGCGCCGGAAAACTTGGCCCCCAACGATGGTGTTTGGTGAATCATCAAGCATAATGTCTTGTAGCAGTGTTCACCGAGGAAGGAGAACGCTCTAGTCGCTGCTGTTGTCCGTTTCATCCACGTTGGGCGTTAGCTGCACCGCGTGTTTTAGTATTCCATGGACACACATTAGCATTCAGAGCGATTGTGGAGCCACAATTTACTTCACACAGCGTTGTATTGTCCACGAGCGCAAACTTCATTATCAGCAGTAACTGTTACTCTTCATCCTACATGTAGACTTGGAGTATACACGGCCTTGTCACGACAGCGACAGCTCTACAGAGTGTTCAAGTGAGAAACATTAATTTCTATTGTTGGTGGACGAATAAATGGCTGGTTCCGAAAAAACGCGGCCTGCACCGATGGTGTTTGGTGGATCATCAAACAGGGTGACCAGCAGTGTTCACCGAGGAAGGAGAATGCACTCGCCACCACTCCGATTCATCCAAGTGGGCGTTAGCTGCGCCGCGCCTATTGTGTTTTAGTATTCCATGGACGCACACTAGCGTTCTCAGCGATTGTGGAGCCACAACATATCTTCATGCGGCGTTGCACTGTCCAAGAGCAGAAACGTCAGCAGTGACCCATCATCATACATGTAGATTTGGAGTATACACACCATGCGCCGATGGGCCTTGGCACAACAGCGGCAGCTCTAACGGAGTGTTCAAGTGAGAAATATTTGTTTCGACTTTTGGTGGACGAACAAATCGTCGGTGCCGAAAAACGTGGCCTGCGCCGATGGTGTTTGAACCATCAAGGGCTCCGGAAGCAGCAGCTGAGCCAGATCAGCCAGTCTTGCCAACTCTCAGTTGCCGGACTCCGTGCTGCAGCTAGCAGCACTGGCACCAGCCGGAAATATTTTTTCCGCCGATACCCGTTACTTCCAGTTCTGTCAAGGGCATAACTGGAATCCATTGCCAGGTGATGACTTTTTACTTTTTGTGTTATTTTGCTGCCGAGTTCAGAACTTTTCAGCCCCGATCTGTCCATGTCTACATGTCGGCCATCCGCAAACTTCATGTGGAAGTTGGCTTTAGCTACCCGTCGGGCCCAATGACTCTCCTCGCAAGGTTCCTGTCGGGCATCAACAGGTCATCATCGACACAGCGTCATCGCTTGATGATAACCACTCAACTTTTCAGGGAGATTAGCCGGCATGTTGCCTTTCCACGGATGTGGCACCCTCATGACAAGGCCATGCTAAGGGCAAACTGACTGCTTTATTTTAGCTTTACATTACCGCAGTCAGTCCAGCACAATACGCCAATCGTATTTCACTATTACTCGCGTGTCATAATTGGGGATATGGGCTGCTCCGCCCTATATCCCTGATATGCCAACTAGACGAAAAGTGTGTTCTGAGCCTGTATCGCGTATAATAGGCTCATCGTAAAACAAATAAGTCTTAAAAATCAGGGTTCACGTGACACTCGGGTTCCAGCCAAGTTTTCCGCATCCGCAGGAACGCTACCCCCCTCTTGAATCATAGCATAGTGGACTCTGCAATGAACAGATTATGAAACTCCCTGCAGATTTACTACGGTCATCTCTGGTGACTGGTCTTGGCGCACCGTGGAAGCTGTGACTGGTTGCCAAGTTTTGTTTTGTGACTGATCATGGGGCATTTGTGACTACTTCGAAGCACAGCTCTGATTGATCACAGAGTCTTACTGTTGTCAATATTTATATCGATTGAGAAGTCAAGCAGCCACGGGGCGCTGGCCTTGCAGCTGTGAGTATGCATACGGTACATATTCACATGACTCTATTGTATGCTGGACACTGCTGGTCCATTGTTGCAGTGTGTAAGTGAACTGCAGAACCTATTCCGTGATGAAACACCTACTCTTGAAAGACTGAATGTTTGAGCTAATAGTCTTTTACTTCACTCTCATGCTGCTCATATAATTATACCATACGCCAGAAGACCCTAAGTTAGTTCTAAGATTTTGTGGACCATGTGACCATGTGGTACTTTCACTCTACAGCCAAGTCAACCTCTTCGTCAACACACAGGGTTTTCCTCAGACACAAGCGAATGGTTTACTCCACTCTGGAGAAGAACACAGTTTGCTCTCTCGAACACCAACCGCAGATAACTACGGAATGTAGGAAGTGCAACAACTGCTAGAATATTGAACTGTCGTCCACACCAAAACAAATAAAGACAACTGAAAACCAAAACACATGCAACTGACAACATGCATGTAACAGCGACTGCAAGCCAGAACTACAGACTCCGCGCAGGGAGGAACAGGGGAAACAGAGGTAACGCTTCCGACTCCGAGAGCTTCAAATAGCAGCGGACAAAACAATCCATCAACCTTGCGTGTCACCTTGCGCTACCGCAAACGAACACCTATGGATGCACAGTGCAGCACAGACTCAGTGCATGCACGGTGTAATAACTGGAGTACATGTAAACCGACAACGGTCACCTTGCACCCTATGCAGTAAGTTACATAGGCGGTGCCAACAAAAGAGCAGGGTTCGTGTATCGTGCACACTCCAATGGCACAGCAGAAAATGTTCTCACCAATAGCCACTGCTAGCTGTTTTGTCATCTTGCTGTGCCAAATGATGCTGTATAGACGCGCCAAGCAGAAATGGACTGCTTATGAGCGTGAACAGGCTGGCTGGGGTGACTGATGGACTGTCGGAGTTGGCGAACCACAGAAATCGTGTCGCATCTCTGTATGCTGGGTTGGCACTGATTTGTAAAATGGCCTTCTCAGTATCGCAGGTCATGACGATTGGTGGCAGGCAAAATCGTAGAACAATGATGAATTACCTAATGGCTAGGTCGTTGTTAGTAAGATTGCCTGAATCCTGGATGTCAACACAGTCTAGGTCCCACAGATCTGGGATGGTGCAGGAGTCGGAAGTTGCATCAGTTAGAGAAACGATAGCTGGCATGGCTGCTCATCGGCGTAGCTGAGTGCTTGGAGTGACGTGTTCGGCCAGTCACCACAAAACCGACTGTGGTAGGCAGAAACTGTAGCCCTGGCGGAAGTCCTCTGGTGCTCCCCGTCAAGACTCCCAGAGGAAATCTGCACCGATCAAGACGACTGACTATCTTACGGTCAATGGCGATACTGGTTGATGCTGCACTAGCTGCTGTTGCGCTAGATGCTGGTACCTCGTCAGCCACAGGCTGGCCAGCTACTATGTTGGTACTGCTGTCAAATTTCTGTTGAGATTCAGGGCAGATCGTGACATGATGGTGACTCTGATTGGTGACCCATGCGAGAACACACATTACACTTGCGGGTGGCCTTGCACTGAGTTGACCGGTGCCCTGTGCGCAAACACACAAAGCAACGCTTCTGTTCAATCAGTTATTCTTTCCGCTGTGCTACTGTTGTGTATTTCGCGCAGCTCTTGTCCAGGTGAGATCCGCCGCAGAATGCACACCCTCTCATACTGCTGGCATTCCAGTTACCATCAGACCGCTTCCTTCTGGTGAACTTGCATGCGCCTGTCACCAATGCACCTGCAGAATAGTGAGTGACATCTTCTGCTGTAGTACTGCCTGTGTTTGTGCGGCGCAGAAAGGCGTCTTGCATGATAACATAACGCTTCAGTGCTGTTCTGAAGTCATTCAGTTTCCATTGTGTCCCTGCATCTGAAAAGCCTCGCGATTCGTCCAGTTGAATCAGCATGATCGGCATGATCCGTATCTTGGTCACAGCACCTTGTGACGATCTGGTGACATCAGACGGATATAATACACAAGAGACAATTGTGATATTTCTACGTTGTGTTTACTTCAGATACATAATCTAAATAAAAGGGGGGTTGTCAACCGACAACCGCTCTATTTAGTTGCTTTTCACTCTTTAGATGAAAATTCTTTTATTACCGTAAAGTACCGTTGATCCGCCCCCTGTCGATTTTCTCCTTGTGAAGCGACTTTGGCGTATACAACGAAATACGATGTTGAACCGACGCATGCACTGCTGTACACAATACTTGCCAATCCAGGATCAAAATGTGCACAATCCAGCACATTGAGTCTGATCCTCTACGTTGTTGTACAGCGTACTGCACTTGACAGCCTTGATGTAATTCCCGCCCCCTGCCGAAAACCCAGCTGGGAAGCGACATGGCGTGGGGGCGGATGAACGGTACTTTACGGTAATTATGTCGAAAAATTATGCGGTTGTCAGTTGACAACCACCCTTTAATTTACACTGCACTTGCGTTATGTCCACCACTTTCTGTACATAATCTAAGAGTACTAAAACAGCCACTGACTTCCAACTACCAAGGGAAAGCAAGCCCAAGCGCAGGAGAACCGTGCGCGCGCGCGGGTACGTGACATATATCGTAGTAGAGCTGGCAGGCAAGGCGTGATCAGGGGTTCAGGCCCTGCCTGTAAACGCTCTGATTGGCTCAAACCCTGGCAACAATCACGTGACATGTCTGAAAGTACAAGTAGTTGCGATTTATGCTGAAGTTCAAACTGACGGAACACGTGCAGCGCTACACCATGAACCGTGTGGAAACAAAAATAAGTAGAGGAGACACGGGATAACAGACATGAACTCAGGGTCAAACTGATAACTGTGAAACGTGAATGCATGCAGTATATGGAGACAAAACAAAGTCACAGAATTCAGTACGTAACAAGTACTACACACTAACCTCGTACATGAGAATGTCACGACACCATTTGAATTAGCTCTTACACTCCACTTATGTTTCAGTCAGTAAGAGTACACATGCGTACTTACGTTGACTCTATTTTATCTGACTTATCCAACACCATCGTTGTGAGCCTTCGGCACTTGGGAATACACAGGACAGATAAGGTAGCAGCAAGAGCATCTCCCCGCTCTGTGAACACAGCTCAGACGCCATGCTTCATGATTGTGTGCCCATGGAATACAAGGACACAATAGACTTGGTGCAGCTAACGAAATGGATGAACGGTCGACGGCCTGAGTGTTCTCCTTCCTCGATCAACACTGACAGTCACCACATACCATGCTTGATGTTTCAAGCACCATCGGCGCAGGCCACGTTTTTCGGCACCGACGATTTGTTCGTCCACCAAAAGTCGAAACAAATGTTTCTCACTTGAACACTCCGTAGAGCTGCCGCTGTTGTGCCAAGGCCCATTGGCGCATGGTGTGTATACTCCAAATCTACATGTATGATGATGGGTCACTGCTGACGTTTCTGCTCTTGAACAGTGCAACGCCGCATGAAGATATGTTGTGGCTCCACAATCGCTGAGAACGCTAGTGTGCGTCCATGGAATACTAAAACACAATAGGCGCGGCGCAGCTAACGCCCACTTGGATGAATCGGAGTGGTGGCGAGTGCATTCTCCTTCCTCGGTGAACACTGCTGGTCACCCTGTTTGATGATCCACCAAACACCATCGGTGCAGGCCGCGTTTTTTCGGAACCAGCCATTTATTCGTCCACCAACAATAGAAATTAATGTTTCTCACTTGAACACTCTGTAGAGCTGTCGCTGTCGTGACAAGGCCGTGTATACTCCAAGTCTACATGTAGGATGAAGAGTAACAGTTACTGCTGATAATGAAGTTTGCGCTCGTGGACAATACAACGCTGTGTGAAGTAAATTGTGGCTCCACAATCGCTCTGAATGCTAATGTGTGTCCATGGAATACTAAAACACGCGGTGCAGCTAACGCCCAACGTGGATGAAACGGACAACAGCAGCGACTAGAGCGTTCTCCTTCCTCGGTGAACACTGCTACAAGACATTATGCTTGATGATTCACCAAACACCATCGTTGGGGGCCAAGTTTTCCGGCGCCAGCGAGTTGTTCGTCCACCAACTAACTTTGATGAGTCTTTCTTCAACACTTCGTAGAGCAGCCGCGCAAGGCCTTTCCTTCGCGTTAGGGTAGCGATTCTTCCTAGATGATATCGCTATTCATTGTTACTATTTACTACAATGAGTAGTGTTTCTCCGAAAATAAAGTCAGCTGCCTGGGCATTAGGCATTAGTACTGCCTAGGCCTAGCGCCTGGACTTGGAAAAAATTGATTTTGCAAGTCTTCAAATTTTTCAATCATGTTTGCATGTACGCGCTATCCAGCCATGTGGCGTGAACAGATTGCCTGACGTGTAAGGTAGCGCGGGCGCGCGCGCGAGTCGTACGCGCTCGCGGACGTGTCTGACACGTGAAACGAAAAGATTTTTTTGGCGGGTAGTCGGCAAAAATTAAGTGACGGTCCCTTTAGTCCTTCGCTCACGCGACTAGCTGTCGCCATTTTGTTACCATGGCAACGGTGGCATTTTTTGTGCTTTTTGGGTAAATTTTTGCATTTTCTTTAGAAAAAATTTGATTTATAGGGGTTTTTCAAAACACTTTCCATTTCCATTTTAGACCCAGAAAAAACGCATAATCCGGAAAAGCCTAATGCCATGGCATGGGTATGGTACACACTGGTAGAGGGGACGGTTTCAAATAGGACACCGGTTGCAAACCGGAACGGACTCAATATTCACTTTCTCTCTTGGTATTTTGATTAGAAAACATATGTCACAGTGAGACTACGATGTGTTAACCCTTTAAGAGCCACAGGAAAATTTGAAATTTCTGCATTTTTTCGTGTTCCTTGGATCATAGCTTCAGTTCTACTCACTCAATTCTCACAATCTAGGGCTTCCTGGAAAGGTCTCCGCGAGAGGAAGAGAATGAGGTCGATCATGATAGCCAGCACACCGTCTATCCAGCGCTAGATCGCAGCGACAGTACGAAAAATGCCCCAAATGCGTCCAATTGCGTCCCGCTCCAGATATTTCATTTTACTCGATCGTGGAGTTCCAATTTTTTCGCTGTGTACTCTTGACAATATCAACAGTGAAACCCGTGCAAATTCGAGTAAACCAGCGTGACGAAAAGTCTCAAAATTCTCAATACTAAAGTCGCACTGCGCGCTTTTGAAATTGCCGCGATCGCGGCTCAACTTACGAGTGATTTATCTCAGGAACCGTTGCTCGCAGCGCTTCGCGGATTGTTTCTCCCGACAGGTGAGAGTTTTCTCTTCGCCCTGGATATTTCGATCACTGGATTTGAGCGAGATTGGACTGAGTTACGATCTTTTGAAATTTTGCATTTGAATGCGTCGTTTACGACGCATTCAAGTATGGGGCGGCTCTTAAAGGGTTAAACTCCGAGCCAAAATTTCATGGCTCTGCGATGACCAGAAGCGCCATATCTAGCAGGTGAGTTTTTGACGTGTTGCTTCGCACTGCGACTTGAGTTTTACGACTTTCGAAAAATCAACTTCTTGTCGCAGGTAAACAGCGGCTCGCCTCTCGACAATAAAGCACCGCATACCAATCAAAACTAATGGAAGCACACACAAGGCTTATTGTTACTCTGTACTGGCCGTCGTGGAGCGATAGCAATTACCTAATTTCAGACCCAGAGTGAATTTGACGGGCACTCTAAAACGTGTCCGGTTTGGAGCCACCTCTGATTTGAACTTTTTTGAAGCGAAAAATTGGGCAACTTGGAGGCAATGGGTCAACACAAAGGAGTGGCTCAGTTCGATTGACTCTGGCCCCAGAGCAAACTTCAACATGCCAGTTTCCTTCCACAAACATATTTCGAGTGAAAAATCAACGCTGATGATCGGTTTGGGTCTATACAAATTTGGCTGTCAAAACGTCCCGGTATCGAGCCGTCTCCTCTACATGGTGTACTGCATGCACTGCGTACAAAACAGTGAAATCGTGCGTACCGCGGTAGATACACAGAGAATTTTTGAGAGTGGGTGGGAGGTACAGTGAGTGCGTTCGATTACACACTTGAATCGATTCATGAATCCATTCGCATGCATTCAAGTCGTTCGATTTCATGTCATGAGCCCTGGAATCGATTCGGAATCCATTCACTCTATTCACATGGGGTGATGTGAATAGCGCGAATCGATTCATGAATCGATTCGTGAATCGATTCGCGTGCATCATGTACTGTTTCAGTGTGAGAAAGAACTTTGAAGAAGACGAGCTCGAGCATACAATACTGTATTGCCATGATTTCTTCGCTGCTTTCATTGAAAACACTATCTGCATGACCTCCGAACCCTTTACCATGCAGACCACCAGCACTGATCAGGTGCATTGTATACAATTGTATAGCCTACATACTAGAACTGTGGTATAATCGTGTAGCTATGCTCCTACCTCCGAGAGGATGCCAACTTATGCTCCAAATTTTCAACCACCAAATTATGCCAATAATTATGTAAGGATCTAATCCGAAAGAGATGGCTGTGGTCCACACAGTACCTGTGACGATGATATTGAGACCCATTATTTTAGTATTTACCTCTCTACTAGTACTTGCTTGTCATGATTATTGTTCTCTTTCTTCATTTTCCCTTCTGGTTTAGTCGTTACACGTATTTATATTATTTGGTGCAATACTAGCGCCCCTTTCTCGCACCAAATTTTTATTTTTGCTACCTGGGGGTATGTCCGGTCCATACGACCATACTATAACAGAGTCGACCATAGTCTGCATTATGCTAGGCTATGGGCCCATGTAACTAATATTACTTGTTGGGTGCGTGCATACTGAGCACCTGCTATGTATCGTGTGGATATACTATTGTAGATTGTGGTTTGACCGTGCCGTACAGTCAGTACAGACAGTAGGGACCTTTCGCACCCCGCGTACGGATACGAAACGAATGCTGATTCGTCACCTGGGTTCGAGGATTCGTCAGAGTCCCTGCGGAGAACTCGTTTTCACGATAGTCCGCAGTCCAAGTGCTCAAAATGTAGCCCTAAAAAATTTCCGTTCGCCACGACGGGGCACCAAGGTTTGATGTGGGGGCCTGAAAGAGGACCCCTTAGGGTACCCAAAACAGTCGAGAACTGCCTCTAGATCTGGGGCTCTCTCACGATAGAGACGAATTTCTTTGGGGCAAATCCATGCACAAGTTTCGCGGAGCGTAAGTTTGAGCATGCATCAAACCCACTCAAAAGTTCAAATTTGAAATCTCGCACACTTGGAGTGCCGGCATGCCACGTGGTGCGCTTCAGATGTAAAAATGTAGATCTATACCTGGACGGTACTCTGTAGTATTATTTTAGCATTTTAGTATTTTTAGGTTCTTGGTCGATCGGGTGTGCCTCGCCTATGCCATGGGTTCACGTATTTTGGCCATACCAACTGCAGTGATGAGCTCCTGCCGAGTGCTGGCCGGCTTGGTGCTATCTCCTCTGTGCCGGAACCCGAAACGAATAGAACTCTGAAGTGTATTCACACAATGCCAAGTGCCAAATTTTCTGGCAGCCTGCACGGCATCCGAGGAGTCCGCAGTTCGACGGACAGGACTCATCAATCGCTAAGATCGAGCCCCTGTTGTTGAACCAGAAGAAAAAAATCTGCCTGTTTTGTGGCACGCTGAAACAAATTGGCGAGCTGTACAACCAAGCAGGCGACATCTCAACTCGTGACAGTGGAAGCAGACAAGAAGCGGAACACTGCTGCCACACGACAAGATCAAAGGATTATGGCAGCAATCAGTTCAGCGAATCTGATCGCTAGAGAGGTACACTCCCATAAGTCTTGCTATCGTTCATGCACTTATGCAGAGACTCTCGTTAGTATTGTAGCAAGCAGACAAAAGACGCACATTGCTGACCTCACTGCCTCATCGAATTCCTCTGAGGATGATTTCTTCTCTGCTGTAGGCAGTGGACTACTTGATGACTGTGTTCAGAGGTGAAGCCAGGATAGTGATCAAGGTGATTTCCACGACGTTCCCACACAAAAGTGCATGTCTTCATTTTGGTCCTTTCATGTCGGCCGATATTTATATATTTTGTTATTACACAGACAGAAGAACGTGCAGTTGCTGTTTCGTAACTCTGAGTTTCATGAACTGAATCAATCCGATCAGACGAACATTGATACTGACCTGGGCCTGAGAGTGCTACTAAAATTATACCGTGAATGAGGCAAGCCCAGTGTAACAATTACCAGGCCTGTGGGACTGCCCTATTCAAAATTTAATAATAATAATAATAATAAATATCTTCACTAGTTTGAGGGAAAGAGACAAACGGGAAGAGTCTGAAGAAAAAATTGACTGTCACCACCAGGACTCGAACCAGGGACCCTCGCTTGTAGCTAGCGATGCTCATAATAATAATGTGATATGTGGCAGGATATGGAGTGTGTGAGAAAGTGTTAGTTATCTGTGCATTATTACGCGATGTTCCGAGTCGTGGAATCAGGTGACAAAACATACTCCATATCGCGCTACATATCACATGGCAATTAGTCCGCAGGGCTTGCCACATTCATAGCAGTACTCTCAGGGCAGGGTCAGTATCAATCTTCGTCTGATGATCGATTTAGTTCGTGAAACTTAGAGTTACGAAACCGCAACTGCTCGTTCTTCTGTCTGTGTATTCCGCTCTTTGCCTTCGGCAAATTGAGCCGTCTACGGCCAGTGGATGAACGTCACATGGTATATTTTGTTATCATGAACACCGCCCTATGGGAGAAACATGTGGAGAACATGACGGCATAAAACAAGACATTCAAGGCGGATGATGCACATTATAAGGATGATGTGCCGCACTGTGTACCGTACTAACCATTCCAGAATGGCCAATCATCAGACAAAATAGTCGAGTGCAAGTAAGAACAAGTAAGTCCGAACAGGGATGGCTACAGTATGCGATGTGTAGAGTTATGGTCAGCGCGTTATGGTCTTTCTTGAACCAGCTGCAAACCAAGATCGAATTCGTTTTTGGGGGGGGGGGGGGTGTGCTTTGGCACCCCAAACACCCCTTCGTATGCCCCTGGTGTGGTCGTGTCCGTTGCGGAAGTACAGTTAAAAATAGTTCATTCCCTTTGTTGACCATACCTGGCATTTGGGTCACAATATACACAGAGGTTAAATATCAGCATTGTCTAATATTTTGCGGAACTATTTCCCTAGTTCGAAACAATGTTGATGCCGCATTTCTTTATGTTTAGGTGCTGACACACACACACGGCATTTTCAGCCACTCAGCCACTGCATTGCTGTAAACCATTACGTTGACTTGCACTTGAAAGTTGAAGTAAATGCACTCCTTCTAAGGCCGACTCCGGTGTGCTTGGCACGGTTTTTCTCATATCAGTCTTTATACACGTAATTAATTAACTCGTCTCATCTGGTTTCCTTTGTGTATTTTGTGGTCACATGTAATTCTAGAACATTTAATTATTAGTATTATTGCTTTGAACTCATCCGTTATGCGATAGTGTGGTTGTAGGTGCACACTGCAAGGTACAGTACATGACATGACAATTGTGTTGCATGTTGTTTCATACTGTGCAGTACTATCTCTCCTCTCTACATGCCTATACTTCATCCAAATTCTGTACAATTTCGTATGCTGGGTCTCCTCAGCCTCTGTGGCTCAAATACAGTTCACAAACATCGCTATGATGCTTGCAATAGCCTCAAAATTCAAATTCATGATACAGTTGCCATGGCAACGCGTAGAAAAACAATTGTCGCGATTTGGTCAACAAAGCCCCAACACAGCTAATCAAGAGACACATGCCTGGAAAGCCCTGCTGTTGCTCTTTCATTTGGTCATGTCAAACCTTGGTGCCCTTTCGTGGCGAACGAAAAGTCACAATTCTGCACCCTGGACTGCGGACTACGAATGGAAGCCTCTTCATTCGTGGCACGCTCCGAATCCGTCAGGTACACATTTATTTGGGTAGGTACACATGTTTTGCAAGGTACACATTTTTCCCTTGATTCCATGATCCATGCACGTGTGCGTGTAAAAACCCGTACGCCAAGCTACCGGCGCCCGCGGCCGTATTCGTAGTTGCCATGCACATTTGCATGACGACTTGCGAAACCTGAAATCTGTTTTCAACGAAACGATTACGAGCCGAATCAAACTTTCGTTTCGCATTCGTTTCGTAGCAAATGCGAAAGGTCCCTAGTACCGAGTACCGGAGACGAGTAGACTGTAGAGTCTACCTGGTCAACTATTGACTACTGTCCTGAGTTTACTGACAGTCTGTACTGTCTACAGACTACACAGTCTACAGTTTACTGAAGTAACGTTCAAGTTAGTTGAATACAAACTGTTCTCTCTCCCCTTCACAACCCAGTGCCAGTGGACTTGTAGATTGAATAATGAACGCACACTACTTGTAGAACATGAACATAACATGAATGTAAACTTGCTGAACGATACAAATTTCTTTTTAGGATTAGCGCAGCTCAAGTAAATTAGTTGTCTACTGGTTCACATTTCCAATGTACATGTATACCGTACTGGCAATATATGTTGCCGCAGTGAGGCCATGAAGCGTTACATTGGCACATGTTTGCCGCACGCAGGGCGTTACATGCAAAGTCGCACAGGAGCCGTTACACAGGTTTCTATATTGCCGCAGTCCTTTTTTTTGCTATTGCCGCATCACTTTTTTGCTATTGCCGCATCATTTTTTTGCTATTGCCGCATCATTTTTTTGCAAACTGCAATGAAAAGATCGCCGCACCCCGCCGGACGCGCGTTACGAACTCGACGAAAATTTGTCGCACTAGCCTGGTCGCGCGTTACGCCGCACCCCCCCCCCTGCGTTACGCGGCAACATATATTGCCAGTACGGTACTCAACTGGTTACATTATCTACATGTACCTACAGTGCTGCTCAATGAAATCCGATCAAACGCCGTCAATGCCACGCCGGGCGCGTGTGCAGCCCCAGATCTGCGAGTGTGAACACTGGGATTTGAAGTGGTGCAGGGCGCACTTGACTCATGTGATCGGATTCAGTTAAGATGAGCAGGGTCATCCACATCCTAGGAAAAGCGAGGCATCAGAGGATACGGCTAGAGTATAGTACGACTACACCACAGCAGCAGCACTCCAAAAAAATGTACTTCGAAGTAAGATAGCTGAAAACTGTCACCTGCACGAAGTGGTAGCAACAAATAGCATCACGCATATTCTGCCTCCCTGGTCTGTGCCACAAACTTCAGACAGTCCGTGCCTCCTGATCACATGTTCACATCGCAGCTCGACCTGATCCCACGCTCCACAAGGACGTGTGTAATCTGTGCCAAGCCGAAGCCAATGAAGCCATGCACCCACTCTTTCCTCAGCAAGTACATGCACATGTATTATTCTTCAACCAAGGATCTATAAAATTAATACTTGAGTAGTATGATATTGACTACATGTCGAATATTTGAATATTTGAAAGTCCATAGGTCTGCAGCATCAAACCATTTGCAGCACAAACTCAGTGAGAGCCATACTAGGCTATTGACGCCGTATGCACCCCATACTCTAGAGCTCTGGGGTCAACCAGTAAGAACTGAACACCAAGCTGCGGGCTCACAGTATTATACCGAAATCACCAAAATAGGATAGTTGGCTAGTGTAACGTTACCTGCTGTCAAAGTCAACAGATCCATGCATGGAGACCTCCACCACACGTCATGGTGAGCTAATGGAAACTTATACAACTACATTAGGATCACTGTCCTAACTAAGCAAGACAATAAAAAGGCATCAAGCCAAGTAAACGGACCACTGGTATTGGTCTCACTAAAGAATTAAGTCATATTATTCATGTTATTCATGTTCATGAGCTATTGTTTCATGCTATGTTGTACACATCGAAGTAAGGTACTTCAGTATTATGACATCATGAATGAAACAAGAACATTGTCTCTCCCATAACCACAGGATGGTCTAGTAATCCTGGCCACCACTACGCTGATAAACAGAAAGAGTAGAACCAGGACATGAGCTAACTAGAAAGCAGCAGTACTCACTGAAGTGATTCCGCCGCAGTGCATCCGGCATCCATAGTGACATCACTTGTGTAGAGTGGTGGTAAATGCTGAGGCGGCTGCTGTTCCACGGATTTCGGTCGTGCATAGGACATATCAGGCTGTCCGGCTTCAGCAATGAGTCTGTCAAGATTCAGCCGACGCCGGTGGTTCATATAAAAGTTGCGGCACTGCTGGACATTCTTGTGCTCGAGCAGCGCCGCCATGGCGTTGAAGTCCTTACCATGCGTGCGAAGTGCTTCCAGAGCGATGGCGACCTCCTCTTCACACCATCGGTTGGATTTGCGGATGTCTTGTTGACGGGGCTCTTCACCGTCGCCACCCGGTGGTAAGCATAGCTGACCCTCCTGGCGACGGAGTTCTTCCTTGCTGCGCTGGATGTGGCGCCGAACTTCAGCCACGTCGGATCTCAGCTGCTCAGTGGCATGTGTGTTTGAACGTGGTGTAGTGGCGACTTCCATGAGCGTTGCTGCGTCGAGGTGAAGGCCGCGCGGCAGTCGAGTCTGTTTACGCGTCGGCGGTGGGGGCGGCGGGCCAAATGTTCTCGACTGCTGGTCCCTGACTGCATGTCTATCTGGAGAACGACCTCCTGCGGTGTTGCTGATACAGCTACCATCACTCTCTGTTCCACTTTCCACTAGTTCACAGTACCGAACACGGCTGGATCTTGCTCGCCTTGCACGGCGTTCCAGTGTGCTTACTGCCGATGGTCCCTTCTTCCAGTTGTAATAATACCGAATTAGCGAGCCAATGTCCTTTTCTGGCATGATCTCGTGAATCCTACGGAAGCATTTGCCGTGCATTGCAAATGCCTCCTCGAACACTAGCTGGTCCTCTGTAGCAGCCATTTCATCGGGGAAAGGGACGAAATTCGCCATATCTCTGAAAGCTGCCTCTACATTGAAGTTGTGCCAGTGAAGCATCCCAAGGGCTTGGTCAGCAGAATAGGAATAGGTTGTCCTGGCTTTGGTAATATAGTCTTCCACAGTTTTCTCACTGAGGCTGCATAGTTCAGGTTTCCAGAGAGGGCCACCACCACAACAAACTTCGTTGATATCCTCTCGGTAGCCAGCTTCCGGTGCAGGTCCACTGAAGGCTGGCAGCTCAGCCTGATACTCTTCACCCACACGTGAACTTGGCTCGCACGAAAGGGACTCTTCTGCCTCCGAGCCTGACTCAGACTGGGACCAAGTGTTTGAGTTGGGTCTGGTATAGTACAACATCCTCACAGTATTACTCAACAGAACGATCTTCTTCTCACTGACCGAATAGTTAAAGCTGAATCGTTGGGAATCATGTATACCGGTATTTATGTACTGCTGGCTTGCCGGCAAGGGAACGTTTCGACAAGCAAATAACTATACTAGTATAGCCTTATAGGAAATGAAACTCCCACTCGCAATTACAGCTGTGTGGTCGACCCACAATGAGGACGACAACGACGTTACGTCGACGGAATTCCCCGGAACTCAAACTCAAAGTCACAAAATAATTGCCAAATAAGTCAAAACGGAAAGCAGTCAGCGTTTCTTGTACACCACTGTGGCACTGAGTACATAAACACTCGTAGTACACAGCGACATACCTGGCCTGGATGTCTACGTAGCTACGTGAGTACAACAACACGTAATTACGTATACGTAACATTAACAAAATCTACCTGTATCAGGGGGTCGTAAAATTCCTACTCCCTGATTTTGTGTTACAGTTCAGACAGCAGAACACCAAAAACGATGAAGACTTGATCGATTTGAATAGAAACTCCAGGAGCTTTCATCAAAATCAGGGACAACTCCCGCATTCCTTCCACCTACCTTGTCGAAAGTAACAAGAACTCAAACAAAACTCTTGTAGCTAGATCATGAACGATGATGTAACTGTCTGCACTGCAGCTGCAGCCCAGTGAATATGCGTAGACTCCTCTATGCATATCTCACTCTCACACTCAGCGGAAAGCAAGTATGACTGTGATGTTCAAAGAAATACACTGCTTGAGTTGTGTACAATGATAATCTCCATGGCTTTTGACCATGTTTGACATGTTGCTGACTCTGGTCCTGGCAGAAAGTAGCTCAGAACAAGTATTAGTTGTTTCCCTCTGACTCATTTCGTTCATGGTCAACAGCCAACTGGAATTGGCGTTTTTTCATTTTATGCTGAGAACTATTGTAGAACTACTCCTGTTCCATGCGAGCTCCATCAATATCCTGAAGTCTGTTCGAGGACGGTCTGTTGTGCTTTGTGTTGCCAGCTGCCTTGGCTGTGTAACTAAGGCACAATGGCCGAAGTTGACCCGGAAACACTGCTGGAATGGCTGAGCATGGGCCAGGGAGATGAGCGCGACATGCAGCTCATTGCTCTAGAACAGCTTTGCATGATACTGCTGATGGCTGATAACGTGGACAGAGTATTTGAAATGTAAGACATTTGCCTCCACTTGAATTGCATACTGTGAAAGAAATGTGCTTTGATTGCCTTTGGCAGTGAGCTAATAGGAAAGCTTCCCAATTTCCAGCCTGCCCAACTCTGTAGCTACATTTATGTCCATGGATGTCAACATGTGTACTAGTATTCATTCAAGCACCTTGCAATAGAATTCGTTGAAGTGTCCATTGTGCTACATTTGTTAGTGCATGTAGTAGTGTGTTGGGAGTTTTCAGTGTGTCTGCAGTAAGTGTATGAGAGTGCTTTTGACACAAGTAGTTTTTGCTGACGACAACCACCTGGGGAGGAAGCTATAGAGTATGAAGTTAGGGGTCTGCATGAGAATTGCTTTGTCCATGGCTCGTCCATTTAAGTGCACTTTATTATCGTTAAAATTCTAGTCGGAGACAAAAAACAATTACCGAAAGAACTACAACGTAATATCCACAGCCAGTAAGCACTGATCCGCCGCGACAAAATGTCCCCCCTGCAGAATTTGTCAGTGGCTACTTCTGGTAAGGGGAGTAAAGGAGAAGGAAGCAGTTCAGTCATAGAAACTATGCAAGTAATTAGTTGTCAATGCAGAAATAAAGCGGGAGTATTTTCAGCAGTGGTTTTCGTACAGTCCGCTTAGGAGCTGCATCTGCGCCTTGATCCTAGAGGGTGGTAGCGTTCCTGTAGATGCGGAAAACTCAGCCTCCAGCCGAGTCTCACGCGAACCGTGAATCATTTTTGTTTGTACAGTTGAATCCATATTTCCATCAAGTACACGCACTGCATTGTTCAGCGGTGATTTAATCTCGTCGTGAAACCATTCAACCAAAACCTGACTAAATTAAATGCCTGCCAAACTTTGTGGGGTGTTACTTGAGATTCTTATTATGTTGGTATTGCTGTTTATTCATTTTGCTGTACAGGTGCCCGCCTCGTACCTTCTTACCTGCTCTGTGCCGCATCCTGACGGACGAGACCGCCCCAGAGAACATTGTGGAGGTGACGTCCCGAGCTATCACGTTCTACCTGGATGTGTCGGCGGACTGTGCACGGCGCGTGGTGGCCCACGAGGGCGCAGTGTCTTCGCTGTGTACCCGCCTCGACATGGTCGACGTCAGTTCGCGCGTTAGCCGCGACCTGGCTGAACAAAACGTCAAGGTAAGGGTGCAAGGACTTGCGTGTGTAATCGCAGCACACAGATATGTACCTACAGTAGACCCTATGTCTCTCAACCAGGGATGCCTCCACGTTTTGTCCATGCATGTATTTGTTCAGCCCCAACTGTTGCCAATAAATTTGTACCAATACATTGTGTATTCATAACAAGTCCCTAAACAGGACAGGTATGTCTGGTCCAGTGGGGTGTTGTACGTAATAGTTAGCTTACACTGCACTTGCTCTATGAACTAACACCTGGCTCACTGTAGGCAATGGTCATACAGAAAACAAGCCAAGTTTTAGTTTGCCCACCAACTGCTATGGCGTTTGTTAGTAAATGCATGTAGCTTGATCAGAGTTTTGTGCCCGCGCTAGTGTTTAAGTTTGAATAATAGCATACCTTTGGTATCAGTACTTGGTATTCGGTCCTCTAATTCCGTTGTCTATTTGTAATACTTGTTTTTCTGGTGTGTCCTTCTGGTAGGTTCTGGAACTGCTGGTGAGCCGAGATAACAGCGCGGTGTACGAGGCTGGCGGTCTGATGTGTGTACTGACGTTCATCAGTGCCCACGGCAACGTGCTGCACCGCGACACGCTGCACAGCTGCATGTCGGTGGTGGTGCGCCTCTGCTCGCGCCTAGACCCCGCCGACAGCACGGTGCCGACTGTCGTCCAGGCGCTATCCGACCTGCTGCAGCATGCCGATCAGCAGGTAGGGCGGCGCATTGCTTGCTGCAGGTGTGCTCTAGAGTGTGTATTGTGTGAATTTGTGCCAAGACTGTTACACGCAGATGTCGCAGCGATACTGTAGTTATTACAAGGGAGAGCTACCGACTGCGGCGATGGCATATGTGGAAGGCTAATGGCTGTGGCTGTGCTACAGACAGACCGTACAGTAACACGTTTAAATATTGCTTCTGAAGACGCTGCCATCAAGCCAGGCTGAGAGCAAAGGGCTTCCCTTTCAACTGTCCATAGTTTTTGTTTTGATTTGGCTGGGACTGTGTGTGTGTGTGTGTGTGTGTGTGTGTGCGTGTGTGCGTGTGTGCGTGTGTGCGTGTGTGTGTGTGTACGTGTGTCCCATATGGTGCAGTGGTATGTGCAGCGATTTCCAATCGAGAGGTTGCGGGTTCGATTCCCGACGATTATGGTCACACACGTCTTTCTTCTCTTTCTCAGACTTCTCCTGACTTTTCTTTCATTCTCCTGGGTGGTTACCAACAGCCAGTGCATGCCGGAGTATGTGGTGTGATGTGTGTGCGGAAAAAAAAATGAAAAAAGACCAAAAAGTAGGGATTCACTGGCCAGAAAAAACCACTTCATAGCTGTGTGGTGTAGACCAGGCTGAATAGTGGCGGTCAATTCTTCAGCCTTGCAAGTTGTTGAATGGTGCAATCCCAGCACAAGCTGCTATGGCTTCTGCTGTAGCATCGCTATCATCGCCTTCGACGATGGGCGTCCAATGGTCCAATGGTGTATATGTGTGCATGCACATGTGTGTGTGTGTGTGTGTGTGTGTGTGTACGCACGTGTGTGTGTGTGTGTGTTTGTGTGTGTGTGTGTGTGTGTGTGTGTGTGTGCGTGTGTGTGTGTGTGCGTGTGTGTGTGTGTGTGTGTGTGTGTGTGTGTGTGTGTGCATGTATGTGTGTGTGTGTGTGTGTGTGTGTGTGTGTGTGTGTGTGCATGTATGTATGTGTGTGTATGTATGTGCGTGTGTGTGTGTGTGTGTGTGTGTGTACATGTGCATGTGTGTGTGAAATAGAGAAAGAGTATGTGTATGTGACATGGTATGTAGCATGTTCTGAACTTACACTAAGTGGCTGTCCGTATTTCCGAGACAAAAAATTGCGGTTTCTCCTCGTATGCCTGACGAGCACAGACGCGTGCTGACCTTTGTGTCGATATTTTTCGAAAGCAGATACGTTTCAAATTTTCTTCTTTCCTGGAATGTTCTACTTTCTTGTACAGGTCAAGGACGGTGCCCTACGTTGTTTTGCCACAATGGCAGAGCGGTATGTTCGCCGTAACGTCGACCCACTGCCGTTAAGCGCATGTGGCCTGATCAACGAGCTGCTCAGAAGGTTGAATAGCGTGTCAGCTCGTTCCTCACAGTCCACTAGTGTGTCCTCCTCCAAGGAAAGTGAAGCAGCCAGCCAGCCCGAGTCTCTCACCTCTGTTTCACTGTCCATTGGCCTTCTGGCCACTCTCTGCCGGGCTTCGGCATCCATTACTCACGTAAGCTGCGTGCCATATGTCTTTGGTCTTCGGTCTTTCGTATGGCTTCACCTGATTTGAGCATTGAAATCGATGTGTTACTTGCTTGCTGTAGCAGAGCTGTGGAATGTTTGTGAACTTGTCGTAATTGATTACTGCAGTTCTGTTGACGGAGAAATTAGCCTTGAATAGAACTAATTGTGAGCTCATAACAAGCCAACACCAGTAACTAGTTGCCTCCATAGCGTTATCTCGTAACCATCACCAGTGGAAGTTTGTCGCATAGTGAGAAGTAACCGGTGCTGCCTACAACCAGCCATTAAACTGTGTTTCAGTGGTACATGCGAGAACGAAAGAAAAGAGGGCTTTTTCATTTTCTTTTCTCTCGCATCCTACTGAAAACATTTCCAAGCACACACACACACACACGCACACACACACACACTCTCTCTCTCTCTCTCTCTCTCTCTCTCTCTCTCTCTCTCTCTCTCTCTCTCTCTCTCTCTCTCTCTCTCTCTCTCTCTCTCTCTCTCTCTCTCTCTCTCTCTCTCTCGTGACCTCTCTCTCTCTCGTGACCTCCCTCTTTTCTGATTATACAACTGGTTTAGTTACTCCTCACTGTGTGTATAATGGTCACGGAAAACCTTATGGAAGCTACACGTCGTGCATTTATCCTTTGCATCATGAGCTCGAGATCAATTCTTTTCGTTGCTATTATTTTTACAACTTACCTCCTCGCCGGGTATTAGAGAGACTGCTTGGATTTAGGTGTGGTTTGAGCGTCTCAGCTACACAAGCCTAGTGCATACGCGTTAGTGCTAGTGGCCTGATAGATTGTTACTGTGTTTGCTGTTCATTGGTACAGGATCTTCTGCGCTCTGACTTGATTGATTCAATAGAGGCTGCACTGAAGGGAGAGGAAAGGTGAGCACGCTTTATCTTACACTGTATTCACCGACTCTGAACACTTTTGACAGCTTGGGTTGGTCACACTCGCTCTGCCATGGCACTGAAGACAGTGTTGTGATAATTTTTTCTATTTTAAAGTTCCTATTGCTTCTAGCTATCTGTGCGCTGTGCAGCAGATGAGTGATGAGTACGCTGTCTAGCATCTTTCCAGTGTCTGTTTTGCACGCTGTGTCTTGTCATGACGCACTCATTAATGTCTCCACGACCAGTATTGGTTATGGAAATTAATGTCAACAAACAATGATCACCCGTATACTGTTTTACTACTCGTTTCATGCACTGTATGGTTATGGAAACATGTACATGTACGTGCATTCAAGTTTCCTCAATTCTGTCCATGTGCATCGCGCTGCAGCTGTGCTTCTGAGGTGGCCCGCTTTGTCAATCTGCTGCTCGTGATCATCTTCAATGGGCGCCGTGCGTTGCCAAAAGGTTCGGGCCACTTGCCTCAGTTCCCCAGCCTACACCGTGCCAGCATCTCTGGCTCAGAGCGCAATCACTTCCAGGTCATTGACGGTATCCGCAGCAAGGACACATCAGGCCTGGTCGAAGCTATCGAAGCAGGTATGAGAATATGTTCATGACGGCGTGTTGTTGTTTTGTGTGTGTGGAGCGGGTGTAGATTGTGTTCAGCAGATGTTCCATGGCAGGGGCGTCCCAGGGCAGTGTGGTGTGGTACGTGCGTGCGTGTGTGCGTGCATGTGTGCACGTGCGTGTGCGTGGGGTACGACTGTCATCACATGAGCGATCAAGAGTTGAAGGTGACGTAGCTGCAGCGATTGGGGCCGTCAGGCTCGTTGCACATACCACATGATTGGCCACTACTCCAGCTCTGCAAAATGAGCTGTCGGTGCAATGACCTAGCTAATGCACGAGCATAGCGAGGTTCCTGAGATTTTAGCTCTCTTGCATATCAGTATTATTTAGCTATTGCAAGTACAGTAAAAACCTGCGCCCCCTGGTTTTAGCAACCACCTGCTTTTCAAGACCGTTTTTCCATGCACGGACAGTTCTACACAGAAACTGCACCGGATACAGCGACCAGCTGCGTTGCGCGACCAACGACCAGCTGCGTTGCGCGGTCAGCGACCGACTTTTAGTGTACCAAGTGCCATATTTTACCTGCATACGGCAACCGAAACTAGCCAAAAGTGCAGTACTGGCTGGCAGACATGACTGAAACAGGGTTAAAGTGGGCTCAGACACTAGGGCATGCAGTCAAAAGAAGTACTAGTAACAAAACAGTGACAGTGCAGGGTGCGCTGCATGCACTTGAGTGAGTTTTGAAACTCATGGGTGCTTTGCCTGCACGAAAGTGTTCTATGCTCCACACCCTGTCAATATGAGTACATGGATGTACATTGTACATGTACATGACATATGCACATGATCTGATATGCCGCGAAAGTATGGGACCTGGTTCTAAAGACCACCTGGCTTCAGCGACCATGAATGCATACGTGTACATGTGTGTGTGTGTACGTGTGTGTGTGTGTACGTGTGTGTGTGTGTGTGTGTGTGTACGTGTGTGTGTGGGTGTGTGTGTGTGTGTGTGTGTATGTGTGTGTATGTGTGTGCACATGCATGTGTGCACATGCGTGTGTGCGTGCGCGTATATGTGCTCATGCATATCTTTTGCTTGCCTCTCGACAGGTTTTGATGTGAACTTCATGGATGGTGTGGGGCAGACTTTACTAAACTGGGCTGCAGCGTTTGGCACTCCTGAGATGGTAATATGCACTGGTGCATGGCCATACATTGTACATGTACAGTGTACAGTTTGAACTCTTACTTAGACTGTACTCACCTCGCCAATGTAGCTCTTATTGCCTTTCGTTTTTTCAACTGGCAGGCTACCAGGCTGGCATGAATACACTGTGTTTTCGATTTACAGTTTATCGGCTTTTGAATTGATTACAGTGTGTTCGTATCTCTAACGTTGCTCTGGTTTTTGCCATTGCTTCTCGTAAGGTGGAATACCTGTGTGAAAGAGGTGCGGATGTGAATCGTGGTCAGCGCTCATCATCCCTGCATTATGCAGCTTGCTTCGGACGCCCGCAGATTGCAAAGGTGTGTACTGCTTGCTTGCTTGCTTGCTTCGCTGCTGCTGCCACTACAGACTTGCGTTAACGCAGATTCGTGATTTGTATGGCTCTGCAAAACCAAACAGGTTTTCTGTGTTGCTTCTCCTGCGATGTGTTGTCCATTGGCACTGTGTTCAATGTATAATACATAGAAAATCCAGCTGTCGAAACATCCATCGGTTGATAAGCATAGTTCTGTTGGTGAATGTCTCGCACTGTTGAGCTACAGCAGGTCCTGTAACATCCTGGTTTGTTTACATGTTTTGCTTGCATGTGTGTAGTGTTTGCTGGGGTACGGAGCGAATCCGAACCTCAAGGACGACGACAACAAAACGCCCCTTGATAAAGCTCGCGAGCGATCAGATCCAGGCCACCAGGAGGTCGTACGCATTCTTGAGAGTCCTGGTATGTATCCAATACACTATGCATAATAGTATTCACTGGTGCTGCTGTATTTATGTGTGGTTTCTCCGCATGTGTTCTTTTGTTGTTGTTGTTGGGCCGGCTGGAGTGTGGAAGAGTCAGGATAACTACTTTTTAGAGCATTACGGTGGAAACCTAATAGCAGTGTCTCCACTCCATGCTATACAGAAAGCCGGTCCTGTCAGCCCATGATCTAGACCGGTGGGGACGCATGTTGAAGCGTGAATTAGGTCCTTGGGTAGCCATTTTCTTATACGCAAGTCACCCCACAGTACAGTGGTTGCTGTCCTGTCCTGTCCTGAACATTGCTGTAAGACGGTCACATGTCGTTGCTATCTAAATGGCTTCATGTAGTCTTGCGAGGTGTTGCACTGGTCCAGTGGGATGTATTCGTTTGTGCAAACATCCATTGTGCACCATGTATGTGTGTGTGTGCGTGCGTGTGCGTGTGCATGTGTGTGTGTGTGTGTGTGTGTGTGTGTGTGTGTGTGTGTGCACGCATGTGTGTGTGTGTGTGTGTGTGTGTGTGTGTATGTAAACATGTGTCCGTGTGTGTGCGTGTGTGTGTGTGTGTGTTTGTACACGCGTGTCCGTGTGTGCGTGTGCGTGTGCGTGTGTGTGTGTGTGTGTGTGTGTGTGCGTGCGTGTGTGAATGCGTTCGTGTGCGTGTGTGCATGTGTGCATGTGTTCGTGTGCTTGTGTGTGTGTGTGATTTCTCTTTCAGGTGAGTACATGGTGAGTGCCGACATCCTGGACACGGATGAGGATGTGGAACATGAAGACGTTGATGAGGATGAAGAGGGTGAATTTGACGATGGTGGCGAAGATGAGTGCGACGAGGATGAAGACGCAAGCATAGGAGATCAAGATCTAAGACGACGTCCACGAGGCATTGAAGAACCTGTCGACATCCCCTGGCCTCGTAAAGCTATTGAGACCGAGAGTCAGCCAGCAGATGGTGCCAGTTTCCCCAAGGACGGTGACCTGCATCTAGTGTCACCATCCTCGTCACTTCAACCACCGCCTGCGTCTCAGCCAAGTGCCGGCGAAGAGGACGGCGAAGAGAGAGTTGCCAGCGACGCTGATCCTGAAGTCGGCCCGTTGTACCTGCGACGTCTGCTGCCCGTCTTCTCTGGAGCTGCCCAGTCATCACTGTATGCATCTGTGCGGTAAGTTAGTGCACAGTCACACCGACCTAGAGTCAACTGCTGCGGCTACAGCAGCCAATTGTTTGCGGAGTCGTCCTTGCCGGCAGGTGCAGTGTTACGATGTTATTGCAGTGGCGGATCCAGGAGGGGTTCCAGGGGTTCCGCGGAACCCCCTAAATTTCGTAAATGTACTGCTGGCACCAAATACGCGTGTCCATGTGCATGTATCAGATATTCAGTTTTGACTATACGGTACTGGAACCCCCCTGTAGAGATCGCTGGACCCGCCGCTGTATTGTGCAACTGTAGCACACCGTGTGTAGTAGGCTGTAATGCATGATGGTGTGCTGTACCCAGAGCCGATTGCTAGTAGGCATTTCATCAGCCTCTGCTGTAAATGCTCTACAGTACTACAGTGCTGGCCAGAGAAATCCAACCTCATGAATAAAGTAGCGCAGTGTTCGAGTACACAAACCAGTACGTGTAGTGCTAGAGCTGCGTAGCGCCCGGCAACGCTATTTTATTCATGAGGTTGGATTCCTTTGGCCATTACTGCAGTATATCCTGCCGGATCTTCTCAGCATGATCCAATACTCACACGGTCATACCTTTTCTTGCGCTTGTGTCTGCGTAATCTTATGACCATTGAAATCATTACCGTTGCGTTGGCCGTCTTACAATTTCAGACATTCTGCAATGTTGTCCATGTTTTATTGTTTTTACATTCTAATTTGCAGGTTAGCTTGGTGTTTTCTTGAAATTTTAGCTTTGCAACACCCTTTGGGATGCTGTGTGATGCACTTCAGTCATGTGATAATTCTCGCTTCTTCCCGGTGTTCATGCAGGAAACTCAGCGTGACTGTCCTCCGACAAATGGTGCACTGTGCACCGTCCGAGCTGCTCACTACCGTCTTATCAGAGGGCAATGCAAGCAGTCTGATGTCTGAGGTAGTAGCAGCAGCCCTGACGTCAGAGGTAAGCACCGCGGCAATTTATTTCTCGTTTTTCAATTATTAGTTATTATGGTTTGTTATTCAGAAAGTCTGAACAGTGCTGATCGGGTTATAGTACGCAACAGACCATAAGGCGAGGCCGAGTACGCATTTCGAAGAATACTATTGGTAGTGCTCCTGCCAACAACCATTTTACACCTGATAGGGTCCCGCCGTTATGACCATGAGCCACGAGTCGAATGTACTCTGTAACCTACCGGCCGAAAAGTGGTTCTTATGATCGTGTAAACCGGTACCCTACCAACCGCAAAATGGTTCTTGGCAGAGGCACTGCTAATACCCTTCAACATGCGTCCTGATTCTGTAGGAAGTGTGCACTTCACTGTCACAAACCGTATTGCAAAACGTGGTACACTTCTCCACTGTGTGTGTGTGGGGGGGGGGGGGGGGGTATGGATGTGTGGCATTATGTATCAGTAGATATTACCTATCATGATACATTTACGTTTGTCTCTCTTCACACAGGAGGACGATGACATCGTCTGGCTTGTAGTTCAGCTTCTGCGTGACGCTGTGTCGAAAGCGCCCTCACTGCTAGCAGAAGATCTGGCACGGCTTGGTGTTCCTGTTCAGCTCCAGTCGCTCGCTGGTGAAGACGAGCCGAAGCAAGATGAGGCAGCGGCGGCGGCTGCCGCAGCTGCCAACAAAGAACCCGCTCCGGTACGTTCAGCTTGTAGCTTGCTCGAAGTTCGTGTGTGTTATGTGTCCCTGAACTGTGTTTCACACTGTTAGTTTACTGCTATGACTGTGTGCTTGTCTGAATCTGGAATGTCTTTTTGTTTCTTACGGCAAGGTTTTGCTTAGCAGTTTTCATTTTTATTTTCGGCACAGCAAACATAAGCAGAGTACCCAATGCACACCTAGCAGTTCTTGTTTTGGGGAGTACCCTTCATCATCGTGTGTGTGTGTGTGTGTGTGTGTGTGTGCGCGCGCGTGTGTGTGTGTGTGTGTGTGTGTGTGTGTGTGCGCGCATGTGTGTGTGTGTGTGTGTGTGTGCACGCGTGTGTGTGTGCGCGCGCGCATGTTTGTGTGTATGTGTGTGTTCGTGTGTGTGTGTGCACGTGTGGGCGTGTGTGCTGCTACTGGCTGTGTGTGCTGCTACCGGCTGTGTGTCTGTTTCCAGGACGGTCCCGATGCCACCAGCATCAAGAACGGCGTCGTGTATAGCTGGCGCCAGTGGCGGCTTGTGACAAACCGCGAGAGTGCATTCCTGTGGTGCGACTACTGCATTGTTGAGCTGAGCCGGGGCAGTAACGGCTGGTTCCGTTACATGTTTGAAAACCGAATGGCCACAATGTACTCGAGCGGTACGCCAGAAGTCAGCAGCGATGTGCTAGGTAAGACTGTGTGCTGCCATTGTCTGCATAACCGTTGCTGTTGCTGGTGCTGGTGCTGGTGCTGGTGGTGCTCTTGAACTGTCTGCATCACCAGTGCTGGTGGTGGTGGTGGTGGTGTGCTCTTGAAGTGTGCACGCCATGCAGGTCACTATTGGTCTGCAGTTGGGCATTGCCACCGGCTACTACATCATACATGTAGCTCTGCGCACATGTACACGATTGTAACACTGCTACTGTACATGCACACAACAATGCTATTGTACATAATTATACATGCAACACTGCTATTGCACATGCACAACACTGCTATTGCACATGCACAACACTGCTATTGCACATGCATATACAACACTGCTATTGCACATGCATATACAACACTGCTATTATTATTATTATTATTATTATGCACTTACGCGTCAATGTCAGCGGTGGTAAACCGCCCACAAATTCGCACGTGCTGAATGGACTTGGGAATTGGGAAATGAAAAAATAAAAATAAAAAGAGCAACGACAACAGAAATAGAAATACAATACAAGACGTACCTGCTAAGGGGCACATGACAGCATTGCTCAGATTGAACAGAGGACGCAGACACAGGATAAAGGGCATTGTCGACTCCGTTTTGAGAATAATCCAGTAAAATGGTGGCAGGTGGATGCAGATCCACGCACTACGTTAAGAGAGGAATTTTGTTGGTACACTCAAACGCCTCTTATCCGGACGCCTCAGATACGGGCACGTCTCTCTACCGGGCACCTTCAGCTTGAGCTCCTATAGCACAAATGCTTCGAATTTGGGAGTTTTGAACTTTTTTTTCCGTATGTGGAAGTGCTTATTTTTCATTGCCAACCTATGTAATTCACACACTTTTATCAATCGGTTCCTTTTGTATCCTGAACACATGCAATATGTTCAAAATAAACTTCTTCACAAATGATACGATACATAGTAGCTGAGTTATCCTGAGATACGGACAAATCTGAGATACGGACAGTGCCCGGTCCCAAGGTGCCCGGATAAGAGACGTCCGAGTGTATTTAAAAAAGATGTTAATTATTATTACTGCAGCAGTTATGAAAAGCAGTACTGTGATATTTCGGAGCAATATTATTTGGTTTTAGTCGTAGACGCCACTATTGGACTTGCAGACGTCCTTGCAAAGGTCCTTCCACTCCCCTCTGCCCTGTGCAATCTCCCGGAGGGAGAGGAGATCAGACAACGTCTTGAGTCCCCTCCGCCCCACTCTCTGCAGGTCACGGGATAGCACGATAGGCAGTCGTTCTTGGCCGTCCCCTCCACACTGTTTCCTTCACCTGGTAATAGTTAATCATAGCCGCCACAGCAGGACATCCGTCAGGCATGCGCAGTATATGGCCAAAGAGTCTCCATCTGGCTAGGCGAACAAAGTTAGATATCGGTTGTGCGTTGCACCTCTTGTAGAGAGCAGCATTGCTTATTGTTTGTGGCCACCTAATACCGATGAGACTACGCAACTGCCTGCGGTGAAACGAATCCAGTTGGGCCTCGGCCACTGAAGTGGGTGCCCAGGTGCCGCTGTTGTACAGTAAGACTGGCATCACGAATGCGTTGTACAGCCTCAGTCTCAATTCCTCACGCACTAATGTTCTCCGCTTCCAAAGACTGTACATTGCTCTGTAGGACGCTGTGGCGAGCTGTTTTCGCCTGGTGATGTCTTCGTCGTCACCAATCAGAGAACCTAACTTTTTCGTCATTCTCCATTCTTCCGAGACTCGATCCTGCTGCCGGGTGAGTTTTGTGTGTTCGGTCTTCTCTGCGTTGACATGGAGATTCCATTGCCCGAGAACTGTTGCGGCAAGAGGTTCAAGCTGAGCTAGCCAAGCAGATGAGGTACTGACAAAATCGGTGTCGTCCGCGTAGATGATGTCGATTGGTAGAGTGCTATCTGCAGGAGAGCGAGGTGGGGCTGTGGCGAGGACATCGCGCAGTGCTGCGTCTAGATAGACTACACTGCTATTGCACATGCATATACAACACTGCTATTGCACATGCACAACACTGCTATTGCACATGCATATACAACACTGCTATTGCACATGCACAACACTGCTATTGTACATGCATATACAACACTGCTATTGCACATGCACAACATTGCTATTGCACATGCATATACAACACTGCTATTGCACATGCACAACACTGCTATTGTACATGCACAACACTGCTATTGTACATGCATATACAACACCAACACTGCTATTGTACTTGTATGTGTAACACTGCTATTACTTGTATGTGTAACACTGCTATTCTACATGCACCTTACATTCTCTAATGCCCACCATCACCTATGCCACCTAATCCAATTCTGGGAGTCTTACTGCACTCTTTAGAAGAATCACACTCTGCAATGAAAGTTTCTAGCTTGTTTGTTCAGTTTCTTCAACTTAGTGTAGTGTGTTCGATTTGTGGGGTTAGCTTTTGAGATTGGTTGTATTCCTTGGGAGAAACTTGTATTTGCAAAAGAATACACGCACAGATGGAATTCTTCATCCTTGTCCCATGCACTGAGGCCGAGTAAGGTAGACGTCCTGATCACAGTCTGTGTCTTGTTGGGTTTTTCCCGCTTCAGCTCGCCAGGAAACCATCACCAAACTGCAGTCAGCACGCGGCCCAGCCTCTCTAGCCCCGCGGCCGATTTTAACATCGCCGGGTGCGACGAAGCTGAAGATCGGCAGCTGGCAGTTCAGCTCTGCACTGACTGGCACCCTAAGCATTCACAACGCCGACGGTCCACAGGTCAGTTGTGCTCTCAGCCAGCAATCACAGCACGCATGCACGCTTGTGTGTGTGGGTATGCGTTGGTGTGCGAGTGTGAGAATATTATATTCTTGCTCTTAGGCAACTATACTGTCAGTAAGAGCCCATAGCTCTCAACTTGTATCCGGCAAAGTAGCTCAGCTGACCACCACAAAAAGTAATACAATTTCATGAGTTGACTATGGGCGCCTGCCTGGCCTGGCCTGGCCTTCCTGCAAGGTTTGTTTGTTTTTATTTTTCTTCACCAGATACACCGGCGTTTCTGCCTTCTCATCTAACCGTATGGCTAGACTCTCAATAAATGATCAAGAAAGGTATCACCCGGTTTAGGGAGGTGTCTGGATATGCTAGGTCCTGTATAAGACAGGCTTTGCTGTACCCCCTATTTACATGCTGTCCAACCTGTTTTTGGGGTATGTAGGTGACGCTACTATCCGAGGATCGGAACGGCTTTGTGTTCGAGTCCAAGCGGGGATCAAGCCATTCTTTCACCCATGACAAGCCACTGGGTAAGTTGAAATAGAATCAACAATGATTTATGGAAGCAAACTTCATAAAAAGAACTCTGGATAAGGCAAACAAACTTGTTCAGTCCCTTGAAGTTCGTCCTAAAGAGGTTAGCCGGAATGTAACTGCAGCAGACAATGTATGTACATGTATATTCATATGCATGGTTTTACAGCTCTGGTGATTCTACCGTAGTGACGCGCATATAAGAGCATGTGCCTGTACCCGGGCACACGCGCACCCTCACAAATAAACGGATGGGCTTATAAGTGAACCTACATGCAGTCCATCCCGCGACAAACAGACACCACAAAAACACCATATTCACATGCATGTACATGTAGTTCAATGTGCATTGCGGTATTGCACTATGCATAATTATGCATGGATCCGGTACACTAGCAACTCAAGCGCATGCACCTATGCGTGAGACAAAACGACCCGCAAAAAATAGCAAATAACGCAAAAACTCACTCATAAGCGCATGGGCCTTTATGTGCGTCACTACGGTATGTGTATTTTATGGATGTGTAAGGCCGACAGTAAGCGGCTGCCTCGATGTGACACGCCCCTGTACTTGTACATACTGTACAGCTTTGCAAACCTTAGCGAGGAAGTTTGGCAAGAACCAGGAATCAACCAAGGACAAAGTAAGTGCCTGCTACTCACTGACGTTACTCCTCATTGTCTCTGTAACCAACTGCCATCATATCCACCATCCTCTTACCTAGCCTACAGCCTACAGGGGCTGTCCATGGATTTTGAAGAGTTTTAAATTCACAACTTTATAGTGGCGGAGTAATCTGGGAAAAACTATATTTTCTCAGCATTGAAAGTGTTTCGCTGTATTAGAGGGACTATTTCGTAGATTGTTGGGAATGGTGTTGTGTTTAGATAAACTCTCCAGTGATTGTTGGGAATGGTGTTGTGTTTAGATAAACTCTCCAGTGATTGTTGGGAATGGTGTTGTGTTTAGATAAACTCTCCAGTGATTGTTGGGAATGGTGTTGTGTTTAGATAAACTCTCCAGTGATTGTTGGGAATGGTGTTGTGTTTAGATAAACTCTCCAGTGATTGTTGGGAATGGTGTTGTGTTTAGATAAACTCTCCAGTGATTGTTGGGAATGGTGTTGTGTTTAGATAAACTCTCCAGTGATTGTTGGGAATGGTGTTGTGTTTAGATAAACTCTCCAGTGATTGTTGGGAATGGTGTTGTGTTTAGATAAACTCTCCAGTGATTGTTGGGAATGGTGTTGTGTTTAGATAAACTCTCCAGTGATTGTTGGGAATGGTGTTGTGTTTAGATAAACTCTCCAGTGATTGTTGGGAATGGTGTTGTGTTTAGATAAACTCTCCAGTGATTGTTGGGAATGGTGTTGTGTTTAGATAAACTCTCCAGTGATTGTTGGGAATGGTGTTGTGTTTAGATAAACTCTCCAGTGATTGTTGGGAATGGTGTTGTGTTTAGATAAACTCTCCAGTGATTGTTGGGAATGGTGTTGTGTTTAGATAAACTCTCCAGTGATTGTTGGGAATGGTGTTGTGTTTAGATAAACTCTCCAGTGATTGTTGGGAATGGTGTTGTGTTTAGATAAACTCTCCAGTGATTGTTGGGAATGGTGTTGTGTTTAGATAAACTCTCCAGTGCAAGTGTTCATGTATACTGTTAGTTATGGCTGGATGGTTATACCTGCGTGTCGTTTTTGTGAACTTGTTCTTCTTCCTCAGATAAAGGCAGCCGCACGCGAGATTCTGGAAAAGCACTTGACTGACAGTCACGAGACACGTGCTGTTGTCACGCAGCTTGGCAAGGTGGTGCGTGACTTCCGCTTTGGCTTGGAGTTGCATGCCGGAATGAACCCTGTGAGTGCTCCGTCGGAAGTTGGTTTGTGTTGGTTTCGGTCGCTCTGCGCGTTCAGGGCCTGGAGGTGTACTGTTGCCACCTGTATGTGTTTTGGACATTGTTTTTGTACATGTACTTGCAAGTACTCGCAGCCCGTTGACTCCAAGAGTGTGTGCGGTTGGTTAGTGCTGCTTTGAGAGCCAATCTGAGCCGCATCTACTTAGGAGAAACCAGTGGCTTTCGCTCCCTAATTTGGAAGTTCTTTTGCAGAATCTGCTTCGACTTGGTACTTTTGAATTTTTTTTATAACAATAACAACTCGTAGCACATCACCAAAACTCCACTACTCGGCCAGGTTTTGGTCAGATTTGGACGTAGAACTGTAAAGGAATGCGATACCTCTGCTAGGATCTAAGTGAGTAAGTGCCCATTGTGACGGTCATGCTTTAGTTACTACCTGCTGATGCCTTAGTTGTCTTCAATGTTTGCCGTATCACCGACTTCTCTTGTTTCTTTGATGTTCGCCACGCACTTGTTGCTTGTGCTTGCAGACTCCTCTCGTTTCGCCGGTCTCGGAAGGCGCCAGCACGGCCGCCACCCCTACGTCGCCCGCACCGTTCCCATCCCTGTCTACTCGCTCTGCAAGTGCTGCTGGCAGCTACGCAGGCAACGACTGGCAGGAGTGCCTGAGCACGGCGTTCAAAGAGCTGTCCGAAGTGCTCAGCGACGAGAAAGGAGTGTCTGGCTTCGAAGTGGACAGCTCCGGCTTGATCGGAATTCTGCTTGATCTACTGCAGTGTGTGAGTATTGGTTGTGTTTGGTAGACCGATAATCCAATGTGCTTGCTCTCATTTTCGTTTTATCTTGTGACAGGCTTGGACATTTCGGGCATTATCTAGTAGAAAATAGGCTAGTAGAAACCCTACAAGTACAAGGAGACTGCTTCCACCAGGACAGCTGTTAACATGAGACCGATTACACCAGGACACCTGTTTACATCCAGGCATCTCTTTCCGCTAGTATTGATACAGTCGTCCCTCTCTAATCCTGCACCTTTTGCAACGGCATTTTCTGCTGGATAAACAAGGGTGCTGAATTATCAAATCCTGCCCTCCAACCCGGCCCACCTGTTAACATACATGTTTGTGTCATACGTCAAAACATAGGGATTTTCTGTGTCAATCCAAGTACTTTGTGGAATGCATGTCTTCAACATACACTTGGGAATATCCTATGCACTGGCATAGGATATTCCCAAGTGTATGTTACATGTGTTGTGTATGTTACAAGGCTCCCTGACGGTATGCGATGTACAACTGCTGGATTCGAAAATCGAATTATGTACAGTTTGAGTGATTTGTTGCAGAAAATCGCTGCTGGAGGCGGAATTCAAGTGCCGGATTAAAGCGTAGAAAATGAACTGAAAAAATCCGTTTTGCCAGAAAGTGTGCTGGTTTGCAAGGGTGCTGGATAAACAAGTGCCGGATTATAGAGGGACGACTGTACCGTATTTTCTCTACTAAAAGCCCAGGTCTCCAATAATAGCCCAGTCTCCAATAATGACCCGGGGCGAGGGTTATTTGGAATAATAAGAGCACAGTCTCTAATAGTAGCGCGGGCCACCATTGGGGTATGCAACAAGTATATTGACTGCATATAGAGTAGCAGTCCAGCATGCCAAGCACGTGTTTGTAAGGACTTTGGTCGGTCTACTACTTCCTTCCTGGCACCCATGCTATTGACTATTGTGAAACATCAGTTTGACAATATTCCTGAGTTTAAAAGTTAAAAACTCGGTCTTG